CCAAAGACACAGTTCCATTACTGAGGCCAAACAACGTCGGTCTTATCGGTGAAATTGGGTTCATGCTAAATCAGTTGCCTTTATCGAACTATGTTCCGATTGGGATCGGTGTTTATTGACCTCACAGCTATACGACAAAGGATCGATTGTTGAACTTGATTTGTTTGACGCGACCGATTGGCTTTTACACATCTGAGAGATTTACACCGCTAACTACTTTCACGCAGGTTCACTTGTAATATCAATATACAAGACTTGCTGACAAAGGTCATCGGATGATTCAGCGTGAGTGAGTTGGGTTTTACGTCACTTTTAGCAATATTTCTGTATATATATGACCATGAGGGGAATCGAACCCGGGCTTTTAGCGTGATGTGTGGACACTTTAACTACTGGGTCACCTTCCCTGCAAGCCATATAGCATGGAACATTTCTTTAGAAATTACCAACCACTCGTTTATTCAGAAACCTGTTAATGAGGACGGCGGCGTCCGAAATTAAACATATCAACAATCGATATTACTCTCCGAGGTCGACTTCAAGTTCCCCGGCTCTCGACCCCTCGTCGCTCGGCACTCGCTCCTCGACGCTGGGATCTCATCTCTCAACGCTTGGGACTGGACCGTCGAAGTTCGGCTCTCGGGACTGAGCTCTCTTTCTCGCCTCTCTGCGTTCGCCATACGTCAGCCAACAATCGACAGTGGACAAAGTCTCGACGCTTCGCACCCGACATTCAAACCTCGTTACTCGACTGCAAAAGCGCGTCATCCAAAGATAGACTCTGCAAACGCGACGCTCGAATCTCGTTACTCGACTCTCGACGCCTGACTCTCGACGCTTGACAAGCGTCGCTCAACGTCCAACACCCAACACTCTCGACACTCGGTTCTGGGTATTCGACACCATATCACTTGTCACCTCGCTTGTATACGCATCAGTCCGTATTTTCCCCATAGTCCCCATGGCTTCCAGTCACCCATTCATGTAAATCTATAGTTTCAGCCTTTAGGTTACGTCTGTTACATCATGGACGGTGGGGTAGCCTAGAGGGTAAGGCGTTCCCTCGTCGGTTCGATTCCCCACATGGGCACAATGTGTGAATCCCATTTCTGGTGTCCCCGCCGGGACATATTGCTGGAATAGTGCTAAAAGCGGCGTAAAACCATACTCACTCACTCTGTTACATCATTGATGACAGCAGCGGATAGTTCTTTAATCTCTGTTACATATCTTGACACATACCTGTCCACCATAAATCGTTAACGGCAACTTCGATACAGTTAGCAACCAATGACGTCAATACAATCAATGGTGTTGTTACAACCACTACAATATGTCAAACAGGGTGATATAGGGACTTCAGCACAACAGGTAAGTTCAAGGACTACAAGATTAATCACGCTGGGACAGTGTATACCTATGGAAGGCTTCCAGGTGTACACTAAATGAATGTTATAGACTCCTTGAGTACCCATCGGTGCCAGTGGTTATAGCGTCTCTATATATTCATTACTTACAAAGTTTACAAATTATAATCAAGTTTGTTGTTTAACACCGCTCTCAGCAATATCCCAATTATATGGCGGCGGTCTGTAATAATCGAGTCTGGACGGACAATCCAGTGATCAACAGCGTGAGCATCGATCAACAAAATGCACACGATGACAGGTGTCAACCAAATCAGCGAGCCTGACCACCCGATCCCGTTAGTCGCTCTTACAACAAGCATTGGCTGCTGAAGACCAATTCTAACCCGGATCTTCACGGGTACCATGTTTATCAAACTGTCACCCACAGTATATCGTTCTACAACATAACGTCTAGTTTCTGATGCGGGCAAATCTGTATATGTATACATATAATTGTTACCCTTGAATCAATGAATAAAGCAAAGATGACAACAAAATATTAGATTGTTTATCTGTGAAATCGATATAAGTATAAACGACTTGAAAAGAGGTAAAAATTATTAAAACAATCATATGGTATTACTTCATGTGAATCTAAATAACACACAACATTGATTTCTAGACGCACGTATATCCCATCCGATAGTCGCCACTTACGACAAGCATGGGTCCAAATATACTGGACAAAAATACTTAGGGATATATGTAAATTTTAAAATCATGAATAATGATCTATTTATTCATTGATACACTGATAAAATATCAATCATAAAAATACCAATATCCCTAACTTATTTTGTCCAGTATACATATGTACAAAGCACTATGGCTATGATAGAAGTGACGTAAAATCTTGCTTATCACAACAGCGCTTTGTGAGAGTGAGTGAGTGAGTAAGTGAGTTTATTTTTACGCCGCACTCAGAAATGTTCCAGCTATATGGCGGCGGTCTGTAAATAATCGAGTCTGGACCAGACAATCCAGTGATCAACAACATTGGCATCGATCTGCGGAATTGGGAACCGATGACATGTGTGAACCAAGCCATCGAGCCTGACCACCCGATCCCGGCTTTGTGAGAGGTCTGCATGTGGATATATCGATGGCTTTGGCACTATAGAGAGAGAGACAGCGGTATTAATATGCATAAAACAGAGATACGTCGTTGTATTGATTGCATTTGTAGCAAACAAGAGATATGGCTGCTACATGTTGTAACACATTAACGCATTGATAGCCGCATGTCATTCAGTTAAATCGTGTAAATACACAAATATATACATCTTTGGATAAAAACACAACAAAACAAACGTTAACGCATAGAACAATATCACAGGTTACTTCATTCAGTCAAGACTGTGTTAGATTCAAGGGCATTTTAGGATCACCCTGTTAACTTTACGTGTAAGAGAATGCATAAGTTTTCATCAATCCAGATTTATTCATTGTATGAAAATATATTTATACACATGGACATTCGAGTAACAGATTATGTAAGGCTCAATACCACTGGTCGCTGAATAGTGGTCAGAATATGTAACACGACCTTTATCTCAGGGTGTATTTATACCTTATCTCACTCACTGAAATCCTCATCAGGTGAGGTGTATTGAGAATAACACGCCACCACCTGTATACCAGGTGTAAACTTACACACGTGATCTGAAGTTCGACAACCCGTTACAGTTGGGGTAATGAAGCGGGGCCTCGTTCAAGGGAGACAACTGAGAACAAGTACTAGAATTTGTACTTTACTAAGAAAGTAAAATCCCAGATATCACATATGTTCCATACAGGCACTCTGTAAAAGTCATTGTGGATTCATATAATTCTCTTGGTTGATGTGGCATAAAAACATCCCCTCCCCTCCCGCCACATAAAAAACAAAAGAATAACAGTCCCCAAAACAGGCAAGAAAGATATGAGTAGTGAGGGAGTCGGTTAAACTTGAAAGTCGCATCTGACTAATCCAAATAAGAATACACAATAAGAATAAAGTTAGTCAGACACTTTAAACCTGTCGACAAAGAAGAGTGGACTAACATATATATCACAGATACAGATTTAAAACCAGAAAATATGTCTATTCATAAATATAACAATACTTTATACAAATGGGCTAGACCATAGGTGTCAGACTACAGGGACCATTGGGAGTCACAGTACACGCTCACACGCACGCACGCACGCACGCACACACACACACATACGTTGTCATGCATACACAAAACAGCCATCGTATAAAAAAATATATAAAACAGTAATCATATATCACATACCATGTTTACAATATACACAAATAATAAGAACAAATACTTAACATGCTGAGTACAAACACCGTACATTGTTCAATGTGGTTTCAATGAATAAATACAGGTACTAATTATCAATACGATACTTGTCACCCTGTCGGTGGTTTAAAGTGATATACAACTCTTGTGACAAAACTCTTTCCACAATCGCTAAATCCTTGCTAAAAGCTAATCTCATCACTATCAGGTGATGGTACCGGGTGTTCACTCACTGCATAAATCATGTAGGTGTTTAACTGTTTTAATATGCAAACCAGTAGGGTTAAAGTATATACATTTGTATCTACAATGAAGTCAACAGCTTGTTTACACAATTCTTGTATTAGCACTAACAACATACAACTTAAATCACAGTATTCCATCGATTTACAAGTAAGGGTATTCACATTGCGTTTTATATATATACAGAAAAGAACAGGAATAGAATGTATATTTACACTAAGAATCTAGTTAGATTTACTTTTTACAATGAAAACAAGGATAAGAAGTTGGGAGCATGCTTTCAGGTGATAAAAATATATTATCCCCCAGTTCTTATGATATCAACTCTATGGACTGGTGTTGATATATTTCATATCAAAATACATTCCAGCGATATCCTTCATGTGGTTTACACATCCCCATAAATATATATGTTATACATTTACAACTGGTTGTGTTTTACACAAATATTACATACATTCAATATAACAAAAGCCACAAAAGCAGTTCCATAATAACCACATGTATAAGAGTCCATCGTACAAAGTGTCCGCTGTACAAAGTGTCTGCTGTACAAAGTGTCACCATGTGTCACCAAGTTACTGGTAATAAAGAAACAAACACTAGCTACAGCTGTCATCGATTTAAACGACTTTCCCCACTAGATAGTGGTTAAACAGTGCACATAGTGACACGGACAAGTTTATGGGTTTGATATATTTGTATCCTGTGTTAAGGAAATTATTGAAGCTCGATTTTCCCGGTATACAGATCCGGGTTAGCCTCTACATCGTGGATGGGGAAGGAAACGCGAGTATGTGTGCGTGGATTTAAATAACAAGTCTAATTTTGTTGGCTTGAATGTGACAACGTCCTTGTAATGTAATGTGATCATCAAAATGAGGAAAATGTGTAGCTTTAGATTACAATATATACATATATATATATATATATATATATATATATATATATAGAGAGAGAGAGAGAGAGAGAGAGAGAGAGATATATATATATATATATATATATATATATATATATATATATATATATATATATATATATATATATATATAGAGAGAGAGAGAGAGAGAGAGAGAGAGAGAGAGAGAGAGAGATAATAATATGATAATAATAATAATAACAATAATAATAATTGCTTTGTATAGCCCCTATTTCCAGCTGTATGCAGCCGATCAATGGTGCTTTACACGTTACAGTTCAATCACTAGATGAGAAAAGAAATGTTTTGAGTTTTCTCTTAAAAGTTGGGAGAGAGTCACTGTTTATGGATGTAAATGTACATTTACATAAACATACAACTACAAATGTACAACTACAAATATACATGTTGCTTTTCAAGTAAATGGCTAAACCTTTGAATATGTTTACATATGTGCAAGGCACCAGTAAATTATTTCAATTTACATACCTAGAGACCTCATCGAAAGCCCCTTTAAGATGGTGATAATCAACTATCTGTAACTATCATTCGAATGCCTCTATTGTACATATAGATGTAGGATATTCCGATCTGACCGGAGACTTACCAAGTTAGGACAGAATGAACATGTAGTTATCATTGGTCAAGGTTTTCTATAGTTTGAAAAGACCACGGAGTAAACCGACAGGGAAAGAAAGTATACACTTGTAGATTGGACTTGGGCCCACTAGTACGAAGGATATCAAAGCGTACTTCAATGGAAATAGTTGCTTAACATTGAAAGTCCAACATAAAACTGATAACCGTACCAACTTAATCACCTTCGCATAACCATGTCTTTTGTTTCGTTTTTTTCACAAAATGTATACTATCAGTTGCCCGGAAATGCCCATGTGTGGAGTGCATTGATACTTCCGCAGTTTAAAGAATATTTATAAACAGCAATGAGTTGCATTAAGGATTCCTCAGGTTTGCGAACACATACTTTAGTGACATTTTAGGTGAATATGGTTTTTAGCTACTTTCAGCAATATTCCTGATGCATCATGGGGGAGATGCCAGTATCCACATTATACCCATCTGGAAAATAGAACCAGGATCTTCAGCGGGACAAGCGAACGTTTAAACCACTAGGCTACCCCACTGCCCCTGTAGAAGCAAGACAGAGGCTAAGCAAATGCGCTTGATTGAAAAGGATGCTTGCACCTCCACTGAAACGTCGCGTTGAAGAAACCAAGTAATTGGAATAGGAAAGTCAACTCAATGTTCATATTCGGGGACAGTTTCTGTCCATATGTCGTCGTAAGTAAAGATAGTTTACTGGACATGCCTGAAACAGTCCCACAGGCTACCACAATGGGACAATCCGGGTACAAACACAGTCAACGAAAAACACTATTTTCCATATCATAAGGAATATCCATTGTACAGTTCTATTTATACCATGAGCGTAAATGAATCCCTATCAAATAATAACTAATATAAATTAACTCATTGTAGATGTAAAGTTAGAATGATTTATATATATTGATAAACATAACCAAATGTGCAAAATATGGTGTATATGCAAACAATATGTATTGAGTGAGTGAGTGAGGTTTTCGTCGATTGTGGCAATATTCCAGCAGCATCACGGCAGGGGACACCAGAAATGGGCTTCACACATTGTACCCATGTGGGGAATCGAACCCGGGTGCAGAAGAAGAAAATCAGTAGTAACACATATGGTTGTTGTGCAGAAACTGTACAAGAAATATAGACTATCCAAAGACATACATTACCTCTAAATAATGCATCTATATAGGTGTAGATACGTAAGCATATACATAGGCATTGACACACACACACACACACACACACATTTATATATGACTATCACAGTGACAGTTGTAATTTCATCTACATTGTCTCTACCAGATACAGCTGCAGGTGACGAAGCTTCTGTGTGCTGTCGATGTATCCAGTATTTGAAAGTCGCTCTTGTTGGAGCTGTGGACTCGCACTTGATGGAGCTGAGGACTCGCTCTTGTTGGAGCTGTGGGTCTTTTCACACATGTTGACAGGGCCATCTGAAGTAGAGGTAATTAAATGAGATGGACTTAATCAGACATGCCCGGTGGCAACATAATGTCTGTCTAAATGGTATTTCCCGATGGCAACATAAGTCTGTCCACATGATATTTCCCGATGGCAACTTAACGTCGTCCACATGGTATTTCCCGATGGCAACTTAACGTCGTCCACATGGTATTTCAAGCCTACGATGTAACCGTTGCTGCTGTCAGTATGGCAGTTAACATTGAGATAGAAACATCGATACCTTGAGGGAGCAGGGTTTAATGTCCCTTTAAACAATTTTCCAATTCTGTGACGGCATGTCAGTTTAACGAAAGGAAATCCCGTTGTCGCTGTGACAAGCCAAATGTCCTTAAGATGGTAAACCTGGGAATCGAACCAAATATGTCATGGCCCCTAGGGCATGGACCTTGTGATAGCGCACTATGGCACCTAAGATGAACAAGCCAATCAGTGTCACTTGTGACCAGTGGCTCAACCACTCAGACTCGACAAAACATACGGTTAACATCCTTGCCTTCCTGTCTCACGCATAATTAGTTGATAATATAACACATCAGGGGTATGTAATACAGTAGTAATATGTTACTACAATTGTTTCAGGCCGCACCCAGCAATATTCCAGCTAGTATGGCGGAACAATGTCACAACACCAAGGCTGCACATGCGTTTGGTTCAAGGACCAATGGTATTCATGCAACAGCACATTAATTCATAGACAACAACACGATTATCTCCCCTTAAACACTAACACCTTCATACATTTTCTTTGCATGCAAAAACTTGGCGGACGTGATAGACTTGGTACCACGTCGAATAATGTAAGAAAATCTTTAATTGTAGGACGGTATACCCCGTAGATTTCGTTTGAAACCGACCCTGCCTAAATTGCGACACCTAAACCGATACATTGAGAAAATGTCGTAAGAGCAGTACAAATTACTGTAATAATATCGCTGCACTCCACCACTCTCAACCAAGTCAAGATAACATTTTATTACTGACTGAAAGGTGTAATCAATTAGTGCGTTATGGCTGTGTTCCGAGAAAACACTGAGGTAGCCATGAATCAAAATATTTTCCTTATTGATAAGATATTACTAACTCATATAAACTTCAGATCGTAATGAAAAAAAAATCATTTTCCACAATCATGAAACTTTATTCATTTAAGTTTCAGATGGCAATGGAACAAATCCTTTTCCACAATCAAGAAATCTTTATTTAAGTTTCAGATTATAATGAAACAAATCCTTTTCCATAATCATGATATATTATTCATTTAAGTTTCAGATGGTAATGGAACAAATGCTTTCAAATTTGTTGAAATACTATTCCTTTAGCAGCAGTACGCACCTCTGTGTTAAACAGGTTTCGGCAGAACTCCTGCCATGCCAAGCCGGGGAGTCCTCCTGTTTGGTCTCCGTCTCAACACGGGAGGGGGAAAGTCTGCTGCATCCTGTACGAAACAATTCTCCCCATCTTCTTTGTACGTGTTTAGCAGCTTCCTCCATATCGGATCACAGCGAAGCAGCTTGGAATTTCCTGGATAATACATGGGTGCCAAAAAATCCAAGGGACGTAACACTCTTTTATGTTTGCCTCAAGAAGATGTTACATGTACATGAGACAAAGATAAAATGAAGTTCGTGGTTGCTAATTATTTATAGTGTACTAATCGAAACAATTAAATTTGACTGTTGTAATTTTCAGCATTTTTTCAGCTATATGACGACGGTCTCTAAATAATCTGGACCAGACAATCCAGTGATAGACAAGCATTCATCTACGCAACTGGGATACAATGACATGCATCAAGTCAGCGACCGTGACCGCCCGATCCAGGGAGTCACCTCTCACGACCTGTATAAGAATTCATTACCGATGATGATCAGCCCTTTCCTGGCCCGAGTGAGCGCCACGTTGATCTGGTTAGCATCTGTGATGAAGCCCAGGTTGTGTTTGCACCAGCCACGTGTTGGGTTACTCTCTATCTTGTAGTGGGGCAGGGACCGCACAGTGCTGAATATCACGTAGTCCCACTCACCCCCTGGGGAATTAGGTGAGAGAAAATATAAATTGCAATGTGAAACTTGATTCCAGTGGTTGTTGTATGACGCAAAGTCAAGAAAACACACATGATTCCAAAACCTCAAAGCAAGAAATGTCTGCAGACCATCCGACTTATCCCACTCAAGCTCCAGGTGGCCAGATGAACGAGTACATGTTGGCAAGGAACAGGCTTTGCAGAGTTGTGCTTCTTGCTCATTTCCCCCAATCATGATACTGGTCGGTCAGGACTAGGTCAGGCTGATTGTCTAACGCTGCAATATTACAGCTATTTGGCGGCGGTCCGTAAATAATCGAGTCTGGACAAATCCAGTGACCCGCGGCATGAGCACCGATCTGCACAATTGGGATACGATGACATGTGAAAACCAAGTCAGCGAGCCTGACCACCCGATCACGTTAGTCACCTCTTCAACAATCCTGGGTTACTGAAGATCAATTCTATCCCGGATCTTCACGGGTCTTCTAAACGCAGGTCCATTGCAAACCTGACTATAAATAACCCGGTGCCTTTGAATCATTAATAAATAGTGGAGACATCAGTCAGCCACTTCTAAACAATCGGTGGCACACATGCAAAGCCAAGTGAATTGTTCAGCTGAACGAAGCACTGGAGCAAATGGTAAAACTCAAAATAAAATAGCATTGGACATTATTTTATCACTGACTTGGAGTTTTACTCCAACAAAGTAATATTTTTAACCAATCATTCGTCAAATCATACAAGGCTGTATCTATATGTGCCTACCTTGACTAGCAACAACGGTCTGGACATTCAAACCAGGAAACGAACCGCATAGATCCAGTTTCTCCTTAATGGCATGCCGCTGTGCATTGTACTGTGACATCACATTGATGTCTGTGGGTAGAATGCCCGCAGTCCTCACAAGGTACAGGAACACGTCCACCTCGAAAGTATCGGTAAAATATATATATATTTCATGCTCCTGTTTATATTAGAATGCCGCTTTAGCAATATTCCAGCAATATCACTGCGGGGGGACACCATGCAGAAATGGGCTTCACACACTGTACCCATGAATCTAACCCGGGTCTTCGACGTGAACGCTTTAACCAGTGGACTACCCCATCGCCGCTCTTTTCATTAGAGATAGCGAGAAGGAATGGTAAAATCACCTGCCGCAAGATACCTATGGGGTATCCTCTTCTGCAGTGGTATACTTTGAGATATATGATTTTGCAGTGTAAAGAGTCTAAGAATAATTAATGATTCGTGCCATCTGTACGACACACACACTTCGTAGATACTATTTTTGGTTGTTGTTTAACGCTGAACTCAACACGTTTCCATGACGAAGGTCTAAATAATCGAGTTTGGACCAGTCAATCCAGTGATTGACATCATTAGCACCGATTTACGCAAATGGGATACGATGACATGTGTCTGACATGGCCGCGATACTGACCTCCATGGGCTGACGACCAGCATGGGCTGCTAAAGACCAAATCTAAACCGGATCTTCATGGGTTTCGTAGACACTAAGCTTTATCCAAATGCCATCACTACTGACATTGAAAAGTAATCATGGAGTCCTGTTTGAATATTTCCCCTCTCAAGTCATCAACTGAGTTCTTAGGGATATTTTGGCAGCAGTAATATCAATACTGATGTTTGATAGATATTAGTGCCTACTTACTGTTGTTTTTTTGTTGATTAACGCCACACTGCAATATTCCAACTATAAGGCGGGGGTCTCTAAATATTCGAGTCTGGACCAGATAAGCTAGTGATCAACATCATGAATGTCAATCTTACAAGTGTGAAACGATGACATGTGTCAAGCAAATCAGCGAGTCTGACCATCCGATACCTTTAGTCGCCTCTTACAAGAATGGGTTGCTGACCACCAATTCCAACCCGGATCTTCACAGGTCGGCTACTTACTACTTTTTCTACTTCTTTCATGTTAGACTTGGATTGCTCATTGCCCTCTTCTGTGGACACAGTCAGTGTCGTCTCCTCCCCCTCCACGTGGCAGAACACTTTGGGGTTGGTCTTCTCAGGCCAGATGGAGAGTTCCTCCCCGGGGCTATGTACCAACGTGCATCATTGATCTGATCCGGGCCGGTCAATAACTTTCCATCGTAGAACTGATTAGATGGGAACATGCATATCTTTGGATGCTGAAAAAGATTATAACAAAATTGTATATTGTCATTTAATGTATATTGCGCACGACGAAACTGTCCAAAGTTTACTTAAAACAAACTTTAAACAGCATAATTGTAACCGTTTCTAACTCTATGTTTTTATGTTTGTGTTGATATAGTTAGAATTGCTTTTAGCAAATATATCTTATGGATGTGGTAATATGTTTGTTGCTTCTATTTGGACGCAACGTCAATTCCTCACCATTCTGTACTGGATGTTAAGGAAGGATGCCTCATCTTTGTATCTTTCAAACAAAGACTGGTCCAGCCCCAACTCTGCAGCATGAGTAGATTTTACAATGGGCCTCAGCTGTTGGTGATCCCCGATCAGCACCACCTGCTCTGCCTCGGTAGCAACAATCGGGATCATGCTCTGGGGTTCTGGGCACATTGCACTTTCATCAATGATACACTGGAAAATCCTAGTTGGCTTTGTAAGCTTTGTGCTTCCAGAAACCCCGCATGTGCACAAGATCACGTCACATATTCTCAGTTCTCCTTCCTCGGCTTTTCCAACGAGATGATTATAGTGTCGTATTTCATTCAGGCTGATGTTCGTCTTTGAAACAAGATATACATATATCAACAAAGTCAACAGATGAAATCTATGTTTCACTTGCTGTGTAGTATTGACTTAATTCAGAATGCATCACTCGTTAAATATTAGTAGATAGTGATATGCACATTACAACTGCTTGTACGGTTTATATTTATAATCAATGGAGAAAAAGGACACCTTTTGAAAGTAGTTATCATAAAACAAATCATACTCCTTTTGGGTCTGCTGCAAACTTCGCATCATATGCCTTGATCTTCTCAGCGTATGGTTTTCCTTTCTGTCGGATGACAAAATGGAGCGTGATGCTCCTCAGGTCAGGGTCAGACTTAAGGCCCCTTGTACTTCTTTTTGAGATGAAGTCACGTTTTGGTATTGGGAAGTCTTGGTTTTTTATTGTCTTCCCATACATCCGTAAAATCTTCGGACATTGAGGCCCCAGCTTCTGCATAAGGTACTCTGGGACACATTGCAAAAGATTATCTCAACAACAAGAAAACAATATTGCAAAATATTGCAAAAAGTAGTAGCGATCCCCTGTGGCCATTTCCTAAATGTTCCCTTCCAAGACAAGATTTCCAGACTTTTTCACAAGATGCAACAATTACAGAAGTGAATATATACTGAGAGAAACAAATAAAGGATCACGTGAAACTTCGAGCGTTCCTTTATTATTTTCCAGTTTTCATCACCACAGCGCTATTCAAAGCTGGTGATGAAAACTGGAAAATATTAAAGGAACGCTTGAACTTTCCTGTGATCCTTTATTTGTTTCTCTCAGTATATACGTATAACCGGCAATTAACGTTTCACAATAACCTCAAAGATGACCTCGACCTTTGACAAACGTTGAACCAACATTTCACGTGTTAGGATTTGTGAAGATACCTATGCAATTAAAGGTTTCATGCCTGTTGAGGCAACCTTGCCTCATATACTGACAAACATATAATCATGTTTCAGAGAAACCTGAATCTCGACCTTTGATTTAAATATTTATCCAAACAAATTCAAAGCTGGGCCTCATCCAAGATGAAGGTAGATACTGAGTATGATAAGTTTCAGATGAGGTTCAACTTTAACCTTGACCTTGGTCAAAAGACCTCCCAAATTCAGTGTAGAATAGGTCAATTGTAGGTGATTTAAGTTCAGAAGAGAAAGTATAACTCAACTACTACTTTTGACAATTGACATTTGATGTTCTAGGATGAAACATTTGAGCTTTAACTTCCATGCCTGCAGAAGTAACCTTGCTTTAGAAGCTGACACATATACAACCACCTTTCACAGAATCAGTAACGATGCCCTTGGCCTTTACTAATGACCACCAAACCATTTATAGCAGGTTCCCATCTAGAACGGGTATATGCAAAATATCTATATACATTATACGTTGATACGTTTAGGTGAAGTATAACCAGAAAAAGAAACTCAATGTTTCTGTCATTATTTTCTATGACGTGACCTTGGCTTTGACCTTTTGATGACAATAACATTTAAGAATGTAAGAACAATCTCTGATTTTTTTTATCATTAGTACAAATTTGTAATTGATGGTCAAAAACAGCATCTCAATGCACCCCGTTTCTCTGGATGGTAAATAAACAAGAATCTTCATTACATTCTACGGTTCTTTTGTTTTGAAATACATTCACTGCATATGTCTACGTCCTCAATGCGTAAACTTTATATATGACAAAACGAATACACCCACTGGCAACAAGGTCAACGGACTTGTTTGAAGGTCCACAGAAGAGAATTTGCTTCTGTTCCTTGTCATACCCCTTGCTGTGCATCTCCTTGTTGATTTTGTTGAACAAATAGACCAGTTTCAAACCAGTGTAAGTCTTTCCGGTGCCTTGAAGAAAAATAAAACATAAATGATCAGGTAAATATTGCCAAGTGTCACCCAAAAGGCAAATATTAACTTTATATAAAATATTTTATACAAAATATCAGTTTATAGCCTTCCTGCAGCTAATTGGCCTCTCTTAGAATAGAATAGATTTTGTATAGAATGTTCTGACAAGTTGCATCCAAAGCACTGAAAAGAATGCTTACGTACCCGGTGGACCCTGTATTAGACTGAAGGGTTCTCCCAGAGCCCTAATTATAGCTTTTCTCTGATTCCTGTTGTTTGCTGGCATGAAGGCAGAACCAACTCAGTTCTCCTGGAAGAATATCAGGTTGGCTGTTCTTGCAAATTTGAAGTCGAACCGCACCTATGATTGTGAGTGTAAAAAGTTCACATTCATATTGTACTAAATGTATCTTTCCTATTTATTATTGACACTTGAAACAAAATCGTTTAATCCATCCTCTGAAGCAATGGCGTAATGACTACTTTTATTGAATAAATGAATCATGATATTGATATATGAATGAATTCTCTTTATGTTGTTTTTCTATCCTTAGTTTGAGTAAAATGATGGTAACTGTTATACTCAAACAAATACTAAAATGATTACTCAGGGGTTTTCTCTTCGAGTTCAGAGCGATGCTTGTAGCCAGTTTGCTGTCCTCATCCAGGTTCCTCAACATCTGTTCACATCTCCTGAAGTTTAGCAGAATTAACACCCTTTATTTCAGCATTCAATGACTCTATGGCTTACTGTATCCCAACATATTCAAATATTTTTTTCAAATGTGTTGTATTAATGTCTTAATACATCTTACGTCTTAGTACTGTCATAACATTACCAATTATTCCGGATACAAGCAGTGTTTGCTTTTCAAAGGACCTAGTGCTTTATGGTATAATACACGACAGACATTTTACCTGTCAACTTCAGTTTTGAAGATGATTTCAACCAATGCTGAAAATGTTGTTCTCAGTAAATGTTGAGGAGGGGAAATGGAGTTGGGCATCATCTGGAAAGTTGCTATGATCTGTCCATAATGATCATCTGTACTTTTCGTTTGATCTCCTTTTTTTCTGATCTTCTTTATCACAGCATGTCCTATCCACACAGACGAATCCTCAAATATGCTGCTATTCTTTTGGTACTCATTTGGAGTATACCGGATGCAAATATATTCCAAAGATCCGTGTTTAGGAATGTTATCAAATGGCGTCTCACCAGATTTCACTTTTGTCAATCTATCAACTGTTTTCCCATCTATCTCAATTGTGCAGGCATCACAAAATGCAGAGTCCAAGGAAAACCACCCAAGTATTGAATCTGCTATCCTCTCCAATCTCACATTAAGATTTTTTAGGATGATCGATCCCTCACTGCCAACAGCTCCAGTAGCTGACTCCATTTCTAAAAGAGGTAGCCACGTTCTTTGATAATCCTTTGTGGATGTGAATTCACAATTTCTGACGGATCTCTTGACATATTTGGCAAAGATGTCCACAGGATCATACCAATGACCGAGACAAAGATTCAGGTTTTCGCACACCTGGAACATCTGCACATACGGCGTGAGGACACCTTGATCAGCAGTAGCATGCATCTGAACCTTCAATATCTGACCTGGGGTAAAATTGAAACTGAACCTGCAGTGGTGGCTTATGTCCAATGTCTCAGAACAGTCAGCTGCTGCCACCTTTTGGACTCCTGTTCCATTCAGGTAGCAACGTTCTCCTTTTCGTGAAAGGGTTTTTGCAACACTACATATCTTCTGGGAGTCCTCAAATACAGCCTGCAACAGTTTGGCAAAATCAGATAATTGAATGTGCACTGTATGCATGTTTGAGTCAATTTGCACATCCTCTGTTACTCTTGGTGCCTGATGTGATTGTGAAGCTGCCATTTGCTGGTGGCTGGTTGGCTTCACTAACCTGTAAATTCTCTTGTTCCAGGACCCACGTACAATCATCTTATTCATGCGATCACACCGAAATTCTTCAGGTCTTCGGCAGAAATCTAGAAGTTTGAATTTCAGTGCTTTGCTTCTGTTGGACATCTTTTTCAACGAGGGTATACATAGTGTGACCTGACTATCGCACACAGTATCAACAACAGCGTCAAACAACATTGGTGCTGAGGCCAACTGTTCGGCCTGCTGGACACCCACAGAGGCTCTATCAAAACGTTTTTGTCTCCTACACGATTCGGTGAGTTCTGAGCAAAGAGTGGTCATTTCTTCCACTGAGTACGGAGATGTATTCCGTTTTTCAAGGAGAGCATGCACCAAACGATGGTTGACAAGATCAACGTACCTTCTTATAGGTGATGTAAAGTGAGTGTAGGGCTGGATATTTAGGGAGAAGTGCTGCAGATCAGTTCCTGTTCCATTCCCAGAACATTTGTACACAGCCGACTCCATAATATCAAGCCAGTGACTCGTAGCAAGACATTGTAAGGGGTGCAGCTGATCACAACAAAGAAGGCCTTGCACAGACTTAAGATCTTTTTCTCTAACCGCTTCAAGTATTTTCCCCAGACATTCCTTTGAACGGGGACGTACTGTTTTCTATGTTCTCTCGAAGTCTCACACTGTTTGTCAACATTGACAATTGTCTTGTCTAGGATGGATTTGCCCTGTAGTGCAACAAGTAAGTCCATGATATGCTGCTCGTCTTCAATCCATTTCTCCACCTCTTCTTCTGGTGGAGGATCTTGACACCGAAGAGGAACACAGACTCTGAAACGTTCCATCAATAATGACGCTACAAACCGATTAGCTTTTATCATGAATTCTTCAACTAGAGCGTGAGCTTCCACAGAGGTGAGGAACGTCTGAAAGTCCACAAATCTTGGATCCTCAAATGGCACATTAAACCGAGAGTTCTTCAAACGTTTTGAACGAATTTTCTGAGACAGTCGGTGAAGCTGTTTGATACAGTCTTTGAGATGATCAGTACACTCGACATCATCATTGTTTCCATCTATAACCAGCTGTGCCTCGTCATATGAAAACTTGCGACAAGATCGAATGATGTGTTTCTTGACAACAGGTTTTTCAACATCCACTCCATCACTATCAACGACAAATAAAACAGACAGGACTCGTCTGTCTTTGTTTGGTAACAAGCTCAGCTTGTCTTGGCTAAGTGGTTCTGGCAGCATATTGTGACTTCTCCAGTTTGACGATGGATAGAAAGTTGTAGACCTCTTTTGAGCCTCCTGGTCCACAGGATCACCCTTCTTGACAACAGCGGCAACATCGGCAATGTGGACACCGACCACAAAGTTTTCTCCTGCTTTCCATATACTGAGTGCATCATCAAGGTCTCTCGCCTGTGGAGGGTCAATAGTAAATACACTTTGTTCTCTCAAATCATCATACCCTTTTAAAGACAGTTGGTCTTGCTGTAACAATTCCTCTACATGTGTAACTGCTGCCTTTGTGTAGTAAGTTGGAACTCTAAACTGTTGCTTCAAGACGTTGAGACCTGAAGCATAGTCCCCTCCACAATCTAGAACCCTGAGAACAGCACCTTTTGGATATGTGTGTTGAGGACTCCAGGTTAGGAACACAACCAGGAACACATATTGGCCTCTTTTATTCGGCAAAATGTCGAAATATCTATCAAACTCAAGTTTTCTTCTGTGACCGATTTTGTAGATATCAATTCTGTATTTATGGTCTGCGTGGTTTTGTTTTGTTTTTCCATTCCAGATATAGATTTTTGGAACACTTCTGCACAATGGATGCATTACATATACCTCCTTTGGATTGTTGCTACAAGCAAGCAATGGAAAGTCCACATCTTGAAATTTGCTGCTAAGAGTGCCAACAACATTTCCAAAGACTGTATCACTATTGTCATTTTCTCTGTTCAAGATTTCAACCACAACTTCGTCATTGTTAAATGTTTGGCCACATTTTCCACGACCATGTATCTCTATTTTGTGATTCTTCTGTCCAGCCTCCAAAACTTTACAGGTAGCTCGATGAGGACCATCCAGTTCAATGCGACATCTCTTGTATTTCTTAGGGTTGGTGGCCAATAAATGTTGTAGTTGAGCCTTGTCCTTCTTTTGATGGTATTTCAAACCCTTCGTTGTAGTTTTAGGAATATAATTTATATCTAACCCTTCTCCAGCAACAAGTTCGTCTTCGTTTCCCCCTTCAGCGTACAGTTCCTGACTTTCTTCAAACCATGTCTTTCTCCCTCCCTCGTCTTGGGCATCTTCTCCATCCCCTTTATGAACCTTCTCTTCTTCTTCTTCTTCTTCTTCTTCTTCAGATTCAGACCAGTCATAGGATGCCTCTGGCAAAGCTTCTAACCTATCATCATCGTCTTCACTAATCTCTTCCCACGGATCAACCTCTATTACAACTTCCTCGTGGAATTTTTGGGCTGTATATGGACGGTATACCTGTGTTTTGGCTGGCATTGCCTGCTGAATAGCCTTAAGAGTCAAGTCAGAACGGTGAGCCTTGTCTTGTTCAACATTTTGAGATGACCTTGTTTTGGGTATGGCTGAAAAGATATTTGATAGTACATATATCTACTTATACTATTACCACTATTTCTTTTCCTGTAAACTGAAAGATGATCGACTCTACATCGGAACAAATAGCAATATTGCAGCACACAATGCAAAACTAGGTTTATGTAGATACATGATATTGATAATTATTGCTGGATTTTAGAAAATATACCATACCATCAGTGATGAGTAACAAGAAGAGCAACCAAGTTACCTTTTGTTTTGTATTTTGTTTTCTTGTGTTCAACTTTCACTTTCTCGGCCTTTTCTTGCTGTGACTATAAAAAGAAGAAAAAGGTTCATCAGCAGTAGATAAATATCTTTCATACTATCATAAAAAGGTATATATATACACACACACACACACATATACACACATACATATATATAGTATCATGAAAGAAGCCTAGAATTATGTATAGAGCTACCACTGCAAGAACACCATCTTGTATTTTTTGTTGGAAGCATTTTTTGTTTCAGAGTCTGTAGTGTGTTTAATTTTGTCAAACATTTTCTCTGACACTATATTACGTGCATTCCCAACACCAACACAAGCCAAGAATGTGAAATAGCTGATCCCCTTTCTTGTCATAAAATAACACGGATACATGATACTGTATACATATGTGTGAGTGAGTGAGTTTATCACGGAGGGGGACACCAGAAAGGAGCTGCACACTTTGTACCCATGTTGGAAATCGAACCCGGGCCTTCGGCGTGACGAGCGAACGCTTTAACCACTGGGCTACCCACCGCCCTAAATTTTTATTCTGTTTTACAGAATCCGTACTTAAGGTAAATAATAAATAATTTCCAATTATATTTTGTGATATGCAAATCCGAACGAGCCTCGAATCGGGTGCTGCCGATGTAGCTACAACCTAATGTTTTGCAAGGCATATTTGTTTTTTTTCTATTTAAAGGAGAATACTAGACAATTGCAATAATTTGCTGGGTGAAAGATAAAGTCATCAGAAATATGGACCCAAATTTCTATTTAAAAAATATGGTTTATTATGTTTTTATCGCGAAAACAGTTTCTGTTATCTGAAACGGACTAATGTTGTTCTGAATTTCTTAACATTAATGTCTAGAAGATATTTTTCTGTACGAATGAATGCTTTAAAACAGGAATCATGGTTTAACTTAATGTGTAAACGTAGTGAAAAATGCCACTTTTGAAAATACATATCTTTTAGCCATTGTGTTAAATCATTTATAAAATGCTCTGTACTGTTACATTTTGTTCTCTCCAAATATAATCATAGCCGCAAGACTGACACCAGAGGTCCAGTTATTTTTACCTCTATCATCGTAAAGCATCATCATGTTATAACATTTTGGGGGGAATCTGGAGCTGGGCATTTTAAGCAATCTTATCAAATATTTTATTACTTTTATGTAAATAAATATATACATAGGGTATCTCAAACATTCCCCATAAACTGTAACATATTTGGGGTGTTGGAGTTTACTCCTAAAAATCTTTTGCACGCATATTGATGTACAATATAGAACAAACTTTATGGATAACAACTTCTTTTTATTCGTGAGTGCGACGTTTCGATACAGATTCTTGTACCGTTGTCAAGCATAATAGAACATGAAGAAGGGGGAAGTGTATATATACTGGATGTAACAATGTAACAAAGAAAACAACATAATTAACATAATTGGCTAGGCAGAAAGCTGATGAAGCCAGAGAGTAGACAAAGGACAGGCGTGGAAGCCAATGATGTACAAATAATAATGAGATGTTTATACAGTAGATTGGGCTTGGTGGATGAGTGCATCATAAGCGGATGGAATGAAGTATCCCTGGTCTCGGTTGATGGTGGGCTTTTGGCGTTTGATGTGGATGGCTTCGGTGAGCTTGCGTTTAGTGAAGTCTGTTTGTTTGTTAGAGAGAATGGTAATGTCAGACCACTCTATTTGATGATTGGGGCTTGCTTTGATGTGGTCGGAAATGGCTGATTTGCTCTCGGAATTGGTAACAGAGGTCTGATGTTCTTTCACTCGGGTGTTGATGGGTCGGGAAGTTTCGCCTATGTAGCTCTGCCCACAATCACAGTTTATTGTGTAGATGACACATTTTGGGTTGTTGTTCTTTACGCTGGCGGGTTTTCTTCCATTCATGTAGGGGATGGACATCTTAATGGAGGCTGAATCTGCGGCTTGTTCAGACCCGTGAGTGCCCGCGAACGCTAGCGAGCACTCGATCCTGAACGCCTGTGCCCGTTCGAGCGCTCGCGCGCGCACGCGAACCATTCTCACAGCTGCCTCGCCAAGCGAACCAAGATGGCGATCATGTTTAATGTCATTCGTCACCACTCGCCCCTTTCCGTAACCTCCAAAAAGAAGGCATGGAGGATATTTTGTTAATGTATATTTCATCGAGTGGTCTGACAAAGTTGATATGTTCACGAGTAGAGGAACCATTGACAACATTAACAAAATATTCTATTTATTATATTTTGATTCTTGTTTATAAATGATCGAGACATCGATTTCGTAGTTCGCGTTTCGTAGTTCCAGGCAAAAGTGATATTCTACTCAGTGAAAATGAAAATACCATTTTTCTTTTCACCAATATTTACAGTATTTCACCCTTAAGAATAAAAGAAGCTATTCGGCTTGTCCCGGAACAACACCAGTTGGTCGCGTCCGTTCAGGGCCGATGCGAGCGCTCGCGTTTCTGAACACGCCTCTGGTTTGGGTCTTTTGGTAGGAGGTGACAGGGTTGCAGCGATGGTTCTGTTGACTATTTTGGATGGAAAGTGGTTACGTTCTACGAAGACTTTCTTGAGGTGTTCGATTTCATCTTGTAGTTTAGTTGAGCAGATGTTCTTGGCCCTTCTGGTTAGTGTGGAGATGATGCCGGTCTTAACTTTAGGTGGATGATTGGAGTTGTAGTGGATGTACTGATCCGTATGGGTAGGTTTTCTATATACAGTGGTCTGGAGTTGGTTGCAGGAGGTGCGGGACACAAGGACGTCAAGGAAAGGTAGTTGCTGGTTCTGCTCGGTTTCCATGGTAAACTTGATGCGGGGATGTTGGTTGTTGAGATGGGTGAGAAGCTGAGTGGGATCTTGCTGAGGTTGGAGGATGACGAAGGTATCATCCACTTTGCGATACCAACATGTGGGTTTGAAGGGTGCAGTATCTAGTGCTTTATCTTCCAGGTCCGTCATGTAAATTTCGGTTAGGATGGGGGATAAGGGGGAGCCCATGGGAAGTCCATGAATTTGTTCATAGATCTCGTCCCCCAAGGTGAAGTAAGTGGAGTTGATGCAGGTTGAGGTGAGACTGATGATGGAGTCGGTTGAGAGGCTGGTGTTGAGGGGTTGTTGAAGTTTATCAATTCTGTGTCGTAAGGCTTGGAGCGCTTCTTCTCTAGGTACATTAGTAAATAGGTCCACAACATCGTAGCTGATGATGGGACCTGGATTAGAGATGTCGCGGATCTTGCTGCAGAAGTCTGTTGAGTCGTTGATGAAGGAGTTGGCAGATTTACTTAAAGGAGAGAGTACTTTGGTGAGGTGCTGGGCAGTATTGTAAAACACCGTATCACGGGAGCAGACTAGTAGACGAGTTTTCACAGGATTCTTATGGATCTTGACAGTTGCTCGGGCATAGGGTGGCTAAGGATGGGATACTGATAGTTTGCGATACAGATCTGTAGAGAGTTCAAATTTATCATGCAGTAGTTTTAGGGTGGACTTGTGCTGACGATTCAGCTTAGTAGTAGGATCTTTATTGATCTTCTTGTACGTGGCGGTGTCATCTAGCAGGTTGTCTACCATGGTGTGGAAATGGTCCTTGTCTAGAACAATGGTGGCCTTACCCTTGTCAGCTGGGGCGATGACGATGTCCGGGTCTTGTGTACCTTCTCTAATGTGTCATAGATTTCTTGACCCCATACTTCTGCACCATACAGCAGAATAGGGCAAATCTTAGTGTCAATGATTTTGAAAAAGGTGTCAAAGTCGAATATTTGGGAACGGTCTTATGGTTCTTAAAATGCCTATTAAAATCTTTTTAGCCTGTAGTGCGGCTTTGTTGCAGTGAAATGACCAAATTAGTCGATTTGTAAAAAGTACACCCAAGTATTTGTAACTTCTTACAACCTCCAATTTTTCACCTTTATAAAACCATTTTCCCCGTTTGGCTAATTTCCCTCCATTTTTGAAAACTATGACCTTTGTCTTATCGATATTGACATTCAGTTTCCATTGTTCACAGTAGAACTCAAGTTGATTTATTAGCTTTTGAAGTCCAGGTACTGTACTTACGAACATAACAATATCATCAGCAAAAAGGAGTAGAAAAGGTTTAATAATTTCTGGATGTAATTGGATGCCCTCGTTACAGTTTTCGTATAATTGTAGCGATAGTTCGCTGATGTAGAACGAAAACAGAAATGGACTTAGTATACATCCTTGTCTTACCCCAATGTAACTTTTATATGAAGAACATAATATCAAAGTTGACAAAAACTATGCATTTACGTCATATATTTAATCATTTCAAATAAATTTGACCAAATTAGAATGAATGACCACATTTGCTGGGGCATTTTGTAGCTGGGGCAGTTCGACTGGTACCCGTGAGATATATATTATCAAAATCAGTAAGAGATTTCACATAAGCTTGAAAATGTTTCGCTATAACATTCTTTTCGGTTTTGACCGAGTACCCAAACGATTTCTATAACCAAAAACTAGGGAAACATACATTGTCCTGACTAGTATTTTATAATTCACCAGTTTTGGGGAATAACATATCTGCGTCGTGAATATTATCTCTGCTCGACCAGGCTGGGATCTTGTATGGAGACTTGGTACGTTATTAATGAGAACTAGCATCCTACTTTTTTTCACCAAAATAATTCCAGTGTAATTTCTGCAGCAGATAATTTCTATTTTTTTCCCCTGTCTGAAGCATAATTATTTTCTTCATAAATCCCAGACACCCTACAGTCAACCATTTGACACAAAAGGAACTGCAATCACATTTCCAAATAAATAATTCTTAGGGACTGGTAATATATTTATAGGGGTGGGTTTGCTAGTTGGAACTGTATCACCTTTTGATGATAAATAGTATTCATATTAAATTATATGGTCTATTTCAAAACTTATTTTGACCTCAAGCGGTGCCTCCGTTTCGCTTGATTCTTTTCTTCATCTTCACTGGAAGATTGTCTTGCAAGAAGCAAAATTGGATCGTATTGGTACGGTCTAACATCCATTTCAGAAATGACATCAGGAACATCTTTTACTGCTTCAGAATCCATAGACACTTTTAAGTTGTGAGGTAAAATAAAAGAGGAAGCCATCAGCAACAGGCACATATGACGTCATGTCACCCCCTTTGCTCATTAACTGTCGGGTGTTTTCGTAATAGGCGGATATACGAGTACGTTTTTTGTGTTTTTATTGCTATTTTACAAACTTTTTGTTCAACTTTAATCACGGAATGTGACTTTTAGAACATCCTTTACAATATATCAAAAGTTTTGTTTTCGTTCGTATTCTCCTTTAAGATATTCCTACCTTCAGTGCGTTGTGCAAAACGTGTGGGCCTTGGAGCCATTCTGGGTTTGCTTCATATGTAGTATGATGTTGTGAAGCCATTTGGTTCTCAAGACGCAAGGCATCTAGATACTTCTGAAGTCGACATTTCTCATCCCACAAATTACCCGGCTGAAAATATAGCAATTATGTTTGCTACAGTGCTGCTGTGTCAAGTTGATAAATCCTGGGCAGGTCTAACATCAACCAGAAAAAAGACGAAAGGTAAAGTTTCTTAATAATAAATTAGTAGAGGACATAAAAGTGACAGATTTCTTTAAGGATACAATTTGTACAATGTCAAGAAGGTATTACTACAGTTTAAAGACCTGTTAAAAGACCTGTAAGAGGTATATTCTGTGAGGACGTGAAACTTGACCATTACACAGGATGAAAGCGCCAGCTCCGCACATTGAACTGCCAGTCTCAAGTTCCCACTTTTGTGACAGCATTTTGACCACATTTCCAGGGCCGCACTGTCGTCCATCTTGAAATAAACCTCCGCAGCTGCAACAGGTCATGGCTTTTAGTTGGTCTATCATGTGAAAAATGTTTACTAGGGTGAAATATATATTTACATTAGCATTCACTGATAATACATTATTGCAGCTTACCTATCAGGAATTGGAAACCAACAGGTTGCTTGGTATCAACTGAGTCGAAATATCAGATAAAACGAAAAATATTGTATCCACCTCCGAAATAGAAATTTACCGGGGTTATCTTTTCTCTCATTTGAAAGTGGACAGGGAGTTTCCAAACCAATTTACTGAACGACCATCAACGTTCATATTACTCTAAATAACGTTAGCTAATTATACGAAGGTTGGTGCAAAAAAGCTTGAGCTTTAAGAACACATTACATTGAACATTTGCTGCCTCAGATTGAGATAAAGGTTGGGTGAATTGACTCCATAGTAGTTTGCACAGTAATATATTGCATTTGAGGAAGATTCTGGACCAGATCGCAGTGTTTAATGACTCATTCCTCAGATATATGAAGGTCAATCACGCCTGTGTTACACATACCGACTTTCGCCAACTTCCCAGCCCCTTCGTAGAGCCCCTGTCAAATAAATAGGTACTGAATAACAATTATGTCCCAAACACTACAGAGAACATGTGCACTCGTTTGTAAATTGTAAAAGCTTAAAATGATCTGAATTTAGGCGCATTATCCTTCAAACACCATTAGGTATTTGGATATGACACTCAGATACGTAGGAATGTTTGTATATCCTGGCAAGGCTTGTTCTCACCTTTTCATAGGCACATTTGGCCATCAAAAGGATCAGATGTTTGGTCTTGTCGAAAAAGTTATCCTTGTGAAGCCTCATCCTGCAGTATGCTTGGAACACACGGAAAGAGGCGAGATAACACACCCCGGGGTTTTCCTGGTATGTTTTCTTTGCCATGAGAAGTAACTCCTGCAGCAGCTGAAGCAGCTCCTGTACAGTGGACAAGTTGGGGGATTCGTGATTGTCTTCAGATAAATGATGGTGGCTGTGGTATGATTGTGTGAGTAAGAGTTGATGTGTGTGTGTGTGCGGGTATGCTTGCGTGTGCAAGAGAAATAGAGAGAACAAGAGAGAGGATGGATGGTGGTTGAGGGAGAGACAGAGAATGAGTCCATATTCGTCTTTGTTTGAATTTTGATCACATATATAAACCTTTCAGGCTGATAAAGGTTTGATGGATTCGTATTTTCCTTTACTGAATTCTTTTAGAATGATTTTAATACCAACAATGGGGTAGAGAATTGTGTCCATCTGTTATTTGTATACTAGTTCTTTGTTGCAGAAGTTCTGCACAGTTTACAAACACAGTTTACTAAACATCTAACTGAGATACGTTTATAACATTTAAGAAACAAATATATTTACCTCGTAGCGTTCAGCAGTAAAATTTGTGTTCTGGAACACTGATTTCCATAGGGAAGTTTCTATCTTCCCAAATTCTTTTGTCAACTTCACCTCTACATCGTTGTCTTCTGGGTCTTTGGATATGTACACGTCAAGTTCCCCGGTCAAGATCAAAGCTGCAACAACCGAAATGCCCTTCACCTTAGCACAGAGACACGCAAATATACCGTGTGTGCGTTCGTTCGTGAATGTGTTTGTGGAATGAGTAGTTTTTCTATACTTAACTGTTTTGTGTATTTCGAAGAAAAGATAAAGTTATAAAAATGTATATGTTGTACCGTTTCACTTACGTTTGCACCTATTTTTAATTATGGAAGGTTCACTACCGGCAGTTTGAGACAATCACTGTAAGCATTCCTTTGGCATTTCATTCCATCTGAATATTAAGTACATTATTGCCTTAATAATCGGATAACGGATGTTACAATGATGTATAATTAATGGTTTCATGTTTGCGAAACAAATGTTTCTTTTCATATATTATTTTCTTATATTATTTTTACATTTTAATGTATCCAGAGCGCTGACATCGCTGCATGCATCGATGTAGTGTCTAGGTAATTGATGTGTCTTTTCCAGACAAAATTAGGGATCCATTTCCTGCGATGACGTCAGTATGTGTTTTGGGGCTCTTGCAGGATATTTTGATGGGTATGTTTTTTTAAAATTGTTATTTTTTAGTTGTCGAAGGTGATCGGACTTTGAAATTTTATATGATATGGTGCCAGGTTTTGTAATTCCAGCAGATCTCGATTTCTTTAAATATATATTCATGAGTTCCTGAGAAGCCATTCCGACTTACCATTGTACAGAAATCGCAGACCATTCAGAACTTGACTGCACCTCTGTAATAATGCCATGAAAATATACATTTTTGTTTCATCAATATCCGTAAAGGAGAAGCAAAACACAAGAATTGTCTATCCACTCTGTACAATTCGAAATAATCAGAGGTTTATGAATCAGGAAAGAGTTAGCGTCTCCTGTCTTGTCGGTAGCAAAATACGAGAACATGTGGTACAAGTCGAACTAATGACCAAATTAGACGAACTGTCTTTGTCAAATTTGCAAACCTTTTACACATCTGTATTATGAAACTATGTTTTGCATTGTGATCAAGCAACTATGAGGAAAAGATATATCACGCTCTTTGAACTTCTCCTGGAAAGACCATGCCAGTCAAAAAGGTTTTGAAATGTTGGCATCAAAAGCTTGAGCTCAATGATGAAAGGTTGTCCGAAACACAAAAAGGAAGTTGAAGTCACACCTCTTTTCACACAGCTTTGGGTCTCCAGTTATGAACAGATCTCAGTATGAAATATATCTGGGACTGGCACTGGTCGTATATATTTCTAGTTCAGAGAGGTAAATCAGCGCAAGGAGATTGGCGATTTGACCATTATAGAATGACATCAGATCATCGCTGGGCCTGAAGCCTAAATTTCTGACCAATTTTCCGTGTTTGGTTGTATTTCGAGCAGACAATCTGATTCATGTTTAATAGAAAAAACGATCACCATAGATAGCGTCCATGGGGATACCTACTTCCTGCCTAAATATCATATGGCAAACTTACACAAAGACGGTATCAGTCAGGACGTCTAGAATAGTGTCTTCTCTGTATTTCATTTTGGACACATTGTCTTGAATCTTTGAAGATAGCGATGAATTAGAACGGCAATAGGAGACTGTATCAAGGCACGATGTTAATATCCAGCAATTCCTTCGATATTTCAGAGCCCACATGATATTAAATCCGCTTGTTTCAAATACATTGTATTCTTCGAATATAAAGTCCGTCATTAATCATATTCAAAATTAAGGGGGTTCTTTGAGACGGGATTCGCTGTTACATTTGCTATTCGATTTATAGTATTTTGCACTTCTAAGCTATTGTTAACAAATATTATTGTTGTCATCAATTGTTTGAGTACATGTATGACCCGTCTTAAGGCAATACTGGGTTTGAAAAAACAAACAGCTTTGCAGTAACCAAAATGATATTTTTGGAGGTGATATTAATCAAATCGCATTGACATTAAGTACTTAAAGAATGTCATCCCATAAACATAGTGAAAACATAATAATAAATAGATTATTAAGAACTTGGCTATAGTGAGGTTCGAACCCCAAATCAGCAGATCTCGACATGCTAAGGTACACAAATTTGTCCACTGAGGATATTAAATACTAGTATACATACCTCTAGTATGAAGAGTCTGTTGAGTCTTGCACATACTAGCTGACTGAATCTAGCCGTCCTGTCATCTGTTGGAGTTGTTGCTGACAGAATTGTCTTGGCCTCTTTCTTAAATTTTCCCGCAGTGTGTTCATCAAAGCTCCCATCGCGGACACTCTTAATAGCTTCTTGAACAACCATATCAAGGTCAGTCTCAAAGCAAATAAAAGATACGTTAATACACCCATTCTGCATAGTCATTGTTTCATACTTACAGGAAGGAGTACCTATACTAGCAGCTCAGCCGAGTACGACCAAAAGGAATTTCTTTCAGCACATATCAGTGGTAAGAAGCCAATAAACTATGGCCATATCAGAGCGCTGAGGAACTCAAGAAATGTTTTCAGTATATCCAGTAATTCTAGCCCTGTGATATGGTTCTCCAATTGTCTGTAAGTAGTAAGTAGCAAGCAAGGCGAGAATTCGGTACAGAGCGAGCAATCGTATGACATATGTCTGATGACTTCTCAGACATATTAGAGAACCTTTAACAATAGACTTCCTCAGCCAAATCGAACGGAATAAACTACCAATGAAATGAACCTCGAAATAGTTTCAGTGATCAAGATTGGACAGTTGACTGCACATAATACATAACAGTTCCTTATTGCTATGTATACTTTAATGTAACTGAAAACAAATACGTTTGTTTAAATGTGAAACAAGCTGAAAGTATTGTAATGGGGTAGTGTTAGTCAGTAGTGTTATAAATCTGAAACAATGTTCCACTAGAACATCACAGTGTACAGAAGGTGTGGGGTGGGGTGGGGACGGGTGGGGTGGTGGTGGTGGGTGTCATTCGTGTTTACATCTTAGACAGAGTTCTGGAAGGTTCTGCTGGCTACATCAGCACCATGATCCTTTCCTCTAAATCATGACCCAAGGTGTTTTGGGTGCTGGAGTCTCCTTCTTTTGGTATTAAGGGGAGGTAACTCTTGCCTTTCATGTCACATTCCATGTCAACTTACAAGAAGTCTAGCAGTGTGGATACTCAGTTTGAGCCTATTTCTGGAATCTCGACCGTTGTTGCTTGAGTCGAATATTACCATCTCTGTCTTGATTGCTATTATTACAGCTTTTATAGTCTGCCTTAGAATTGTACTGCCAGTGTTAAATGTTTGCAGTGATTTGTATTAGTTTGTAAACTTATCTACTTTTAGAATATACTAGTAGTAGTTAATTACATTCCATCTCTTTGTTGGTTGTTGATTTTACACTGAGTTCTTTCACGGACGGGCTTTCGGTTACAGTGTAGTTTCAGATTGGGAATCCGTGCGTACCAATATAGAGAATTGAGCCATTATACTATTCTAATTTTACAATAAGGCAATGATTACATGTTATTAGTATAAGTGTGTGTGTGTGTGTGTGTGTGTGTGTGTGTGTGTGTGTGTGTTGTTGTTGTTGTTGTTTTGGTTTGTTTTTTTATATAACTGAAATAGGCATAAAACGAAAGTTGTAGATAATTGCCTCTCACCTGCAGTTTAAAATGACTTTGTCCTAATACGGCAGGGCTTGATTCGAGCAGGGACGCCATGGGAGATGGACGATGGGTCAGCGGGTTGAAGTCTGAACCCTCTCAAAAGGTAAGCCTATGGGTGCCCGGAGTGGCTGAGACTGACGGTGAGGACTCATCACAGGTAAAAGCATCCGTATGGGAGGGGTGGGAGGCGATGCTGCAGTACCGCTATAGGAGGTGGAGGGTAGGAAATCACTGGTAGGACTGGGGGTGATGTTTGGAGTTGGGCACGGGAAGGGAAAAGGCCTGGCTCCGGTTGATTTTGAGCGTATGTTGAAGTAGCCCATTCGGGTGGTTGGTGTTGGTGTTGATGTTGAAACGTTGTAGGCATATTTTGAAAGGAGGTAGATGAGGATGGATGAGGTTCAGGCGTTGCGGCATTGTTGGGGATTTCAGCTAGCCCCTCGCGGCGATCATAGATGACCTCTACATGGTCGGAGTCTCCATGCTTCTGGTCAGCCTCCGGATTTGACTGCTGCAACAGGAGAATATCCTTGAAGAGTTAGTGGCACAGGTGAACTCTCGACAGAGAGTGAGTAAAGAGTCTAAGAGTTCCTGTCACACCTCGGGGGATACTCATTCAAGGCACCAAAATTTGCTATGCATAGAATCGTCGATACGACCTACGAGAAACCTGTGTTCGTGAGTTCGAATCCCAGTTCGCCCCGTTTATGTTTCCACTTTTGCCAGCGCCGTATCCGTATGCTGTTGGGTTGTACCAAAATTGCAAATATCTGAAACCTACGTAACTTCATGATGATGAAGAAAACACGGTCAGTGACCACAATGTGTTTTATAGGATGCCTCCCTGCGTGACGACATATTGAACGTCACGTCAGGGGAACCCACAGGGAACTTTCACCATCCTGTAAAACTGAAGGACATGTGGGTTATCTCTCTAAAACACTTTTAGCTCTATTTCGTTTCCACCTCTTCAAAAATACACCCATGAGGTTCCGGTTTAGAATTGATCTTCAGTAACCCATGCTTGTCGTAAGAGGCGACTAACGGGATCGGGTGGTCAGGCTCGCTGACTTGGTTTTTTGACACATGTCATCGTATCCCAACTGCGTAGATCGATATTCATGCTGAACAATAGTGAAAATCATTTGGGTAGATAATTGGCTTGCATCTTCTTTGTCAGTGAGCCTAACCACCTGATATCGGTTGTCGCCCTTTAATACAAGGATGACCTGTTGTATCAGGAGCTTGGTTTACATTTGGTATTACAGTGAAAATACGGTTTATAATTTACTTCTATGTAATTGATTAATTTATCTTCTGAAAACTGCATTTCAGAATCATTAAGTTGGTGATTATATATCTATCCTTGTATGTGATCTTGTAAAAAGAAACCTTTTATGAGAATAATGACATTCAATGTATACAAAATTGTTTGTTAAAAATAAAAGGATCATGGATGAAAAAAATGTGTTATGCATTTTAAGGGGTGTAATAATGGTTCGTGGGAGTATTTCATGTATTAACCGGTTAACAATTTAGTATCACCCATGTGTCACACAGAACCTCTATTGTTCTTCAGAGGCAGTCGACTTAAAAAACCCTTGCATGCTCCACTGGTTTATTGTTTTCACAGTTGTCGTCTTCCAGGGAATAAACCGCTAGATGTTACTTAGATACACACACAGACTCGGATTACAGGTCGTGTCAGATATCATCACTCATGCAGTTAGCAAAGCACTGTCAGTCTCCATCATTCCTCTAGCCCCCGCCCCCCTAGCCACCGATTAGTACCTCAAGCCCCTCACCTGGCTGTTCTGTTAGCTGTACTCACTCCCCTGTTACAAGGGACAGCTAACAGAACAGCCAGAGAGGGGCTAGAGGTACTGATTAGTAGCTTGTAACTACAGGGACTATGGAGGGCGGGGGCTAGAGGGGTGGAGTCGTATGGTGATCTAACTTCAGTTGTTGGCAATCAACAATCCCTTTCTCCATTGTGTTGTTGCGTATAAAAAATCGTTTTATTGTTACATGTGGGTTTTGAATGTGAATGTAACTTCCTAGTTATTTCTCTGTTAATTGTAGAAAGGTATTTACATAATATATGTTTGTTTTATCACGATATACTAGTATACTTCATACGCCGATGTGATTTGACATTTTAACTACCTGACTTATTATCTCATGACCAGATCTCATATCAAATGACATGCAGAAATAGCACATCAAACAAATGACGTCACAATCCAACGGATAACATATGATCGTTGTCACGTGGCGTGCTAGACACCCAACAGCGACGTTATCTCATTACTCTTGATTGTTTGAGATTTCTTGAACCCAACTTTTTATGGCTCATTGGATTACAATGTCCTGCTGTTGGGCGTTAGCAGGATGTTGATGTTTGACTGACCTTGAATGGAAGTAATATGATAAAACTTGTTTTGTTAAGCCTGCAATATTATGACACGATATAAAATAAACCTTACCTGTATCTCCTCATCTGAAAGTCTGACCAGACCTATAAAAATATGAAACAGTTTAATTGGAGGATATTGATTTAGTAAATATAACATAGATCCGATTACGACTTCGACAGGTTTGAGAGAGAGAGAGAGAGAGAGAGAGAGAGAGAGAGAGAGAGAGAGAGAGAGAGAGAGAGAGAGAGAGAGAGAGAGAGAGAGAGAGAGAGAGAGAGAGAGAGAGAGAGAGAGAGAGAGAGAGAGAGAGAGAGAGACTTTAGTCAGTACTTTATTGGAGGCCGCGTGGCCAAGAGTACAAATACAATTGGGTTTAGTAGCACATTATTATAGCGGTTTTGGTTTCGTTCATTCATTCATTCATTTATTGTGAGAGAACCCACATAGCGACGCAGGTCTCGTTTGTAGGCGTAGGTGCCATTGATGCCAATTACTATTGTTCTATCTCTTTGAAACCTACGAGTGCAGGTAATGGGTAGGCGCAGGAAGACTCAACATTGTTGTGATAAAACGGATAACTACTACTGATACTACTTTTAACAAACAAAATGAAACATCAACAGCAACAATGTCAAATCGTGTTTTAACAGATCATTTACGGTATTGACGGGAATGGCATTAAGCCAACTGAGTACCACTGAAGGCAGATTACCTATTCAGTGGCAGCAATGTGGGAGAAGGAAGCGTCATTACACAGGGTAAATAAGTTCAATATCTGCACGTTAGCGATAATGAGAAACATCATGTTTACACGTGAACGTATCACCATTCCGTTAAAACTGTATCCAACTCACATACGGGGTCCGAGTAAACGGGGATCGACTGTATTCTAAATCATTATTGTGCAATGCATATTACTAAATAAGGTAAATATAACGCATATTACCGTTTGACATTTCTGTCTGGTATTAACAAGAGCCGAAACAATCCCTGGGTCTGTTGCGCCTGCGCTAACGCTCCGACACTGACCCAGGCAACCACTGCCGAATGGCGGCCTTCACTGCAGGGAGACGCGCCATACATTTACTATAGAAAAATCCGAGAACGGGTGGTTAGAATTTTTTCATAGCATTTTCATCGATACTATGGCAAAGTATACGTCACCAGAACAACACCCATCGTTACTTTCAGTGTACGAACACGTTATTTAAGCAGTTTCGAGACACGAAAATCGTCGTTACATGGGCGATATGTAAACAATGACACACACCCTATTTTCATCACCGACATGTGCTTTGATATTTCGTGTCAGCTCGCTATTGCCACGAAATCGTACACATAAAACATGGATCTGAACGACCACATTGATTGAATATAGTTAGCATCTTTATTTTAGCAAATTTGATGACGAAAATATCGCCGATTATGTCCCGTGTCTTCCATCGTTTCAGGGTAGGTTTAGCGGATATATTTTTCGATCGCCTTGTGAAATTACAAGGTAAAGCGTTTAGATCATATGGATGATGTTAATGACAGGGTTTGTCATTCTGATATTTAGCCTCTACAAAACAACATGAAACAGTTAACATATATACCAATATCATTCAGAAATGTTTATGATTATAATAAACATGGTGAATCAAATGATCTATATACAAAAATGCACACACATATACAGCTCAAAACAATGAATTTGATACTTTATATTACTAAACTGAATATATAAAAATACATGGTATGATCAGTATGTTAATACATTGGTATAACATATATGTGAAGAAGAACTTTTTAGACAGATGAACATTCCACTATTTGTGAACTGTTGAATTAAGGGTGATTTTTACCAATGAAACCTGTCATGAGAACTGTAGTTTTTATGGCTTTAAGCCAGTATGAGAGTATACATTTGCTGTACATTGATTATTTTGAGCATGATAACCCTGGTGTTATTAGAATAGATCTGATACAAATCATCTGATATCAGCAATTTTTCAGTCAGATATCAGTTAACTAGTTTGGTTAAATGCTGCTATGGACTCTTTGCTTTACTTTATTATACTTTACAGCAGTGCATGCATACATAATTCAACACACCATCAGTGATTTTGTTTTGAATTTTGGGTAATTTGCTCTGTACTTGTTGACCAGTTCACTATTGTGATTTATATTTTTTTAAATCAAAAGTTTATGGTGTGTATCTTGAAATTGTGTCTTTATATAGATATTGGGTATTGTGTTAACACCTAAACTTATTTGGACTAAAGCACTAACTACTCTTGGTGCACAGAGTAAAAAGGCTGTTATGGCATTGTACAGATGTCAAAAGAAAGTTGAAAATAAACCATGTCAAGATTAATTATGATATTTAATGCTATGATTGTTCCTATAGTGTGTAATGGTGCAGAAGTATAGGGGACCTCATACTGTAAAATTATTGAAGATGTATAGCATAAAATGTGTAAACAGTTTCTCAAAACAGCAAACAATGTTATGGTTTGGGGAGAATGTGGCAGAACCCCTCTCCAACTTGTGCACACCACAAGCCCTATAAGGTATTGGTGCAGGCTACTGTATTTGGATGAACGCAAACTGCCTCGCCAATGCCGTACCTCAAATTAAAAATATTCTGTTTAGACTCATTCATATTTAGAATATTCTGATTTGAATATGTGCGGTTAGCACAAGATGTGAAGATATTTATTCGCCTGATTCCTTCTATTAACAGCATTTTAAATCACTGTTAAATGTGGAAAAGAATCTTACACTCCATATCCCTGTACACCTAAGACTATCCATGGCTCTTTTCAGATGTAGTAGGTTTAAACTTCCAGTCGATTTTGGAAGATACACAAATGTCCCATACACTAAATGACTGTAAATATTGTATATTAAGGGGAAGATCTTTTGTTGAAGATGAGTTTCATATGCATGTATTGCTTGTATGTGAGCATTACTCAGCCATAAGAATTATGTATGGGTCTTAAACAATTATATATAAAGTCCCACACTGTAACATTTTTATCGGATCGATGCTCATGCTGTTGATCTCTGGATTGCCTGGTCCAGACTCGATTATTTACAGACCGCCGCCATATAGCTGGAATACAGCCGAGTGCAGCCTTAAACAACAAACCAACCAACATCTTTTATCGAAATTCTTTCATCTGAAAACTTCGACAGACAGACAAGACAACTTTGATGTTGTATATAACTCATGTCTATATTTATATTAAACAGCTAAGGGAATTGTAATAGATTGCTTCATTGGCATGCGTGTTTCATGCAATCAAAGATAGTCTGTATTAAACTGTCTGTTTATTGTGATTGTAATACCAACAGGTTTCAAAACTGAATGTACCCCATTCCCCACCCCTCTCCAACCCCAGATATAGCTACAGTGTTTTTATGTAATAGGAAATGGACACATTATGAAATTTTAATAACTGTTTTTTACTAAACATGTCTTTAACGAACATGAGCCCCATCTGGGAGTATTGTGTATCAGTGTGTTTTAGACAATGCGCACTTTCCTTTTTATGAGTCGGCTCTTTCAAAACAAGCTAAAACACACACAGTTATGAATATTTCATAATGTGTCCGTTTTCCTATTATATACAAAACTGTAGCTATGTATGGGGTGGGGAATGGGGTACATTCAATGTTATATATAAAGGTCCGATGTGTAATCAACTTCCCAGTAGAATCACGCAGATGTTGCCATACTATGACTATTGTTAAACTTTTTAAGATCAATGCCTATTGCATCACCGTGATCAGCCCAATGCAAAATGGAAGAACAGATATGGATGTTATATTGAAATGATATATGCCAAATGAATACAAATAATAAATAGGCCATATTCTTCTAATATTATTCCATTTTGAAAGCACATACATTGTTAAAAAACATTGTTGAATGAATCATTTATGTGTTTCAAATGTATTAGAAATAATTATTATTAATTATATAATGTGGTAACAACCATTTTCTAGTTACTATTACTGGGCGTTCAGTTTATTTCCAACACACAAAACAGGAGAAATGGGGGCCAAATCATCGAATTACACGTCATCATATTTGCTAAAATAAAGATGCTAACTATATTCAATCAATGTGGTCGTTCAGATCCATGTTTTATGTGTACGATTTTGTGGCAATAGCGAGCTGACACGAAATATCAAAGCACATGTCGGTGATGAAAATAGGGTGTGTGTCATTGTTTACATATCGCCCATGTAACGACGATTTTCGTGTCTCGAAACTGCTTAAATAACGTGTTCGTACACTGAAAGTAACGATGGGTGTTGTTCTGGTGACGTATACTTTGCCATAGTATCGATGAAAATGCTATGAAAAAATTCTAACCACCCGTTCTCGGATTTTTCTATAGTAAATGTATGGCGCGTCTCCCTGCAGTGAAGGCCGCCATTCGGCAGTGGTTGCCTGGGTCAGTGTCGGAGCGTTAGCGCAGGCGCAACCTTTGCTAAAAGATCAAAATCACTGATAGTACTTTATAGGGTGATAAAGTACACCTGTACACACTGTATTGACGTCACCACGCGTTTCTTGTCCGCCCCCTCGTTACCATCACCAGGGTAGTACTCCGAGCACTGAAACGCCAACGCTCATTGACTGCTCAAGGATAATGACGCATTTCGTCATTGCTTATTCAAGTCATTTTAAAAAGGACATGTGTTGCCATCCTAAAATATTAAAACCTCACCCATTCCCACACTAGTTACACACGCGGTGCAAGAGTTATTATTCCCTATTATCCGTTGTATGGGTGTGCCCCAAACCCTTCTACAACAGGATTTGAAAAGGATAAGTGCAATGCTTAAAAGAGCGACTTCTTTCTTTAACTCTGGATTTTTAATACGTAAATGGGCTTGAATATATTACGTCACTGCAAAAATACCGTCTTTACTATTCCCACAAACAGATTCTGTTAGGAGTAGAGAATAGTGGCTGTGAACATCAGATATTCTCCAACAAAAGAAAGATTTGAACGACGCTTTCAATGGTATTCCCAGTCCCAGTTCGGGAGTTTGAAGCGGGAGAAACACCTCAAGTAATACATGTTTTTTAATGTTTACAAGGCGGAAACACCTAAGAATGGGTGGGGCCTTTTTAATCCTTTCCTCATCCATACCAACAAAATTTCACATATAAGTTTTTATCCTAAATAACAAATGGTCCATGAACTGCAGGGTCAAAGAAAGGTTACAACGCCCAATGATGGCTGCTAAATGAAACCACCAAGAAGAGGGTATTCGGTGTTGCCGTATTTTATTTGTGTATCGTACTCGTGTACCTCAAGTAAACTGTGAATCAATAACTGTTTTCAGCCAAGTAATATTTTGATAATCTTTTGAAATATTTCGGTAAAATCTGAGTATATATTAAAATAAAAGTGTAGATTTTATTTCGCACGGTAGTTAAGTTCACAATGACCAAGCTGAACAATTGACGTAACACAGAGGCATGTATATGATTGATTAATATCTGCAACTGTCAGCTTTGCTTTGACAATGATGCTATCTCACGTCCTAGTGATACGAGTTAACTGATAATAGGATGTGTTGCCTGCTTGCTTGCTAAATGGCGTAGTACCAAGCTATATGACGGGGGTCTGTAAATAATCGACTCTGGACTAGACAATCCCGTGACTGATATGATAACTGATCTACGCAAATGGGATACGATGACATCGGCCAGGTCAGCTGGCCCGTGACCACCTGATAGTTGCCTCTCAAGACCAATTCTGACCTGGATATTCACGGATGGATAGCCGGATGTGAAGAAAGGGGATGGGACCTGACACCATGGCACGGCCACACTTCAAGCGTTTATTCTCCATTTTGGCTGAAATGCTCCCAAAAGATTATAAAAAATCTTGTCAATGTTTCATCAGCTTTGGTCTTGCCTAATTCGATTCCCCTACTATGGTGAAGGATTTTTCTGATGATGATGATGATGATGATGATGATGATTTTGAGATTTATCGTTCGCTTTCTAGTGCACCCTGCCCCTATATAGCTGGAATGGTTGCTGGAGTAAACTACGTTTATAATGAACACTCTTGTATCAAACGTAAAGGTATATCGAACTGTTCTGCTATATATTTTAGTACAGCCAGGTACACGTGGCCTATAATCAGAGGAGGTTCCTCGCTGTTTACTGTATATGTAGAAGCGGCGTAAATCTCACTCACTTACCCCAAATCCGATATTGCTTTGTAAACAATAACAAGTGGAAACGAATCAGTATCGCACTGTTTATTTGTCTTCTTTCGAGTGCCCAGAACACGTTAAGTGTTAAGTGCTTAAGTGTCCAGAACACGTTACATGTCCAGTGCACAAGCTACCATGGCATATGCGGCCATGTAAAGACAGGCGACTGAAAATTGAAATTCTTTCATTTTCCCCCTACCGTCCTGAAACTGTAACACACTATATCAGTCAAGCGCTGATGTATATACAAGTACATGTTTGGTCTTCTACAATTTGTGTTGCAGTGTGTTCCCTACACCTGTTGCCAGGTGAAGTCAATCTAGCCCTTTATAAAAATAGTAAAACTATCAGGATAAATATGGATCGTTGCCCTGCCATCACGACTGTTCATATTCGTGCGTACAAATGCTATTCGTAAAATTTACTTGTAAAGCATTTTCATTGATAAATTTTCATTTGCTCAATAGGTACATATTCCTGAGTGATTCAGCTGATACTTAACGTCACATCAACCGTGACGAGAACACTTTATTATTTAACAAGAAATATATTCAAACTATAAAAAACCCATATATACATAAGCTTCATTGATACATATTTCCTCCATAGATACACATGTATTTCATAGCTACAGTGGAAACTGTAAAATCCGACATCTGAATTATCCGACAATCTGTGAATTCCGACATATTTTTGGGGTCCCGGCAGAGACATTGAATTACCCGACATGCTGTATAATCAGACATTTTTCCGGGTCCCAGTGAGTGTCGGATTATGCAGAGTCCACTTTACATATTTTCTCCAAATTTTTTTGCTCAATACTTTTCAAACATACCCATGTCGTAAGAATATACACAACATTTGTCCATAGCTACCTATTTCCTCCACCGGTTCAGATCAATTAAATCTACACTCATTTGTTGCATATATACAAGAACCTATCCCTTTGAATTAAACATTGGGTGAATCGGGTATAATACCACATTATTATAGCGGTTTTGTTACATTCATCCATTCATTCATTGTGAGAGAACCCACATAGCGACGCAGGTCTCGGTCGTAGACGTAGTGCCACTGATGCCAATTACTATTGTTCTATCTCTTTGAAACCACTTCTGTTTGAAGTGCAGGTAATGGGTAGACTCAGGAAGACTCTAATGTGATGTCATAAAACCATTTATCACCATTCTAGACACTTCCATTTATGTACATATATAGAGATTCCCACCCAAGTGTCTACTCATATCAAATATATCACCACGAGTTGATAAAGTACTTCATGCACCTTATTTGTCTGTATATAATTAATGTAAACAATTCAATCAGCATAACCTATTTGATTTCCCTGGAAAAGGTAATTGGGCTTGTAAACAATATGTTTCCATGGACGTATCTGGACATACCCAGAAGCAAATATTCAACAGCTGATCTGCAGCAATTCTCAGTAAAGTTTCTCTCTTCAAAATCTGCACATCATCCTAAAATGACACTGAATATAAGGAAATCCATTTATTAATCATCCTTTCCATTTTATTTTTCTATATGTACTTTGTTGTGGAATCCTAATTTACATACAATCTTCCACAATACTGGACTTCATGAACTGCCAGCGTTTATGTACAGGTATGTCACAGCATCAGAACACAAAGAAGATCCAAGGTACTGTCTGCATCTGTACACTACTCATCTTCCAGAAATAGGAAACCTGTGATGCAAAATCTTTGAACAAAGGATCCACAGTTATCCGAACAATTAACTAGAATTGATGTAGAACGTTACACAAAATACAAATGTATTGTTTTTTCATCAGAGATGTTTACCTGCTAACTACTAGTGTAAATAAGGTGCAAAGAATATATATCCTATGTTCAAAGCTTTTCATCAATACAATTACATATTGACATTATTGCTTCTTAAACAATGATAATCTTTGTTTTATTAGATCTGAGACTATATCACTAGAGGACATAACACTGATTTTGATCTATTTCCTTTTCTGAGATACTTACTAGTGGCATAAAAATTATAGTAAAGTTGATTCAAAATTTGGTAAAAGTCATAACAAAGGTTTAGGAAAACACACATGAAAATGTCCTGAAGCGTTCACCTCCTACAAGCCAGTGTGCAATTTAATATGAAGCTTATCTTCCAAATAACCATCAACAAACCTTGAACAATTGTCCAAAACCAACATCTTAATAAACACTAGCCTTGGCTCAATCTGAAATAACTTTAATGAGTTATGATACTAGCAATCACTTTCAGAATCAACTTATTAGTAAATGTATTATTTAAAAAACATCTAAAAGCAGGAGCCAAGAACCTAAGTTAATACAAATAATTTTCCTGCCATGATTGTCCTGTTTGAATAAAAAATATTACTCCTCGAATATTTTACTCTGTTAAAAAGATACTGTAGGCTTTACGATTGTGCTTTTGATACATAAAACATCCTAAAATGTGTGACAAATTTAAGAATATCTAAGAGCGAAAGGGGACAATATCCGCCACACTGTTCATTCATGTAACAAGTTATGCTCTTTCGGTCGACCTTAACCGAAATCCGATCGCTGTCAGATTTGTTTACATTGTGTCACGGCTTTCTCGCCTTTTACTATGGCCTACCAACTTTATGCCCACTAGACTAAAAACGTTAAGCAAAAACAATTTTTTAGTTACAAGAATTGTCCGTGTTTATAACACTTGCAAAGTCTTAAACTTCTATTTGTTGCCATCAATTGGTAATGATTTTGCACATGTGCAAAAGTGTGGAAATTCGTGCATATTCTCATCTGCAGGCAGACGAAGGTTTCGTGACCGATGGTGCAGACATTTAACTGATCGTTAGGCCTATCGCGCTGCTTGATCCGCCTTAATTTTTTTGTCTTGACCGTAATGGTTTTGTTAAAGGTACACACCAAATCGCAGCAATATGTAATTAATATAGATTTAGCGAGTGTAAATGGCATAATTCGAAGCACATCGCTTCGGAGGCATCGTTTGACCTCGGAAAAAAGTCTGACAAATCCGGCCTGCTGATTGGCCAAAATTTACGCATGCCACAGTTTTGATTGACAGACTGGATCGATCTATTGTCCATAGATAGATATTCAAAGTCAGAAAAGGTCAAGAAGGACATTATCATTCATAGGTTTTCCAATTTTTAATTTTAACATATTTTATCTGAAAAGATTTCAGGGCAAGTAACTTGTTGTTACAGATCGGGTTAGCCACATTGATGCTCTTATTTCATCAATAATGAGAGAGGGACATACATATATGTATATTGTCTCTACGTTTATAAGTCTTTTCCGATCTGCTCGACACAACCCTCTCCACAATCTTTAGAAATCTGCTGGTTATGATACAGGAGTAGGTGAGCGTATCCTCCTCTACCGATGAGTCACAAACACACGCAAAGGCAAATCAACCGTTCATTAGAAAACAAACAAACACAGGAACATAAGGTACAGGTGTAAACGTCTTTCCTCCAGGGATACCAATCGTTCGTCTGTGCACATAGTTTCCTTCAGTCTTCATCTGCAAACGAATCTTCCTTGCACATAAATGTGTACCCTCCACCTGAACTGCTTTCATTTTATCTGATTACAACAACTGATGTGTTCGTTTTACAACAGAGAAAACGAAAGGTGGAAGATATGTTGGAAATGTTTGCTCCCTTAGAAAATAACATATAAAAAGGACCATATCATCGGCCTGATGCATGCAGACATTTTTAACAATACATGTTCTAATATATACATGAATATGAAAACTGCATTCGACACATTGACAAAGTCTACATACTAATATATTTTGAATGTTATTTGGATGTAACAAACCAAAATGTCCAGTCATTTGTTTGTACCCGTAAACATCCAAGGTAGAATTGAACTGGCTCGCTGGCTTGGTAGACACATATCACCGTATCCCAATTGCGAGAATCGACGCTCATGAATCTTGTGAAATCTTCTCTCTATCTTCCTGCAGGAAATGCCTGGTGGCAGCATGTAATAAAAGTCAGTCTTGGTCATTACGTTGAGACCGTTCTTCCAACTCGGCTTTGGTAGGCTATCCAAAAGCATGACGATCCTTGTTGGTCAAAACACGTTGAGGCTACGATCAGGTCGGAGGGAAGAAATCTGCATCCATCACAAAACACATCTCAGTTCTGTATGCACCCAGCAGTTGTTTCCAGATGGGGTCACATTTCAGTAGATGGGAATTCCCTGTAACCGGATCACAGATTAACAAGACATTTTATAGGTATCTGTTAACGTGTAAGCCATATTTTGGAAAATGAAATTAAAAAATCTAAAATTTGAGTTAATTTGAGCCAACCATATCTTTACGAACAGAGGTGACCTGCGAAGGACAGACATTGGCAGGCGTCATGTTGTTTTAGGATTTTCAGTAACATGAGTAACCCTCTAGTCTAGCATTCTGTATGACAGTTTTGTAAAATGTGGGTCTATCGTTTTCTATAACATATATTGATCGCAACAAATGAACCAGCATCTGTAAGTATTGATGCATGTGCAAATATGCTAATGATTTTTTCTCAGTCAGGGATCACAACAGATGCTCCAGCATCAGTAGATAATGCATTTTCGATTATCCAAGAGAACATCAAATCTTTCCTCGTTCAACGCTGTGTGAGCAATGCTGTGAAAATATTCAAGCACTACCAACGATTATCAAGCCTTTCCGGGGTCGTGTGTGATCATGCTGTGAACATATTCAAACATTACCAACGATTATCAAGCCTTTCCGGGGTCGTGTGTGATCAATGCTGTGAAAATATTTAAACATTACCAACGATTATCAAGCCTTTTCGAGCACGAGTGAGAGCAACGTTGATCTGATTTTCATCTGTGATGAAACCCAGGTTGTGCCTGCGCCAGCCAAGTGTTGGTTTGTCCTCTATTTTGTACCGAGGGAGAGATCTCACCGTGCTGAATATCACATAGTCCCACTCACCACCTGCAGAAAAAATACTGTTTGGCTTGTAATCATCTTCTTCATGTATGTCGGTTCTATGTCATTGAATACTTGTCATTCAGTTATTCTGTCTGTTTGACACCGGTGATGAATGCTATCTTTTAAAATGACCAGTATTTTCACATGTATATCCATTTAAATACAGGTTGTTATAACAGGTTATATTTTTTCTGTAACACATGTCACAATGACACATTCTACTGCTGTAATATACCCCGCTGTTATACAGACACTAACAGCTTCATTCGCTCAACAGCTAAATAATTTATGTCAAGGTATGATATCAATGTCATTGCAGTTATAATTATAATATAGTTATAGCCTCAAAAGCCATTGAATAATAATATTGCAAAGTATTTTGCGGCTTGTAATAAGCACAAAGAGACCTGAGCCTAACCTCTCCTTTACATTACAGAAGGCTAAACAGATGTATGGATGAAAGGACACCTACCTTGACTTGCCACCACTGTCTGGACTCTGAGGTCATTTAGGTTTTTGTTAGCATCTGATTTCTTCTCTAGCATTTCTTTGATAAGACTTCTCTGAGCACTGTACTGGGACATCACATTGATGTTCTCAACTGGTATCTCATCTCGGTTTACAAGGTACCTCACCACTTCACACTGCAATACCAAAGAGTGAAACTTTGTAGTGAACTGTTCGTTTCTATTTCACGCTACGGTGAGAATTACTCCATTCATAGCACAACGGTCGCTTCTGGTTCTGACAAACCAATGGCTGGAACAGTGTGCAACGACCCATGACACCAAAGAACGATGACACATAGAATACCGGCAATTGCTTAGCTCAACCCCTTAGGGGGTACCCCCTTATATATGTTGGAAGAATTCTATAAATAAAAAAGCCCGGAATAATTCTCTCTATGTTTATATCAATAGACATTTATTTTAACGAGAGTGACAGAGCATCATGAGTGTTCTGTCTTTATCGGAAATGTAGAGTTAACACAAAATATACCACTTTCTCAAATTTCTCAAAAAGAGGCTGCTGCCAAATTGAGTGATTGCATAAATGCCCAAATAATAGACATAATAGACATTGTTATAAATGTCGATTATTAAGCAACATCTTTAAGTCATACTCGGTATCCGTCAAAACTAACCACTTTTTCAGCTTCCTTCCTATTGGACTTTGACTGTTCGTTGCCGTCCTGTGTAGTGACAGTAAGAGTCTCCTCCTTCCCAGCTACATGGCAGAACACCTTGGGGTTGGTGCTCACTGGCCAGATGGACAGCTCCTTCCCTGGGGCGATGTACCAAGCTGCCCGCTCCGGGTGACAGTCTTCTGTCTTAAGAGCCCCTTTGTAAAACTGGCTTGATGGAAACTGGCATATTTCTGGATGCTATGGGCCGATGAAGAATTAATGTTAAAGACTGACTGACTGAGTTTGGTTTTACGCCGCTTTTAGCAATATTCCAGCAACATCACGGCGGGGGACGCCAGAAATGGGCTTCACACATTGTACCCATATGGGGATTCAAACCCGGGTCTTCGGCGTGACGAACCAACGCTTTAACCATTAGGCTACCCCACCGCCTCTAATGTTAAAGAAGACCCATGTCATTATCCTTAGTTAGCATCGGGCGATTCCCAACAAAGCAAACCTTTGTTGAATAAACGTATAACTGAGTCTGGTACTGTTTATAATTACCACATGGTAGTGAGGGAGCATTGTGTTACGCCGCTTTTGGCGATTTCAGCCTATATCACTGCGGGTGACACCAAAAATGGACCCCGCACATTTTACACATGTGGGGAATCGAAACCAGGTCTTCGGCGTGACGAACGAACGCTTTAACCACAAGGCTAACCCACCGCCCACCACATAATAAGAGCCTTTTCTCGATGTATTTTGGTCATGTTAAGGTTTTGGCAAGAATGCTGTTTTCACATTTGTATCAATAACCTCAACGTTTAAGCTTTACCTTAGGTTGGACAAAGGCAGAATGTACGGTAATATAGTAAGTTAAGCGCAATGTTTTTATTCATTGCAGAAATTTACATTCTAAAGACGATGACACCTTCAACTGGGACCAACTAGATACTTTGTTGGGACAAAACAAATATACACCAACCATTCTATACTGGATATTCAGGAAAGCGGCATCCTTCTTGTACCTCTCAAACAACGACTGGTCAAGACCTAGGCTGGCAGCATGCGAACACTTTACAATGGGCCTCAGCTGGCGGTGGTCGCCTATCAGCACGACTTGTTGTGCCTTGGTTGCGATGATGGGGATCATGCTCTGGGGTTCTGTGCACATACCAGACTCGTCAATAATACATTGGTTGATGTTGGCTACTTCCGTCAGCTTCTTGCCGCCAGCTACTACGCATGTGCAAAGGATGACGTCACAATGAGCAAGCTCGTGCTTCTCGGCTCGCGCTATCAGTTTGTCGTACGCCTTCAAATCTTCCAAAGTAATGTTCTCCTGTAAACAGTTTATATGATTTTCAGCATGCATTTCCCATGGGAATTACATATCGAGAATGAAAGCAAGACCCATTTCCCACGTCATCAGGTTGTCATGGCACTAATAAATCGCGGTCACCCAAAGAATACGAGCCTATTTCAGTCATCTCATTCACCCGGACGTGAATCGGTTAATGACTTAATAACAAGCAATTAAACAAATCAAAACTACCACTGCTAAAATATTTCAATGAAATTAACTTTACCTTTTGGGGATCATCAAAGTAGGTTTGGAACCTTTCATCGTACGTCCTTATTTCTTCAGCATGTGGTCTCCCGTCTTGTCTGATGACGAAGTGAAGAGTAACTTTTCTGATTTCAGGATCAGATTTCAAATATTTGTTGTTTCTGTCAGCGATGACAATCTTCTTTGGAACAGGTTTATCATTCTCTTCAATGGTTTTGCCATACAGTCGTATGATCCTTGGACACATCTTCCCCAGTTTCTTTATCATGTAACCTGTAATGAAACAAGGTGAGTGAGTGAGTTTAGTTTTATGCAACCTTTAGCAATATTCCAGCAATATCACTAGATATGGGTTTCACACATGTGGGGAATCAAACTCGGGTCTTCCGCATGATGTGCGAACGCTTTAACCACTAAGCTATCCCACCGCCCCAATAAAACAAAGAAATGTGTATGTTTGTATGAATGCATAACGGTATAAGTTTTGTAGGTATTATTCTCTATCTGCCAAACTTCACTTTGTGATCACAGTGTTTAGCATGTCACACATGTTCTTATTTTGAATTGATGCAGGTACAAAATATCAGTGTGTCATCCAAATATGATTATGGTCAGAATATTTCCCACCGAGGTTCTAACTATGCCAGGATCACCCGGACCCTCTCGGCTGCTTATACCTCTTGCTGAATGATATTATTATGATGAACAGAATATTAAAAATCCTATCAACGAGCCACCCTTCGTAAAAAACATTCAAATAAATAGTTCCAAGCGTCCAGTCAACCGGAGACCCCTTAGATGTTATAAAGTATATGTTATATTTATCTAAAAGATTTCGGATTTCTCTAAGATTTACCAGCAACAAGATCCACTGATTTGTTGGAGGGCCCACAATAGAGAACTTGTCGTTTGCCTTCATCAGAGTTTGTTCTATTGATCTTGTTGAACAAATACACCAGTTTCACACCAATAGTGGTCTTCCCTGTTCCTGCAACAAGCAATATCCAGATGTATAAAGAAGCTGATATATGCTATATAGTAGGTTTTTAATAACAGAACCATATTGTTTTGAAATATGCTACTGATTCACTTCTTGCGACAGTTGTTAGGTTTGAAAACATATTTCGCACATTTAGGAATAATGGCCAAAATAGATTTGCACCTTACAAGTATGTTCTTATTACTATAAAGCCTAACGCCGCGTGAAGGCTGAAATATTGCCGACAGCCGTGTTTCAAAAACATTCACTCACTAACTCCGTTAAACTGTGAATACATAATGCCATTTAGAAGGTGGTCAAATGTAACATATGTTACAGTGTTATATTACACTTTCTGTAAGTTAATACTCAGTCACTACATGTGCTTGCTTAGCTAGATAAAGATTAAAGTATTGATGCTAGTATTTTATTACATTCAGTCCCATCGATTCGATCCCACACCCTCAGCGTCAGACACCTAATCGCAAAGACATAAAGACAGCCATCTAACCCACTCAGCCAGCGCAACTTTAAACTGCTAGGGTATTGATATCGCAAGAAGAATAACCTGATGAAAGACTTGTAGCAAATATTACACCTGGAAGCAGATACTATTGCTGTGATATTCAGGTTTTATTTTTGGTTTTGGTGTTAACGGCATTATTGCAATTCCGTGACGGTTAAACGTCAAGGCAGGACCAGACAAACAAGTGATTAACATCCCTCGCTATCCGTTAACCATGACAACCAAATGTGGTGTCCAGTTGCTCACATATAACCTACCCGGTGGCCCCTGTATCAGACTAAATGGCTGATCAAGAGCTCTCTGAATGGCTATTCCCTGATTGAAATTGTTGATGATCATTGTGGAGCAGAGTTTTCGCTCTTCGTCTGTTAAATCAGTAGAGCTCAGCTGCGCAGAACCTGTTTGAACAAAGGCCACACATACAACACATATTTTACTTTTCATTCAAAGATCATTTTCATGATGTCCATCACTGAACATACACTTCGGCATGTTCTGTGTCCATTGTTAAACATGGCATAACATGAAGCTGGTATGTTTATTACAGAGCGAATTTTATCCTGAAAATAATGCAGAACACACGCTATCATACCATCATCAGTTCAGGATACACCACTGTAAGTTAATACTCAGTAACTACATGTGCTTGCTTAGCTAGATAAAGATGGAGACTGGTTATGGTTTCTTAACACCACTTCTATTTAAACTTGACTAAACTATAAAATATAATTTAATATAATCATCAATCCCTTTGTAAAATATCGATACACTTCACTTGTCCAGAATTATGGATACCTTAGTGATGGAAAATTCAACTGGATTAAAATAACGTCCAAAAGGGTAAAGAATTTTCGTGTAGAAGCTGTTGATCGTATTTACAAAATCAGTATGGTTTCAGATTTGTATGTTATATAGTACCCTGGAACAAACAGTTGCCCCAGTGGGCAAACTGGCTAGAACTGCAAAGTTGCATCAAGAATTTGAAATATGCAGTGAAAATATAGTGTTGGTGTTCCTCCTAGTTGGTGGACTTTAATGATGGCAGAATTAAATCGGTGACAGCAAAACATACATAAACCGTGATCGCTCACTTTGACAGAGTTAATCTGCTTACGTAATCTTGTTGTCAGTAGGCTTCCGCCTTTTAATGCTATATTTCGGGCCAATTCAGATCCTTCTGTGTCCAGTATCTCCAACATCTGTTCTGTTCGCCTTTATAAATAAAACAAATGAGATAAACAGCAGCGTAGAAGGGGCATGCAGAACTATTTTAAGAAAATATACGTATTGATAAATTTGCTTATACCAGACGACAAACGTCTGCTTGCTTCTATTTTTAGTCTGTCATATATATATATATCCCATTACCTACCTGTCAATTTGCGATTTCAAAATGATCTCAGCCGCAGCCTGGAATTCTTGGTCTATCAAATTTGGTGGAGGTGGTATCGTATTCGGTCTCATTTCAAAGGCTATAACAACAGTTCCTGCATGAGGATCACTGCCTGCAATGCTGCCTTTTGGCTTTCTCAACTTCACTTTCTTGATTAGAGCATGACCTACCCAAACACTGGCTGAACTGAACATTGAACTTGGATCATAATCCCTTGGAGTATGCCTGAGACACAGATAGTCCAAGGATGCATCGTTGCAAGGCATTTTGAAAGGACTTTCACCTGCTTTCATTTTAGCCATTCTGTCTACCCCTTTGCCACCGATTTCAATCTGTCGAAAATCGCAAAACTTAGCGTCAAGTATCAATCGTCCAATAAGTCTTTGATTGCAGTTTCGTATCAACGTGTTCACGTTATCGATGACAATGGTATATTTGCTGCCAACGGAGTTTAAAGCACTTTCCATTCGAACAACAGGCAGCCATGTTTCCTGGTATTCCTCAATGATTCTGAAGTGGCGATTCCTGAAGGGCTGCATCACATACTCAGCAAACGTATGGACGGGATCCTCCAGATGAGTCAGACAGAGGTCATAATTAGCACAGACATGAAACAGTTGAACATATGGAGTAAGCATCCCCATCTCTGGTTCCGCATGCACCTGAACCTTGAGAACCTGGCCTGAGTAGAAAATCAGTCTGAAGCCATAGAAATGGCAAACTGACATGTCCCCATATTTCTCATCAGCCAGCATCTTTACTCCTCGCCTATGGGAAACAGACGTGTCTTTGATATTGGGCACAACTTCCTTTGTTCCTGATGCATTAAAAATCTCCTTCAATGCTTTGGCAAAGTCTGGAAGTGGCATCTCTTCAGTATGCATATTTTCATCAAGCAAAATGTTAAATTGTTCTGGTTTTTTAATTTGGTTCAAATTTGTTTGATCTCTTCTGTCCCTTTCTGGTCGTTCTTCATATCTGTAAAGACGCTTCCTCCAGAAACACAGAACTTGTTCCCGTCCTGACGGGGAAATTTCTACAACTGGTTTTCTACAACAGTCTAGCAGATTTAAGGGCAATTCTAATCGTCTGTACGATGTGCCTCTTAGAGAGGGAATAAATAATGCCACACTGCTGTCACTGACCCTTTCAACAACAGCATTGAAGGTCAGAGGTTTCTTGGAAAGCATTTCACTCTTTCTTATTGTTCGGCAAGTATTCTTGAGTTTGATTTCTCTTTGACATGCTTCCGTCATTTGTTCACATGCTTTTTCCATCTCTGCTTGGGTGTATGGGGCCTCTTGCCCATCTAACACAGCGTGGACGAGTCTATGAACAATCAGATCCACATATCTTCTCATCGGAGACGTGAAATGAGTGTACGGGAACATGTTCAATGAAAAGTGACCTGTGTATTTTTTCCCTTTTGAAGAGCATTTGTATGTTGCGGACTCCAACATATGCACCCAACGATGATTTGCAAGGCACTGTAATGGATGCAGTGCATCACAGCAGAGAAGATCCCTTGCTTTTGCAAAGTCATTCACTTCACCGGCTTCTTTCAGTTCCTCCCATACTCCTTTCTGTACTGAAATATGTTCATGTGTTTCTTCTCTGTTCTGGAAACAATGTTTTGCTACACAGCATTCTCTGTCATCGAGAACATGAAAACTCTGTAGTTTGACAAGGAGATCAATGATGTTTCCTTCCCTGTTAACCCAATGAACACGTGTATCTACAGGAGGAGCTGACTGACATCGTAAAGGGACACAGTGTTGCCAGGATTCCATCAGCCATTCTCCAATGAAACCATTAGTTCTAATCATGAATTCCTCTATGAGGTTGTGTGCATCAATAGCTCCTTGTTTGTTCTCAATTTTACAAATCTAGGATCTTCAAATCGTACTTCAAATCTTGAATTTCCAAGTCGCTCTTTTCGAAATTTCTTAGCTAATACATGTAGGACCCGTATGCTACTTTTCAGTGACTGTTTACATTTGAAGCTAACTGCCTGACCATCGATGATGTTTTGAACTTCCTTATATGAAAACTTTCTGTCAGATCTAATTATGCTTCGGGCCACTGATGGCTTTCCAATAATGTTTCCTCGTTTGTCAATCTTAAAGAGCACAGAAATTGCAAATCTATCACAGTTTGGCAGGAGACTCAGAAGGTCTTGACTAAGGTTTTCTGGAATCATATGATGACCTCTGTCATCTGTAGGAAAGAAGGTTGTGGCTCTTTGCTCAGCTGTCTTGTCAATGTCATCCCCTTTCTTCACAAAAGTGGTCACATCAGTGATGTGAACTCCAACCAAAAGGACGTCCTCTTGCTTTACCTTCCAGACACTGAGAGCATCATCCAAATCCTTAGAATTAGAATTATCAACTGTAAATACAGACAGATGTTGATACTTTTCTCGCTTTGTATCTTCAGCTTGGAGAATCCCTGATTCAATCTTTCCAGCAAGGGAAACAGTTGCCTGTACAGTGTTTCTTGGATAATATCTAGGAACTTTGAACTGTGGGATTAAAGCATTTAGACCACTTTCAAACGTTGTCCCACATTCCAGGACTTTAACAACTGCTCCCACAGGATAGGGAAATTGTTTACTCCACGACAAAAGAACAACAAGAAGAACATACTGTCCTTTCTTACTGTCTATTATTTCACGACAAGATTGAAACTTCAGTTGTTTACCCTTCTCATAAGTGTGCACATCTATAAAGTGTTTGTTATTTTGCGTTATCCCAGAATTGGAATTTGAGTTGTTGAAGTCCTGTATTCTTTGTGTAGAAAAATGAGACCAGATGCGAATTCTGGGTATACTATTACACATTGGAATGACTATACTCTTTTCCTTGCTGTTGACAGTACATGCCAAGACGGGGAATCTTGTCTCCCGAAATTTGCTTCGTAACACCCCTACCACTTTACCATACAGTTTATCATCAACACTAGCATTTTCTGTATCTTCATCCACGTTATTGTTCAAAATTTCAACTGCAACTTCATCATTATTGAATGTGTTCCCAATTTTTCCTCTTCCATGAATTTCTATTTCTTGAAAGTTGTTTCCATCGTCTTGGATTTTACACACAGCAAAATGAGGTCCTTTCAGGTTAATGATGCATCTCTTGTACGTTTGCGGTTCCTGTTGTAACTTTGTATGGAGTTCCTCGTTTACGCGAAGCTGGAGAATATCCTGATGTGGTTCCTTTGGGTAGTAAACTATATCAAGACTTTCTCCGACCACAATATCATCAGTGTCTTGTCCGTCAAATCTCCCCTGACTTTTTTCGAACCATGTTCTTGGTGACAAGTCTGATGTAGTAGAGGTATCGACTTCTGGTTCACTTGCTCCAGAATCTTCAGAAGTAGATGAAGTGTTGCCGATTCCGGATGAGATATCAGCTTCTGATTCACTCTCTTGTGAATTCTCAGAATCATCCGAATGTTCTCGTCCTTGATCATCAATTCCATAGTACACTGTGTTGCGACGCATCTTCTGAAACTAATGCTTTCAAATATTACATGTGTACAGAGCAGGTATCTTGTACGTCGAATTGCCAATGTGATACACCACAAAAAAATGATTTAGTTGATGCTTTTCAAGACAAGCCAATGAGCCTAACTTTTAATTTATCAATCTTCCAAACATTTATCGATGTTAACAAAGAAAGTGAGTTTAGTTTACGCCGCTTTTAGCAATATTCCAGCAATATCACGGCGGGACACCAGAAATGGGCTTCACACATTGTACCAAGCGCGGGTCTTCTGCGTGACGAGCGAACGCTATGACCACTACCTCACCTTCCCAATTTGTAAAAAAAATGTTATCACCCCGCCAACGCAATGGAAGTATGTATTACCCCGCTGGTGAAACCTAGTTCACCAGTAAAGGGAAGGCGTTATCAATCTGATAGGTCATCCTGATAAACGGGGGCGGTGGGGTAGCCTAGTGGTTAAAGCGTTGGCTCGTCACGCCGAAGACCCGGGTTCGATTCCCCACATGGGCACAATGTGTTAAGCCTATTTCTGGTGTCCCCCGCCGTGATATTGCTGGAATATTGCTAAAAAGCGGCGTAAAACTAAACTCAGTCAGTCAGTCAGTACTGATAAACGTATACTCTTGATGCAATATAATACGCTGTTGAAATCTCCTTGAAAGAAATTTTGTATCAGGAGATGCTAAGTTTACTTTCTCAAGAAACTATCGCCTAACGTTTCAAACAGGCACATGGCCCTTCTCCATGTGTATGTATGCGTATATGTATGTCTGAGAGTGTTTGTATGTGTGCATGTTGATGACCTGGTTGATGCGTGTCATTGTCTCCGAGTGGATCGATGCTCATGATGCCAATCACAGGATTGATTGGTCCAGGCTGGATTATTGACATGTCCATATCCATATAACTGCCAAATTTCTGAGTTGAACAACAAACAAAACTCACACGCAGTTACTACGGTAACTAGGAGCACGTGCTTCTTCAGCATCGGTTATTTGGAGTGAGATAGTGAGTATACTTTTACACCGCACTCAGCAATATCCTAGTGCCGGCCTGTATAATCGAGTATGGACTAGACAATCCAGTGATCAGCATGAGCATCGATCTACGCAACTGGGATACGATGACATGTATCAGTCCAGTCAGCTAACCTGGCCACCCGATCCCGTTAGTCGCCTCTTACGACATTCATGGGTTACTGAAGATCAATGCAAAATCGGATCTTACGAGTGGTTATTTGGAGATTTACAAGTACCCTAGTTTGTTTCCGCATAACGATAATGTCCTTATGCAGTGTGATTTTATGATGTGATTTAACTGTACGGTATTATTACCCTGGTTATTTTCATTGGACGTGGATCTACATAACTTCTTTGAGTGTCATTAAGAAGTTGGCGTGATGAAGAGCGAGGAGAATTCTATGGATATACAACTTCTTTAATATTATGTGAGCGACGTTTCAGTGTACCTATTAATACCGTTATCACTTGCTTGATAACCGTGTTAGAAGCTGCACCGAAACGTCGCCCATATTATATTAAAGAAGTTGTATATACATAGAACTCTCCTCGTTGTTCGTGGATGTACATGTATGGACGCAAGTTCAGACAAGAATGCGTAAAAATATTTCCAAAAACGGGTTTTAACATATTTCACAATAAAACAATACAATCCAAAGAGCTATTTTCCAGATTCAAGTAGTTTTCTTAAACATTATAACAGTTAAAAGTGAACTTACACTTAAATTTAGTGAATATGGTTGTATGTTTGAGGCTATTTTCCAGCAATATCGTGAGACACCAGAAATGGGCTGCACACATTGTACCCATGTAGGGAATCGAACCCGGGCCTTCGGCGTGACGAGCCATCGCTTTAACCACTAGGCTACCACCCCCACCCAACCACCCATGGGTACAATGTGTGAAGCCCATTTCTGGTGTCCCCTGCCGTAATATTGCTGGAATTTTGCAAAAAGGGGAGTAAAATTAAACTCACTCACTGTTAACGTCGCTGCAAGCAATATTCTACTCAGTTGCTACACATCGGCTGTCCGGAATAACTTGAGACCAGACCACACAATACTGTGACTGACATCATCAACATATATCTAACGCAAACGTTATGCATCAACCAAATAAGCCAGCCTGGCCACCCTACCCCGGCAGTCGCCTCTCACCACAACCATCGCGCGTTGTCTAATCCGGATATTAAACAGGGTGAGTGCACGAAAAGAATCACGCTTTTCCTATGTGAAACAAAATGGAAGACTTGAAACTATATCCTCATTTTTCTTACAATGGAAGTGTAACCTCAATATAAGTACCAAAATGTTATGCCTTAAAGTATGGCAATATATACCTTCTGAATCACTGTAACGATATTTACAGCAACGCTATTTATAGTGTCAATGCAGCCTGTCTACAATCTACAGACCTTGTCGTCAATGTGAAGTGGGTCATATCTGTAATCACTCACTTACATGTATGTTAAGGAGAACGCTCAACTGCAAAGCTGCGATAAGTGCGACAGAAGCATGTATACAGATCCTGGTCGCGTTGACAACAGAACAGGAAGTGAATTCCTGTTTCGTCATGACTACACTCCCTGCACTAGATTTCCTGAGCTGCAGCGATACACGTTAGCTCAATATTCACGTAATAATACAATGGCTTAATATATCAAAGCAAAACAACGTCACCCTGTTATTTGATAAGATCACAGTATCGAGATATCATGGGCGTGTATGTCAGGTTGGCTGTCTGTTGACATAGCTTGCATGTCCATTCATTACAATGGCAGGAGTTATGGAGTTACAAATGCCTAACACTGAAGTGGGAGCAATTAGCATGGGCTGTTGAGAGCATAGGAGTAATACTTACATTGCTTCCAGACTGCCTGTACCTGTATATGTGTCCAGACTGCAGGTGCTCCTGGCGTTGTACTTTGTGCTTTCAACGTGATCGGTTGACGTGTATGCTCGCTATATCGATATTATCAACCAGGATATCATTTTCAAACAACTGGGCCAAAGACGGCGTTAGGTCACAGACGCCCATGTGACTGCTCTAATGAATGTATTGCTTTGTGTGCGTTATTGGCTGAAGCGCAACATGCATGTAAGGGCTTGTCAGGGTATTGACGAGCATGTGAAAATTCAGGCTTTAGCAAATAGCAATTTGTCAGGGTATTGACGAGCATGTGAAAATTCAGGCTATAGCAAATAGCAATGCTCATGGTAAGTAGAGATCATAAACTTCTGGGTTCGAACACACAAAGATCGCTTCCTGGCTTCTACTGAGCATCTTGAGCCCTTAAGCCCACAGACAAATTGAGTGAGTGAGTGAGTGAGTGAATGATTGAGTTTAGTTTCACGCCGCTTTTAGCAATATTCCAGCCATATCACGGCGGGGGACACCATGCATGGGCTTCACACATTGTACCATGCTGGAATCGAAGGCTTTAACTACTGGGATACCCCACTGCCCCCCCTCTATTTACTATGACGAAAGCCACAACATTATTGTTGCGTTCTACGGTGTGAACCCTTGTTCTTAAACTAACATGTTCCTTATTGGACTGTCAGTGAATGTCCCATCGTATATTATAAGTCCGTGATTTGAGGGTGACCCAGTGGTAGAACTATGGTTTATGTCTATTGAGATTCCTTATGTTTTTGCTTGTCAGCTGGTCATTCCAGCAACATTTGTATGTCCGTGATTTGAGGGTGACCTAATGGTAGAACTATGGTTTATGTCTATTGAGATTCCTAATGTTTTTGCTTGTCAGCTGGTCATTCCAGCAACATTTGTCTGTTACGGTAGTCTGTAAATGACCGAGGCTGGACAAGACAATCCGGTGATAACATCATTTGACATATTGGCCTTCATTGACTGGCCTGTACTAAATTTGAAAGCATTACTCTTTTTTCAATAGTCCCGATATACTGCCGTCGAGGTCTTAATTTTTGTCTCACTCATTCATAAACATAACTTGAACATGTTCATGCTTGAGGATTCGGACTCGTTTTGTCTTTAATGTGTGTCTCAATAGAAGTGCACTTTTGAAGTGTTATGGGGCGGAAGTAAACTCTGGGAATTTCTACTGGCGCTAGGCATTAACGGGAATCCCGTTCAAAACCCATGCTTCTTTTGAGAGGCAACTAATTAACGGGATCGGGTGGCCAGCCTCGTTGACTTGTTGAACACATATCATTGTATATGCGCAGATCGATGCTCATGATGTTGATCACTGGATTGATTGGTCAGGACTCCAATATTTACAAACCGCCCCTATATTGATGGAATACTGCCGAGTGCGGCGTAAAGGAACAACCAATCAATCAACCTTCGGTCCAAGGTCTCTAGGTTATGGCGATGAACACATTTAAAATCGTGTAGCTGCATTTGCCCTGACGGAACTTATATCGTCGTACCATCGTGTATGTTTGTCCTGATAGTAGTCAAGCGGACTATGCATATCGTTGTATCCAAGTAACGTAGACCCGCTTGTCCAGACTTGATTATTTCCAGACCGCCGTCTTAAAGCTGGGGTATTACCGTACGTGGCATTAAACATCTAATATTTATTTGCTGGCATGGTAAAGTGATAGCAATTTAAGTGTCTACATAATGGGATTAGATTCAAAGCTTTCTCATAAGCCTTTCTCCTTAACAAATAAAGCAACATTCTGTAGAAACCTAACATAACGGCTCAACTATTATTCACAATAACCCTTCATTTTTACAGTTATAGTTTACACTGACACAGTTATCAATACACCGATTGCAAAACACACTTGAAATGTTCGCTTTGGTTTGTGAAGTACCCCATTTAACTGTATGAGAGCAAGTATAGTATGAGCCTACAGCTACCCACTGACAAAGACTATAGCAGGCAGACAAGCGGACCGTTACTCTTACTCTGTTACTATTACATCAGCTGTCCAACAACGTGAGGTATGACCCAATAGGTGGCTTGAAGGGACATTGATCCAGAGCAATTCCCCGGGACTGGTTGTTGCTTTTGTTATTGTAATTGGATGATATCCTAGAATTCTTGACTGGGTTGCGAGCTCTGCTGCGCCACCCGCAAGCGCAAAAGGTAGCATAAATATGATATGTATATCCTAATCAAAAACATGAAATCATTGATCAACAAATATGAAATCATATTTGCTCATTAATATGTCCATCTTGATTATTATGATAACAAATTAACACATTTTGAAGTTTGACTTCATCTGCCAGTGGTAAAAGGGGTTAGGACTGAAAATAACGAAGTCAATTTGCGCCTTTATATTTTTGTCCTATTATTCTAATTAATTATTTATCAAATGTTTATGCATTTCGGAAGTTCATAACAAGTACACGAGCTGGATCCGATTTTAGTGAATTTATAACAAGACTGTAATATCTAGACATGTTGCATACGTGAATCACATTTGACACACACGCCCTAAAGAGGAATGTATCTATCAATATCCACATAAAGGAACCCTATGCCATTCATCTGCAGCCGACAAAGAAACCTGTTTCGTGTCATATGTGTTTCAACAGTATAATATGCAAACAATGTATAAATCGTTGTAACTAGTGATGAACAGGAAAGCTTTTTTATAGATAGACAACTTCTAAATTTATTGCAATTGATACGACGATTGTATTGATTGCAATAAAGAAGTGTAGACACCTAGCATCTACACCGAAACGTCGCACCGATTGCAATAGCAAGATATTGCTGCAACTATTTCAAGCAGTGATTTGGTCTACGAATGTGATCTAATCCTCCTACACTGGCCTGAAAATAATAGATTTTGTTTGTTTGTTTGTTATTTAACACCGCAATATCCCAGTTATCCAGGAAACCCTGTCATATGTCAATGCAATACATTTTCATAACGTTTTGAAGACATTGTCGGAGAGAGCAGGTGGTGCACTAAGGGAAAGAACTCTGATTTCCACAACCGGTGAGCATCGTCCATTCAAAATGCATTGTCAAGCCAGATCAACCTGGCAGGTGTAATTCTGGGTGCCGTTGTACAAAACAACCTTAGCGCTAAGACAACCTTAAGTCTATGTTAAGATATGGGAGTTACGGTGACCATAACACTAAGATCGCTTTGTACAACGGCACCCTGGGTGCCGTTCCACTAACCGATCTTAGCCCTATGCCAATCGTAAACCCCAAAAACCCCAATCTTAGCGTGACGTTACGATCGGCATACCGTTCCACTAACCAATCTTACCTAAGTCAATCGTAAAGTTAAGATTCAAAGTCTAAGTTGCTCATGACCAACTTAGGATAGCTAAAATCAATCGTAGAGAAACCAAAATGGTGACTTTCCTATTCTTTGTGAAAAATAAGAGCGAGCATTTCACCGTAAGCGTCCCCTAAAGTCCCCCATGAAATGAATTTGTATATTTCTGTGATGTAAACAAACACTGCACTGAAGCCTTACAAATGTCAGGCCAGTCTGACCACTGTCGTCATGGGAACACAACCGAGCGAGTCGGTGTAACACATTTGTACAACAATATTGCAACGTCATGGTTAAGAATAGGGACAGCCGTAAAGTGAACAATGTTCTGAAGCAAAAAGATACAAATATGTTTGATTTCACTGCGCATATTTGGTGGGGGGATTCTAAAGGCAGGCCGCGTGTTATTCAAGACCACTGACAGATTCTACATACGTTATATATAGCCTCGTCACGCCTTGTTTATTCTGATTGACAAGGTTCAGGCACATATTAAAAGCTCTGACACAATGACATTTTTAAAGTCCAGACTTAAAACCTGTTCTCAGTATATTACTTATAATCTCGGCTGTAAATATTCTCGAGTAAATTATGTGTACACAGCGCTTTGAGCATGCCCAAGGATGTGGAATAGGCGCACTATAAATATGCATTTATTATTATTATATTATGCTTGATACCCAGCGTTCTCACGCACTTGCACCTGAAACCAAGGTGCTCACTACCCTAATATTTTGCTCTAGGTTTTTTCTCCACGTTTACACTTGGTTGGAAAAATACCCATGAAGGCCCGGGTGAGAATATTGAACTTCCATTACCCATGCCTGTCGTAAGAGGCCACTAACGGGATCGGGTGGTCAGACTCGCTGACTTGGTTGACACATGTCATCGGTTCCCAACTGCGCAGATCGATGCGCATACTGTTGATCACTGGATTGTCTGGTTGAGACTCGATTATTTATAGCTAAGATACATAGCGTTCACTAACATGAACGCTCATGCTAGTGAACGCTATGCATCTTAGCTAGATTATTTACAGACCGCCGCCATATAGCTGGACTATTGCTGAGGGCAGCGTAAATCTAAACTCACTCACTCACTCAGTTGGTTCGTAAACATCATTTGCTAGACTATGCAAAGGGAGATAACTCGTGCCTCGCATTCCTGTATCTCTCGCACGAAAGAGTCTCGATCTAAGCTTGGATCGGATCGTAAGATCGGGACCGGCTACGATCGGCCTAAGATCGGTTAGTGGAACGGGTGTAACTTTTAGCTAAGACGATTGTAAAATTGGCGTAACTTGCTAAGATTGATCTTAGTTAAGATCGGTTAGTGGAACGGCACCCTGGGCCTAGATTTTCGAAGCTCTCTTAGCGCTAAGATAGTCGTAAGTTAATGTTAATGTATGGCACTTACGACTATCTTAGCGCTAAGAGAGCTTCGAAAATCTAAGCCCTGGGTGCCGTTGTACAAAACAACCTTAGCGCTAAGGCTACCTTAAGTCTATGTTAAAGTATGGGAGTTACGGTCACCTTAGCGCTAAGATCACTTTGTACAACGGCACCCTGGTCTTTAGACCTGGTCTGAGCACTGGAATCGTATCGGCACGTTATGCGCGTACCCTCTCTTGCGTTTTTTAAAAAAAGAAATGTCTTTATATTTTGTTTTAAATGTGTTTTTGTGACTTGGATCGGAATTGATGTCAGTGCACTGCTGAGAACTATTCGTGCTATGTGTGCGCATGTGAACACTGAGAGAGTCAACGAGACCTGCGAAGGTCCGGGTTAGAATTTACCTTCAGCAACCCATGCTTGTCGTAAGAGGTGACTAACGGTATCGGGTGGTCAGGCTCGCTGACTTGGTTGACATATGTCATCGTATTTCAGTTGCGTAGATTGATGCTCTTGCTGTTGATCACTGGATTGTCTGGTCTAGACTCGATTATTTTCAGAGCGCCTCCATATAGCTGGAATATTGCCGAGTACGGCATAAAACTAAATCCCCTCACTCGATACAGGGTGAACGAAATCTGCTGAGTTGTCTGGATTACGTCTGAGGCGAAGATAGACAAAGGACTTTCGTCCTGTAATGACTTAGATTTAGGTCTGGAATGAAAACCCGACAAGAAGCGACTTTTTAAAACTCATTTATTTTCTATCAAGCAAAGAAATTAAGCACCAAACTTACATGTAGTGACACGTAGACGTCATCGCTAATTTTTGAACCCCTATTCAAGAACATCTGAATTATGCTAAAACAACAAATGGTTTGATACAACAATGGAGCAATAGTAACTAATATGTATAAGTAAAGCCGAGCAACATAAAGTTACAGTTCAACATGAGTTTTATAGCCATTGTTTGTTACAAGATGAGTCAGTAAACAGAGTCAATTGAACATCCTGCAACCTAAGATGGAACACTTTGAAACTTTCAAAGATCGCGTGACCTTTTCCCAACCATTGGGCTTCACGCAATGTAACCTTGTGGAAAAACCTGCTAAAACTTCAACAGCTAGGCCACCCCTGTAAATAACAGCATGAATTATGTTCAAAACCATATGGACGGCGATCTTGTAATCGTTTCTCACTCGTGACGAGTGTCAAGTTAGACTTGTACATATTGTTCACATCAAATGGGTGTCTATGTAAGTTATAGACCTTTGGTAACAGAAGAAAGCTACTTCATCGTCCCTAAAAGTAAAGGAACTAGGCTAATGTTCCCTTTTCTCTTGATCACAACTAACTATAGTTTCTACTTCATCTTAATTACACTCTACTACAAAACAAATGCATGACAAAAAATGCCAAACTATATTAAACAAGAGGAAGAAGTATTATATATTGGCAACTTCCTTATTGCAACGGATGCTAACTAAATGCTATTATAAAGCATCTATTGCAATAAGGAAATTGTCAATCGATAGGAGTTGTTCCTCTTCATTATAGTAGCACCTAAATACCACTAAAGGAGTTGTATCATAAAAATCATCGTATAACAAATAACGAACATGAGTATGTTTCATAGCAGTAAAATGAGTGAACGTCCTTGTTGGGATATCAGACTACCGGGGCGATGGGGTAGCATAGTGGTTAAAGCGTTCGCTTGTTTCGCCAAAGGCCCGGGTTCGATACCCCACATGGGCACAATGTTTGAAGCCCATTTCTGGTGTGCCCCGCCGTGATATTGCTGGAATATTGCTTAAAGCGGCGTAAAACCTAAACTCACTTTCTCAACACTATCAGACAACCAGAGTGCAGAGGAACCTATGTGATCTGATTCTGTTTCTCCAAACCCACGTAAAAAGGAATCTACTTAATCTGAATCAACCCATCTACATTTTAATCCATTTAATCAGTATGTTCAGTTCTTCCAAACAATCCATCTACAGTGGAACCTAATAATCAGGATTCCGTTACTTTAAGCAACACATCTACAATCTCTCCTGTGGAATTGCCATACATTTTGTTGTAGTTAATATTTAATTAACAATGAGCATGAATTGCCTCTTATGATATAAATATAAATTCCAAAATATAATTATAAACTTTAAAAGAAGTCAACGAAATAAAAATAGGCAAATGAAACTTAACAAAGTTAAAACTGATTGAATTATAATGAAAGCTAAAGGAAATTTTCAGGAGAAAGGGAAAAAAACACTAAAGTATTTTCTCTCACTTGAAAAACAAACATTTCTAAATACGGCTATAACCAGACTTTAAGCAATAATAAAAATAAATGACCGATTTCATAGAAGTTATTGATCACATTATATACACATCCAGACTCCTTAACCACATTATGGATTATACAGACAAACAGACAGACAGTTTATTCAGTAAGGAGGCCACTGGCCCATAATACATACAGATAATAGGGTTTTTTTAACTTTCACGTGCGCATGCTTTAAGAAGGTATACGTAGCACTCATTTGTTTCTAGAATTTACAATATTGTTAACAAAAACAAGCAGATTTTGTACATAACATCCTAACTTTCATTTTGAAACAGATTTATCATAGTGTGTACAGTGTAGGGTTCTTGTATATATCTAGCAATGTATTTGACTTTTAAATCTTTATAACAACCACACACAAATATGACATGCCATTCATTTTCAATATAATCCAGACCTTTTGATTTGCAGTACATAGAAAGTCTTTCTCTTAGTTCAATATTGCCATATCTTCCAGTTTCTTCTTCTATGTTAAAGTTGCTAGAACTAAATCTTGATAAAGACATCCTTAGATACACTGGAATGTCAGAACGCAAGTATTTTTCAACATTCAACAAAGACTTATATTGCTTATAATAAAAGCATTTTGAAGAATCCTGTATTGATGAATACCATGGCTGTTGTAGATTATCCTTTAGTCTTTGTTTAAAAAGAGAAATGAACATACCAACATTTCCAATTTCTTGATAAAACCAAGCATAACCAAAGCCATACCTGAGTAATATTTCTTTAACCTTTGAAACCCATGTGGTGTGTTCAGCTTCATCTAAAGATCTTAACATAATGTAACATTGACGAGGCAACCTATTTTCAGGTAGATGTATGAGACCACACCAGTATTTAATAACACGCAAGAGATAAACATATTGGAGAGGGAGTCTGCCACACTCGCCTTGCACCATACCATTAAACGTAGATTTGTTTACTCTTAAATACTGTTTACAGAACTTAAGTTGTACGGCCTCAACGGCCTCAATTCAGTGCCCCAAATTTCTGCGCCATAGCAGAGTATAGGTGCAATCATTGAGTCAAATATTCTAAATAAATCACAGCCATCTATGTTACCCATTTTTCTTTGAAAACTGAATAATGATAAAATTGCTTTGTTAGCCTGAGATGATAAACATAGCTGTGCTTTGTTCCACACAAGCTTGGGTGTGAAGACAATACCCAGATATCTATAAAAAAGAGACACATTCATTATGGATTATACAGAAGATATGAATATACATTGTACTTGAATATACCAGGTTTGCTTCTATTGATCTTTTTGGTTAAATTAACATTTAAGAAGAATGGTCATACCTAAAATCAGAAATCCCTTTTAGAAAGATGTTTATGAATCGAAAATCCAGTCACAACAAACAAACTGTATAAACCCTGTATATATTTGCAAACGCTAGTATCCAGATTTGACTTGAACCATGTACTTACTAGCATTACTTAAAAGCAAACATAAAATTCATCAATGATCTGTCAAAACTGATGGTACATTCTTTACATTCAGACCAAATGTTTTTTGGACAGGTAGGTTCTATCAACTCTAAAAAAACATATTAACAAATGATAAAGTTTATATTCCATAATGGAATAATAAACTTTATAATTTGATAGGAAAGTTGAAGAACCATTTATTCAATGTAAATTCCATGCAACTTTATACAGAGAGGAAAACGGATACAGACTAATCAATGCCACTTTATCAAACGAATATGATTTACAAGAAAACGAACAGAGTCAATTAAACTAGGAAATGACAATAATACAGAAATATCGGAAGGTATTTGGAAGACTTTGCTATTTTCCATTTAAAACAACAAAAAACACAAATCTCAGATGGTTCCAATACCGTATTATGCATAGAAGCCTGACAAAAATCAGACTTATTCAAGTACTAAATTGTAACTTCTTCATCATGGTCTTTTTGTTATGCTGAAAAAAACCAACTGATACGACAGTAAGTGCAGATAAGAATCACTTTTACTTATTTTTGATTTGTAGGAAAACGTAATAGCATTTTGAATTTTATTTACATTGCAGTAAAACATTACATCTATACAAACAATGCTCAAATTCCCCCACGAGTACTACCGAAGTAAAAACAAAAATACCTCATTTAATCACATCACTAATAAAAATATGTCTCAAAATGTGAATCCCACAAAGTTGTGACCTTCTTCACTGTTATGCTGTATTTACCACGTATCACAATAAATCAACTTCAAATATCAATATTGTCCAGTAAAATGTAATATATAATATATGGCTGCAATAACATGTCCCTAAGCAAAAATGACGTGATAATGTATACATAATATGTAAATAGATTTAGCTGAATGTAAGAAAACAAAATCCTGAAAAAGGCAGGATATTTGTTCAGTGTTTGTGCAATCTCAAAGTGAATGCCCCTGAGTATAGAAACACGTGCTGATCAGCTACAAAAGAATGCCAGGCACAATACTGGTTGAAACAGGCCGCACAAAAGGCCAGGCAGTAGTTAAAATCATGGCTCCGATATCAAGTGTTGACAAATGTGATTCAGAAGGTCAAACTAAAAAAACAAACAAGAGTCATTGATATGCATGAATGCTGACATGGAAAATGCATAGTTATTATATATATTATAATATATATAACATAAAGGAAATGTGAACTCAACATTCCATTCTACAGTACAAACACTTTTCAAAATCAATATTTGTACAATTTTACATTTGTATAACAACAGATTGAAAGACACCTACATTCACTAAAGTATGGTGGCTGATTAGGGCCATCGCTTTCTCGCCTTAAAATTCGGAAGCGAGGCATCTGTACTCAAAATACATTATTCTGGATGGCGTTAACACATTTTACTCAAATGATGATATACCTCTAATCAAGCCATTGTGTTATGATGAGAAAAGCCCCTTTCTCTAAGTCGGGGCTTCGAAACCTTGTTTGGGTAAACACATAAAGTCCTGTCTGTTGATTACACAAATATCACAGTACCCATTAATTCTAAAATGGACTTGAATAGCTGATTGAATAGCACTTGCACGTTGTAGACAATAGTGTCTGTTCATTCCTCATCAAAATAGGCACGTGGCCTGTCAGTTTTTGTAAATAAGGACTTCATCTTTCAAGAGTAAACGTAAAATAGTTTAGGAGATGTTCTTCACATTTACTTATCGAAAGTGGAAGATTTAAAAATCACGAAAATAGAAATTGCAAACTTTGTGATCTTAACCAAATAGTAGATTCAAATAATTTTCTTTTTATTTGCCCTTCTTATAATTCCCTGAGAAGGTTGTATATGAAGAAATATTATTTTGTCCATCCAAACCTTTAACAACTCTCAGCATTGTTAAATAACAGAATATATCTCAGAGCACAATATAAGCTACCCTTGATTACTTTCTCTTCTTCATGTATATTACATGTGCGTGTAAATATTGCTTTGCGTGTGCGTGTAAATGTATTTCACTACAGGCCTGTGACCTTTCAGTATCGGAAATAAAGAGAGAATAAAAACTTGACCACTCGATTTTAGGGGAACAAATCTCCATAAGGTCAATCTTTGTATTAGGGTGATCGAAGATCATTCACTTGTCTTTGTAATAGGGTGAACAGATAACCCTCAATTGAATCAATGTATTAGGGTGATCAAATCATCTTCACTTCATTTTTTGTGATACGGTAAACTAATCACTAATAATGGTCAACTGTATTAAGATGATGAAATCGCCCCTCCACCTCAGTTTTTGTACAAGGGTGAGCTGATCACCATAAATCAATTCTTTTTAGGGTGAACAACTAAACTTAACCTCAGTCATTTTATAATGGTGAACTGATCACCTTAACTTCGATCTTTGTACAAGGGTGAACTGATCACCTTAACTTCAATCTTTGTACAAGGGTGAACTGATCACCTTAACTTCGATCTTTGTACAAGGGAGAACTGATCACCTTAACCTCGATCTTTGTACAAGGGTGAACTGATCGCCTTAAACTCGATCTTTGTACAAGGGTGAACTGATAATCTAAACCTCAGTCTTCGTACAAGGCTGAACTAATCGCCTAAACCTCAGTCTTTGTACAAGGGTGAACTGATGACCTAAACCTCAGTCTTCGTACAAGGGTGAACTGATCACCTAAACCCCAGTCTTTGTACAAGGGTGAACTGATGACCTAAACCTCAGTCTTCGTACAAGGGTGAACTAATCGCCTAAACCTCAGTCTTCGTACAAGGGTGAACTGATCACCTAAACCCCAGTCTTTGTACAAGGGTGAACTGATGACCTAAACCTCAGTCTTTGTACAAGGGTGAACTGATCGCCTTAAACTCGATCTTTGTACAAGGGTGAACTGATAATCTAAACCTCAGTCTTCGTACAAGGCTGAACTAATCGCCTAAACCTCAGTCTTTGTACAAGGGTGAACTGATCACCTAAACCCCAGTCTTTGTACAAGGGTGAACTGATGACCTAAACCTCAGTCTTCGTACAAGGGTGAACTAATCGCCTAAACCTCAGTCTTCGTACAAGGGTGAACTGATCACCTAAACCCCAGTCTTTGTACAAGGGTGAATTGATGACCTAAACCTCAGTCTTCGTACAAGGGTGAACTAATCGCCTAAACCTCAGTCTTCGTACAAGGGTGAACTGATGACCTAAACCTCAGTCTTCGTACAAGGGTGAACTGATGACCTAAACTTCAGTCTTCGTACAAGGGTGAACTGATGACCTAAACCTCAGTCTTCGTACAAGGGTGAACTGAGCATCTTAATCTCGATCTTTGTATTAGGGTCCAGTCTTTGTATAAGGGTGAACTTATCACCATCGATCCAGTCTTTGTATATTGGTGAACTGATCACCATGGATCCGATCTTTGTATAATGGTGAACTGATCACCCTTGATCCAGTCTTTGCATAAGGGTGAATTGATCACCATCGATCCAGTCTTTGTATATTGGTGAACTGATCACCATCGATCCAGTCTTTGTATATTGGTGAACTGATCACCATCGATCCAGTCTTTGTATAAGGATGAACTGATCACCATCGATCCAGTCTTTGTATAAGGATGAACTGATCACCATCGATCCAGTCTTTGTATAAGGATGAACTGATCACCATCGATCCAGTCTTTGTATAAGGATGAACTGATCACCATCGATCCAGTCTTTTGTTTTAGGGTGAACTTATCACCTTAAGTTTGAACTAAGATGGCCTTATTGCCTGTATCTTCAATTCTGTGTTAGCTTGATTTGTTTGGCCAAAATGTTGATGTTACAAAACATCCTTCTTTGCGATACATAGCTATCAGTTGTTTCAAGACTTTGTCACACTGAAGAAGATTTGAATTTCCTGAAATGATCAAGTTGGCAATTATTAGTGCAGTTGTATGTTATTGTCAGATTTTAATTCTTTAATTAAGTTTCTTACTCTAAATTACAATGATCCCAATGATCTTCCACTCCTTACACAACATACAATAAGACAGACAACAATCCAGAGCTGCTGAGGGTGGCCAACATACAAAACGGTTAAACAGACAGTATCACATTTATCAAATATGTCCACTACAGGCCAGGTAATCAATATGTTATGGCGTACTGCAAATCGGGAAATATGTTTGTATGCACCTGATAAAGTTCTATGATACCTGTTGATTACCAAAGATCGTCAAAAGCACTTTGGCAGGTGATATTTCTTGAGAACCAGAAGCAGTATGATCACAATGAGGCTGTGTATGTGTCTATTACATGGAAGGTTGGAGCAGTGTATCTGTTAAACACTAAGTTTATAAGTCAGTGACTTAGTGTGGTTTTGCGCCGCTTTTGGCAATATCCCTTCAAAGTGATGGACGCCATAAATGGGCTTTTCACATTGTAACCTTGTGAGGTTTGTTTTGTGTTAAACACCGCACTCAACATTATTCCAGCTATATGGTCTGTATATTTATTCGCGTCTGGGCCAGACAGCATGAGCATCAATCTACGCAATTGGGATACGATGACATGTGTCAACCAGGTCAGCGAGCCTGACCACCCGATGCCGTTAGTCGCCTCTTACAGACAAGCATGGGTTGGTAAAGACCAATTCTAACCGGGATCTTCACGGGTCCCCATGTGAGGAGTTCGCCCCATGTCTTTGGCGCGCTGAGCAAACGTGTCTGGATGATGAGCATACTCTGACAAGTGGAAATCGACCATGCTGCCATGGTCAAAAGCTATGAACACACAATGCATTTTAAGAAGTGGTCAAATGTAACATTAGCTAGTTTCTTGCTCACAAAACTTTCAAGATTCACAGTGTCCAGGTGAGAATCATAAGATTTTGACTTCATCTCAGTGATCTCACCAATAATGATTAATCCTTTTCTAGCCCGAGTGATCGCCACGTTGATCTGGTTAGCATCTGTGATGAAGCCAAGGTTGTGTTTGCACCAGCCAAACGTTGGGTTACTCTCTATCTTGTAGTGGGGCAGGGACCGCACAGTGCTGAATATCACGTAGTCCCACTCGCTTCCTGACAATCCAATAAAATCATCGCTGATTACCACAAAACAAGTTGCTTTCAGAAACTTTATAATGGAAAGCTCCAAACAAACTTGGTAAGTTGCAAAAAGCAATAAACTATCCAATACTCACTTCTGCAGACGATTAACGCTTTAATTAAGGACAAATTTTCATTCATATTATTCCACCCATATATTGGAATTACAGTCAAAATACTATGCTCTCATTGACGCCAGAAGGTACTCGTGCGGAAAACGACAAGTAAAGGCGTCTGTCTTATTGGGACCAACCTTCTAAGTACAATCAAACACGGTTGTATCGAAGTCAAAGAGACCTACGTAATACTATGCTTATGCTTGGTTTGACACAACTGCGAAATGATGACTAAACGCAGGGATAGAGCTGTCCCAGTTAACAATTTCACGTTGTCATGTCATTTTTACGTCGCCACAAGGTAAAGTTATTTGATGCTAACGTATTTTGCCTTGTCTTAATGTTCTACTTAACGTTAATAGTTTAATAGTTTTCCCAGTAGTGAACAGACTCACCACAGGGAGACAAGCATGGGGCATTTGGGATCTACTCTACTCCAGACTGACCACAGGGAGACAAGCACGGGCCATTGGGGATCTACTCTACTCCAGACTCGCCGCAGGGAGACAAGCATGGGGCATTGGGGATCTACTCTACTCCAGACTCACCACAGGGAGACAAGCATGTGGCATTGGGGATCTACTCTACTCCAGACTCACCACAGGGAGACAAGCATGTGGCATTGGGGATCTACTCCAGACTCACCACAGGGAGACAAGCATGGGGCATTGGGGATCTACACTACTCCAGACTCACCACAGGGAGACAAGCATGGGGCATTGGGGATCTACACTACTCCAGACTCACCACAGGGAGACAAGCATGGGGCATTGGGGATCTACTCTACTCCAGACTCACCACAGGGAGACAAGCATAGGGCATTGGGGATCTACACTACTCCAGACTCACCACAGGGAGACAAGCATGGGGCATTGGGGATCTACACTACTCCAGACTCACCACAGGGAGACAAGCATGGGGCATTGGGGATCTTCTCTACTCCAGACTCACCACAGGGAGACAAGCATGTGCCATTGGGGATCTACTCTACTCCAGACTCACCACAGGGAGACAAGCATGTGGCATTGGGGATCTACTCCAGACTCACCACAGGGAGACAAGCATGGGGCATTGGGGATCTACTCTACTCCAGACTACTCCAGACTCACAGGACCACAGGGAGACAAGCATGGGATATTGGGGATCTACTCTACTCCAGACTCACCACAGGGAGACAAGCACGGGCCATTGGGGATCTACTCCAGACTCACCACAGGGAGACAAGCATGGGGCATTGGGGATCTACTCTACTCCAGACTCACCACAGGGAGACAAGCATGGGGCATTGGGGATCTACTCCAGACTCACCACAGGGAGACAAGCATGTGGCATTGGGGATCTACTCCAGACTCACCACAGGGAGACAAGCATGGGGCATTGGGGATCTACTCTACTCCAGACTCACCACAGGGAGACAAGCATGGGATATTGGGGATCTACACTACTCCAGACTCACCACAGGGAGACAAACATGGGGCATTGGGGATCTACTCTACTCCAGACTCACCACAGGGAGACAAGCATGGGGCATTGGGGATCTACTCCAGACTCACCACAGGGAGACAAGCATGGGGCATTGGGGATCTACTCTACTCCAGACTCACCACAGGGAGACAAGCATGAGGCATTGGGGATCTACTCTACTCCAGACTCACCACAGGGAGACAAGCATGGGGCATTGGGGATCTACTCTACTCCAGACTCACCACAGGGAGACAAGCATGGGATATTGGGGATCTACACTACTCCAGACTCACCACAGGGAGACAAGCATGGGGCATTGGGGATCTACTCTACTCCAGACTCACCACAGGGAGACAAGCATGGGGCATTGGGGATCAACTCTACTCCAGACTCGCCACAGGGAGACAAGCATGGGGCATTGGGGATCTACTCTACTCCAGACTCACCACAGGGAGACAAGCATGTGGCATTGGGGATCTACTCTACTCCAGACTCGCCACAGGGAGACAAGCATGGGGCATTGGGGATCTACTCTACTCCAGACTCACCACAGGGAGACAAGCATGGGGCATTGGGGATCTACTCTACTCCAGACTCACCACAGGGAGACAAGCATGTGGCATTGGGGATCTACTCCAGACTCACCACAGGGAGACAAGCATGTGGCATTGGGGATCTACTCCAGACTCACCACAGGGAGACAAGCATGGGGCATTGGGGATCTACTCTTCTCCAGACTCGCCACAGGGAGACAAGCATGGGATATTGGGGATCTACACTACTCCAGACTCACCACAGGGAGACAAGCATGGGGCATTGGGGATCTACTCTACTCCAGACTCACCACAGGGAGACAAGCATGTGGCATTGGGGATCTACTCTACTCCAGACTCACCACAGGGAGACAAGCATGGGATATTGGGGATCTACTCTACTCCAGACTCACCACAGGGAGACAAGCATGGGGCATTGGGGATCTACTCTACTCCAGACTCACCACAGGGAGACAAGCATGGGATATTGGGGATCTACACTACTCCAGACTCACCACAGGGAGACAAGCATGGGGCATTGGGGATCTACTCCAGACTCACCACAGGGAGACAAGCTTGGGGCACTAGGGACATATTCTATTCCAGAACCAAGAGAAGGAGACGTGTTCTACTCAGTAAGACGGTTAGTGGTGTTAGCGATAGCATTAACACCCATGCACTCCTTATGTCTACCTTGACTAGCTACAACAGTTTGAACAGTCAGGTCCTCCAGCTGTGTGGAAAGATGAGGATCTTTAGCTAATTTGTCCTCCAGTTTTCCTTTAATGAGACTCCTCTGTGCATTGTACTGAGACATCAAGTTGATGTCCTTCACAGGGATCTGTTTCACCTGAACAAGGTACATGAACACCTCAGCCTGAAAATAGCAATATATATTCACATATCTTTAAGGTCAACACAGATTTATATTTTTATGAACGTGAAAACAACATTTTCTTATCATGTCAGACTTTTCTTGACTCTCTAAGCAAAAAGAAATACTACCTGAATGTGTTCCGAATGTCAGATTTCGGTCGTCTCGAAGGCCCCGGAAGTTATTATTACTCACCTGAGATGCCACAATTTACCGTAAACAGATGCGTCCAGTGGGTACGTTACAAACCAGTATTTTGAATTCCAGTCTTTCCCCAATATGTTTCTGGTTTTGTCAGGATCATGCCCTTTCTTCAAAGTAGTAACCATCTGATACCGATATATCTGTAGAGGGTAATGTCCGAGTAACTCTCCATTCCTTAAAAAAATTAAGGAATGGAGTGTTACGAGGATATTACCCTACTTAAATTACATTTGAAGTATTGGGAATATTTCTGTTATCAAAATTAAATGTCAAAATGACAAAATGAAGGTTTTATTTTGAAACTGGTACACATCGCTCCATTCCTGAAAAGTAATGGAGCGAACAGACAATGGAATGACGTCACAAATGTAATTTAATCAGGGTTTCTCCCATATGAACATGTCGTGCCAGGATATAACGCAAACACTGTTCAAAGTGACATTAAACCCAAATGATCCCTCTGGTAGTCACACACGACTTCCGTGATAATGAATAGCCTCATCTAGCACATATATAATAACCAAGGTTAATTACTAGATAAACCTACTCTGTTTTCGATTTGTCGTGGTTGCTATGTTGGCCAAATTGAACTGAAACCGAACGTGCAGATATATGTTTCTGCCCAAACTTAGAAGAATGAAAACTTACACCACCCTCAACCTACTGATACAATGTTGAATGAGGGAAGAAGGAAGAAATAAACAACCCCAAACCTATCATTACCATGTCGAAGGAGAGAAGACAAAATGATTAATCGCCCCACCCTACCGATACGATGTTGAAGGATTAAGAACTAGATCCAAGATAAGATCTTGAAGAAGAGGAGAAAAAATAAATGCACCAGCCTCTATATTCCATTTTCTAATCGTATAAGTCTGCAAAATCATGGCTTTCTTAAAACATACATGTAGTTTGCTTTCTGTAAGGCCATGGCTCAAATGTTTCATTTGTTGTACATGGAATATGCTAAAGGTGGTTGATTAATATGAATCTCAAACTGAATACGGCATGGGGACAATGAAGAATTCCTTTTAAAACAATCACGAACTATCTTTGCAAATGTTCTCCGTGAAAATATGTCAAAACTTTGAAATAAATATTCATTAACCTTTTTGAATGACGCGTTCAGTCTATCCATGATGTTAAACACTACAACATATTGCCTCAATCTCAATTACTATGAATCACTGACCAGTTTATCGGCTTCTTTCACGTTGGACTTTGACATTTCATTGCCGTCCTGTGTAGTGACAGTAAAAGTCTCCTCCTCCCCTTCTATATGGCAGAACACCTTGGGGTTGGTGCTCACTGGCCAGATGGACAGCTCCTTCCCTGGGGCGATGTACCAGTCGGCCTCCTCTGGATTGGACGGGCCGGTCTCCAGTTTACCAAGATAAAACTGGTTCTTTGGAAATTTGCAGATTTCCGGATGCTAGAGATTTAAATGTTTATATCACCTTAACTGTCACAATTCAACTGAGAAGAGTTAACCTTACAAAAGTTCCTAATGTGTTTTAGGCTGATGTGTGATATATAAATTGCAAAATATAAACAGGGACCGTCTAGATAATTCCATCCTGTTATCTGGGTTCTGCCAGTGAGTGAGTGAGTTTAAGATCTTTGAACAGTCTTTATGTTGCATCGTCACATATCAGTTGAATGTGACGACATGATGTCAACAGTTTATGTCATAAGAAACTAAGGTCTCTTTGATGGATAATGAAAGTGATGATCTTACAATCTGGTATTGTCACCAGGTGATACCCTTTGGACCAGACCATCCAGTTATCAACAGCATGAGCATCAATCTAAACAGTTAGGATACGATGGCATGTGTCAACTAAGTCAGCGAGCCTGACCACTCGATCATCAGTAACCCATGCTTGTCGTAAGAGGCGACTAACGGGACCGGGTGGTCAGGCTCGCTGAGTTAGTTGACATATGCCATCGGTTCCCAATTGGGCAGATCGATGCTCATGCTGTTGATCACTGGATTGTCTGGTCTAGACTTCATTATTTACAGACCGCCCCCATATAGCTGGAATATTGCGGAGTGCGGCGTCAAACTAAACTTACTCACTCACCCGCCCACTCACTGGAACTAATCACTACTCTGTACAGAACAGTACTGGAACTACCCACCACCCTGTGCTGAACACCATGTGCATCACTAGAACTACTCAACATCTTGTACTGAACTGTGCTTTGACTACTCACCATCCTGTACTGCATATTTAGAAAAGCAATATTGGCCCTGTATCTCTCAAACAGGGACTGGTCAAGGCCAAGTTCGGCTGCTGCTTGGCATTGTATGATTGGCCGCAACTGCCTATGGTCGCCTATCAGAACAACCTGTTCTGGATGATTGGCGATGATGGGGATCATGCTCTGGGGCTCTGTGCACATGCCACTCTCGTCGATGATGACCTGGTGAACAGTTACTGTCTTGCGGATACTCCAGCGTCCAGCCACAATGCACGTACACAGAATAACATCATACTTCTCCAGTTCCTCTTTCTCAGCATCATTTATCAGTTTATCATAAGCTTTCACATCTTCCAAGGTAATGTTTTCCTGCAAACAAATATTTTGTATATGACATCTAAAATAATTGTTTTTTTCAGTTTTGGGACATCTGCAGTAGGTAAAAATATATGGTGGGTATTGAGAAATATAAATGTAATATTGGACCTGTTTAAAATGAGCAATGGTTGATTAGTTGATAAAACGCCATGTCATTATTTGCTATAACTGTTAGTACGGCCCAAATGCTTGCAATGCTAAGGCCAGAAATACAAAAACCTATTTCCATGTTGGAATAGGTTTTGGAAAATTCGGATATGATTATTGTTGTGCTTGTTTGTTTGTTGTATACTCTTAAAAACGTAGGGGAACTTCATTTAGGGGATAACTGTACTGTGTTTGACGAATTGGGGACGTATACCGGTGGTTATATAGCCGCAAATTTAGTTATATCGGCGACGCGTAAGCGGAGCCGATATAACGTTAAATTTGCGGCTATATAACCACCGGTATACGTCCCCAATTCGTCAAACACAGTACAGTTATCCCCATTCTAATTCAACTCGTTTTACGCTGTTTTTTCGTGAAAGAAATTCATTATTTAAACCAGGTCAAAGTTCCTCTAGGTCAAAGGTTAATCATATCACTCCTTCAACTTACACCATCGCCAGAGAAAGTAGTTCCCTGTTCAAACTACACACGTTTATTATGTGCGAACAGACTAAATTTGACAATGATGAATAGATCATAGTATTATAGATAAAATGGACTGTATTATGATGAAACCGCCCTCTAGTTACAGAAATGAGCGGCCCGCTGATTCCTCAACTACGGGCCATTATCAGTTCTGTTGTCAAATGACGTCATAGCAGGTGACGTCACGCTCCATAATGACGTCATAAACTTTGTTTCATGATCTAACAGTGTTGGGTCAACAGCCCGTTGCGAGTAAGTTGTTTGAACTTAAAATTAAATTTATGATACTGTTTTGTCTTTTTTAACACAAATTCCACCCATTTTAGCTGGATAGGGAAGTTAATTGACCAATGGCTTCTGCAAATGACAATGTCCTGCGAAACAGCGTTACCCCAATAGTGTAGGGATACATTCAAAGGTTTCGGTGAATCGGTTTTCAAATTGCGACCGTATATGCTGATTATACGGTCGGAAATTTATGGCATTGACCAATCAGAACTCGTGTTACATACTAAGTTGAATTAGAATTCTAATTAACGATTGAAAACAGTGGGAGATATATCGGAGTCAGTCAATGTTGATATGATGGTAAAAATGAATGTTTTGCGAGTGCATCACCACTCCTTATGACCATAGTTGTTTGTAAAGTAATCGCTCTTAAGAAATGATTGATGTATGACGTGAAATCTTGCATGTGTACGATTTTAATTTTCAAACAACCCCCCCAAAAAAACCCGGCAAGCAACAAACACTAACAACAGTGTGACGCAGATGATTGTTAAACATATATGGTCTACATTGATTTATCGACCTTCTTAAAAAACCTAAAAATGAAGAATGACACCCCATGCACGTGTATTGGGCTACTGCGTTGTGCACGTGCATCCCATGCGTTGTGTTTAGGGTTGGTGATAAAGAGAAATGGTGATGCGTTCAGAAGATGTCTGTCTTTGAAAAGTTTCTTAACGCTTATACATTTTGTACTTCCTATCCAAATTGACACTTCCGGTTCCCCTACTTTTTTAAAGAGTATATAACGCCATACGAAACAATGATACAGCTTAACCATGGCAACCTCTAAATATCAGTAATAGAGTGTGGAAGATTATACACTGATTGGCATTGGGAACAACTATTTATGTCGTCAGAGTGAGATGACACGCCATCTACCCATTCACAGATTCTGACCACCAATCCTTTTCATGGCACCCGTGAAGGTCCGGGTTAGAACGAACCTTCAGTAACCCATGCTTGTCGTAAGAGGCGACTAACGGGATCGGGTGGTCAGGCTCGCTGGCTTGGCTGACACATGTCATCGGTTTCCAGTTGCGCAGATCGATGCTCATGCTGTTGATCACTGGATTGTCTGGTCCAGACTCGATTATTTACAGACCGCCACCATATAGCTGGAATATTGCTGAGTGCGGCGTAAAAGTAAACTCACTCACTCCCTTTTCATGGCCTGTAAGGTTGCTTGGGTGAAACTAATCAATTAGTTTGTTCCTTATTTATTCGTCATATGTTAGTTGTTAATGGCAAACAACAATGGAGTACATGACAGTGTTGGAATACTCTGAAAGCTGTGTGAAATCAAAGACATTCAGGCATATTCGGGATTGCCTGATTTCAGTAAGACCAGTTACAACAAAAGGCAACAATCTCCACCTTGCAACCTACCCGCTTAGTCGTACTGGAATTGAGGTACCTGCGGAACCTTTCATCATAGTCCCTGATTTTTGGAGCATGGGGTTTATCAGTTTGTCTGATGACATGGTGTAGTGTAACTTCTTTGAGTTCTGGATCTGACTTTTGGATTTTTCTCCTCTTATTAGAAGCATAAATCCTTACAGGAACTGGGAAATCTGCTTGTTCAACACTCTTTCCATAAACACGGAGAAATTTTGGACATATGTCCTTTCCCAGTTTCTTCAAAAGGGAGCCTGTCAAAAAAGGAAATATGAACTATATGTACTGTAATTATGAAGCCATACAATCTCCCATGAACGGTTAGTTAGAAAACATTATGTAGAGAAGAAACTGTAGAGAATATTTTGCTTGAGGTAAAACCACAGGAACCACCATCAGAGTCTGGCAAATGAAGTAAGCGGTTTGTATGTCAAAAACTTTCGGAAGAAATCAAGTCACGAAACACCTCGGACATACAAGGGGGTGGTAACCAAGGTTTAAATTAGTTTCAGAGATTGTGAGCAGATGCAAATAGTCTTCCTAGGTCCAAAGGCACAAAGAAACTTTAATGCACATTTTAATCATAACAAAAGTAACAGTATTAAACATGGGACCTTTGTAACATGTTGAACATTTATGTGCCGGAGGTATGTTGCAATATTCTCAACCGTTGCTAAAGTGTTGCTAGTTTCTATACGTGCCATCCACATACTGTGGGCCCGATACCATCAACCACACAGCGCTGATGATCGACAATACTCTTTCGATGCCCCCAAAACACTAGCCAAGGATTAGTCAGAACAATGGCAGTGGGAAATTGATTGCTAACTGTTCTCAGATCAGGTACTGAGTGCAACAGTACATGCAGATACAGAGTGCAGTCATCTGCACAGTTGGCAGTTGTGTGCATGAAGTTCTTTCATCATCCTTCAATTAAATACAGGTGATTTAAATTAGAGGCAGGTGTGGAAAACGTCAACAGTGGGGTAATCGACTTTGGACTAATGTTATGTTTTAGGACAATACGAGGGTCAGTCTTGACCTCCATGACTGAAGGAATCGAGTTTGGAGACGTCCCACTGAGCAATCTATGACTGACTGACTGAGTTTGGTTTTACGCCGCTTTTAGCAATATTCCAGCAACATCACGGCAGGGGACATCAGAAATGGGCTGAGCATTCTATGAACGTTAACGTCCCACTGCATAATTATTTTGGAGATGGATCATATGCGTGGTCTCACAATGACTGGCCAAACTGCGCTCCATGTCCAAACTGGGGTGGATCATATGGTTGTTCTCACAATGACTGGCCAAACTGGGGTGGATCATATGGTTGGTCTCACAATGACTGACCAAACTGGGGTGGATCATATGGTTGGTCTCACAATGACTGGCCAAACAGGGGTGGATCATATGGTTGGTCTCACAATGACTGGCCAAACTGGGGTGGATCATATGGTTGGTCTCACAATGACTGGCCAAACTGGGTGGGATCATATAGTTGGCCTCACAATGACTGGCCAAACTGGGGTGAATCATATGGTTGGTCTCACAATGACTGGCCAAACTGGGGTGGATCATATGGTTGGTCTCAAAATGACTGGCCAAACAGGGGTGGATCATATGGTTGTTCTCACAATGACTGGCCAAACTGGGGTGGATCATATGGTTGGTCTCACAATGACTGGCCAAACTGGGGTGGATCATATAGTTGGCCTCACAATGACTGGCCAAACTGGGGTGGATCATATGGTTGTCTCTCACAATGACTGGCCAAACTGGGGTGGATCATATGGTTGGTCTCACAATGACTGGCCAAACTGGGGTGGATCATATGGTTGTTCTCACAATGACTGGCCAAACTGGGGTGGATCATATGGTTGGTCTCACAATGACTGGCCAAACTGGGGTGGATCATTTAGTTGGTCTCACAATGACTGGCCAAACAGGGGTGGATCATATGGTTGGTCTCACAATGACTGGCCAAACTGGGGTGGATCATATGGTTGTTCTCACAATGACTGGCCAAACTGGGGTGGATCATATGGTTGTTCTCACAATGAATGGCCAAACTGGGGTGGATCATATAGTTGGCCTCACAATGACTGGCCAAACTGGGGTGGATCATATGGTTGGTCTCACAATGACTGGCCAAACTGGGGTGGATCATATGGTTGGTCTCACAATGACTGGCCAAACAGGGGTGGATCATATGGTTGGTCTCACAATGACTGGCCAAACTGGGGTGGATCATATAGTTGGCCTCACAATGACTGGCCAAACAGGGTCGGATCATATGGTTGGTCTCACAATGACTGGCCAAACAGGGGTGGATCATATAGTTGGCCTCACAATGACTGGCCAAACTGGGGTGAATCATATGGTTGGTCTCACAATGACTGGCCAAACTGGGGTTGATCATATGGTTGGTCTCACAATGACTGGCCAAACTGGTTCGATCATATGGTTGGTCTCACAATGACTGGCCAAACTGGGGTGGTTCATATGGTTGGTCTCACAATGACTGGCCAAACTGCACTCCATATCGTCAGTGGCAGAGTCACAGGTCATCGGAATATCATTGCGACATTATAGCCTACATAATCCCATCAGATGGACGGACAGACAAATGAACAGGTGGATGGGCTGATGGATTCAACCGATGGATCCACTGATGAATGGGCAGACGGCGGCAAAGGCTGATAATACACATGAATGCAAGACACTGATGGACTGATTGAGGCAACAAATGTATATACTGATGAATGATTGATGGATAGATGGATGGATAGGCTGATGCATCTGATGAACATATTAATGGACTGATGGATGTAACAGTTGATTGAGTGATGAATGGAAGATATGGATTGATTAATGGACAACAGGATGAATGCATATTCAGAATGATGACTGATTGACTGATGCACATGATGGAACACAGGACATATCTGGATGGGTAAAGATTGTTTGACTGTTCACTTCCTTCATTTGGTATGAGATATAAAAGTTTAAACGTGATGAGAATTGTAAATGAACATAAGAAGTTTTCGTTTCCTTACGTGCAACCAGATCCACAGACTTGTTGGATGGTCCACAAAAAAGGACCTGCTTCCGTTTTTGGTCATGGCCCTCTGAAAACATCTGCTTGTTAATTCTGTCAAAGAGAAACACCAACTTCACTCCAATGGTGGTCTTTCCAGTGCCTGTGTAAACAAAAAACACACAATAACTATGCAGTATCCTAGGAGACCATTTGCAGAACATGTTTTGCAGTATCCCATGTAAAGAATACCTTAGCAAGATGCTGGCAACAATAAAAACATGACATTGTGGATCTGTTTTCCCTATCATTACGTAATCCTGCCATGGTAAATCAATGTTACTAGATTGTTAGTGTTTACAAAATGAAAAACCCAATCATATACAAAACAGCTACTTATACTGTACGAGACTATACATCAAGCGTAAGGCCAATGGGGATGTATAAACTTGTCAAATTGCTTTATCAAATTGTTTTATCGCTCAGGGAAGCACACAGCCAAAGCTCCCATTCATTTTTTATTCCGGTTGTCATATCAGAGTACCCGTTAACTGCTGGGTCAACAAAAGTATTTGCAGGAGACTTTATCTATGACCTGTATACAAGCACAGGAATCCCTCGGGGTCGAGGAACTACAGAGCATTACCGATCTGTATCAACCCCTGTAATGCTATACTTCGCTTGTCGGACTCGTGAAGATCCGGGTTCGAATTGATCTACTAACGGGATCGGGTTGTCAGGATCGCCGACACAAGTCATCCTATCCCAGTTGCGTAGATCGATATTCATGCTGTTGATCACTGGATTGTCTGGTCCAGACTCGATTATTTCCAGAACGCCGCCATATAGCCGGAATATTGCTGAGTGCGGCGTAACACCTAACTCACCAACTCCCTCATACTGTGTATCAGTGGGTGAGTTGACAGTCTCACTGCTTTAGTTACCAGGAGGTCCCTGTATCAAGCTGAAAGGATACTCCAAAGCTCTCCTTATTGCCTTCGTCTGACTTTCATTGTTGATTGTCGTAGTTGAACAGCGTCTCTCTTCATCTGTCAGGTCTGTTGGGCTTTTCATGCACAAGGCAAGCCGCTGACACCCTACACCAGATCAACAATAGTATGACATTAGTTCATTTAGCATTAGAAGACCACAAAGTATGTATGATGAAAATTAAATAATTGTTCAAATACCATTAGCATGGTTAGGTGTTGCTCCGTCACTTGAAAACCATGTCACGGTACAGTTGAAAGGCTGGTAAATATTATATGTGATCATGAATATTATCTTAACTTCATTTGAGGTGAGGGGAGGTGAAATTGGGTTTAACGTCGTGCTGGAGAATATTTGCTCATATGACGTCGTGCATGCGTGTGTGTGTGTAGGTGCAGCTGCTTGTACTAGCCCAGACTGAAGCTGGTTTTAAAGTGCAAGCCCACTGAGATACCATGCCGCAGTGAAGCATGAATACCCCACTCAGACTCATTATACTGACTCCGAGCCGACCAGTCCTTTACCCATTAATGCTGAGCGCCAGGCAGGGACCAACAAGTACCATATTTTAACGTCTTTTGGTATGACGCGGTCGGAGATCGAACCCGCGACCTTCCGCTCTCCGGGCGGACGCTCTAACCACTACACCACGGAGGCGGTCCTTACCATCATGTAAAATACTTTAATTTCATTTGTCAATGAGGCTTTAACAAGTTTCCGTGTCACCCCTCCCAGGAGGGTGACAACTAGAAAAAATATTACCCGCTGCCACGGTAACCGCCCAACTCTCCGCCGAGAAGCTGTATCGCTAACAATCGTATGACGTCATAATATGATGCATGCAGTACACAAAGTTCGAAAACCGATCGATAAGCTGTTTTTGAGTTCACTTTGTAGTCATTTATTTTACCGACTTTCACTGCTTAATATAAACTATTTATACTTTGCATCGTTTGCATACTCAACTTAAACATAATTAACCATTTTTATAGCAGTTTTAAGCTTGTCAGAATATGTTTCACTGATATTAAAAATACAGTCGAGAGCCAGGCGCCATTTTGTTTACACGTCAAAGAGTCGGTAGCGAGCTTATCGATCTTCAAAATAAAATAAAATGACATTTTATACATTTAACATAGCGGTAAGATGAATATGTTGTAAACGTCTCCCTCGTGTAATACGGTCTGATGTACGCATCTTTGTATCAGTGACATGCCTCGCCTACCGGCTCGGGTAACGCTGCTACAAAAATGCGTACATCAGACCGTATTGCCCTCGAGAGAAGCGTACAACTTATACTATCAATGAGACTAGGTTTGGATTGGAAAAGGTGAAAGAACCAACACATGCTATGCTATATTTCTGTGACTACTATTATCCAATAATGACTCAGTCAATAATTCATTCATAATGGTTATACTCACATTCCCGTGTGTTCAGCAGGTCAAAACGACTGAGGGCTATGTTTTTGGCCAAGTAGTCACCCTGTGGCTCGAGAGCAACTATCATTTGCTCGGTTCTCCTGTAAACAATATAACATAAAAGATCCACATCACAGTAATGATAAAAATATACCAACATTATTTATATTTTCACATGTCACTCAATGCTCAATCTATTTTGACATCAGTCTAATGGCAATGGCCTCTGGGAGAAGAATCATGGAACCAATGCTGGTATTAAGGAGTGAGTACATGGGGACTTAGATGCTTGGGTTTCCTCATGTCCTGTCAACGTGGATGGGTGTCGTCAGTGTTGGCCCCTGAACAATTCACTAATTAATGGCGGGGTGGGGGTGCTTCTCATCAGGTTTGAGCAGACTTGGGGTTAAGAGCTCAGTAAAAGTAGTCGCAGAATTACAACTTCTCCCATATTTTTCAGAGCATTAGTATTATATGCAGATATCACCTCTATTACAATGACCAATAAATCTGGACAAGATAACCAATGACTAAAATCATTAGTAACAATCAATCAAGGTAGTCACAACACCTGAGCAAACAATCCATTTCAGTCGACTCTGATGACGAGAGGTTCCACCACCAAATGTACGATAGTTATGGTATCTGTCAGCATGTTCATCTTTCATCAAGACGGACGAAATATACATGAATTTACAATTTAGCAAGATGAAAATGACATATTTACATAATAAATGCTGATTAAATGCTCATATATATCTTTATCATAACAAAAGATATCTTTCCGTATGAATGGTCGGCAATCATACTTCCATGATGGTCTAGCCTGTAAAGTTTAGTTTTCATTCTTTACTTGTTCTAATATGGAATTTGAAAATCAATGGTTGCGGGTTGCATTTTTACGGCGTACCAAACTTTAAAAATTAGAATACAGTATTCAGAACATTTAATCAATGTCATCGATGAATCAATCTGTAACCCTGCATTACTCAACATACACGGGGCGGTGGGGTAGCCTAGTGGTTAAAGCGTTCGCTTGTCACGCCGAAGACCCGGGTTCGATTCCCCACATGGGTACAATGTGTGAAGCCCATTTCTGGTGTCCCCCGCCGTGATATTGCTGGAATATTGCTAAAAAGCGGCGTAAAACCATACTCACTCACTAACTAAACATACACAAAATATATCTCTGGCTAGAACTTTAATTTGACCATCATTCACTCACATCCACTCGCTATCTTCACTCATTTGACTCCCCTGGGTTTCTGAAAAGACCACAAGTATCGTTTTGACATGCTCACTGGCTTGCATGCCATTGTATTCCAATTGCTTAGCTCGATACTAGGATGTTAGTCACTAGACTGCCTGGTCCAGACTTACTGCCGTCATATAGCTGGGATTTACACAAGCAAAATGTTACTGGATGGATGTTTAAAACATTGATCATGTAAGGAAGTGGGTACGTCATCTAAACATTTGTGAAATACGTGAAATTTTACCTGTCAGCTTGGGATTTTGGGATGATTTCTACCGTGGCCCCAAACGGTTTACCCATCAACATGCTTGGTGGTTGTGGTGAATTCCGTCTCAGTTCAAAGGTAACGATCACTGTTCCAGCATCAGGGTCAATGTCCACATAGCGACCTACAGGTTTCTTCAGCTTAACCTTCCTGACAATGGCATGACCTACCCAGACACTTGAGTCCTTGTCTACCGCGTGCCGTATACACAGATAGTCAAGAGAGGCATAGTTCAAATTACTGAAGCTGCTTTCTCCCAGCTTCATTTTTTCTAGCATCTCTACACTTTTCCCACCAATCTCAATCTGGCGACTATCACAAAATTTTGGATCCAGACCTATGGTACCGACATATATTATATTTCCTTTGAGATTTTTCTTAACAATTGTAACTTCAGCATCATCAATGACAATTGTTTGTTCACTACCAACTGAACTTGTTGCACTCTCCATCTCAAGAACAGGCAGCCATCCATTTTGGTATTCCTCAATGCAGCGAAATTTCCTATCTTTCACTGGCACAGACACATACTTCGCAAATATAGCCACTGGATCGTCCATGTGGGTGAGACACAGATCAAAGTTGTCACAAATATGAAACAGCTGCACATATGGAGCTGGTAGACCTCTGTCTGGTGCGGCATGGATTTGAACCCGGACTACTTGGCCAGGTGAGAATGAGAGACTGAATTCGATGTAGTGCCAAGCCAAGCCGCTTCCACTAGAAACCAGTCTTCGTGTCCCTTCCTCGGAGTGTTTTGCAGATGGGACTAAGGACCTTAATCCAGGAACCAGTCTTTGTAGGCCTTCAGTGGAGGATATTGCTGTATCTTCTTCTTCCTCGGAGTGTTTTGCAGATGGGATTAATCCAGGAACCAGTTTTTGTAGGCCTTCAGTGGAGGATATTGCTGTATATTCTTCTTCTTCTGACATTTTGAACACTCCTTTGAGGAACTGAGCAAACTGGAATGAAGGTATGTCCGTTGTGTGCAAGTTTGAGTCTATGAGACTTCGTCGAGATTCCGATGCTTCTGCATCAAATCTCTCTCCAGATTTGTCATCTGCATGTTTTTCGCGGAAATCAGTCCTTCTATAAACCATATCCTGCTCCTGTCCAGCATGCTCCTCTTCAGCAAGTTCAAATGTTTCCCGCTGCATGTCTTCTGTCGCCCGTTGTTTGCTCCTCGCATGTGTAGAAACGCTTGTTCCAGAAACAAAGAACCTCTTTCTTGCCTTCAGGTAGTGTTCTTAATTTGGGATTCCTGGAACAGTCTAATAGGTTGAATGGCAATTCCAATCGCCCAAATGATATGCCTCTAAGAGATGGAATAAACAATGTTACCTGCCAGGTATTTACATTGTCAACAATGGCATTAAATGTACGTGGAGATTTGGCGAACTTCTTGCACTCTCTTGTAACTCTGTAAGAACGGTCAAATTCCTTTTTTCTCTGGTGCTTTTCTGTCATCCGGGCACATATGTTTGAAACTTCTCCTTGTGTGTATGGAGCTTCCTTCTCATCTAACACGGCACTAACGAGTCTGTGCGCAATTAGGTCTGTGTATCTTCTCAGCGGAGATGTGAAGTGAGTATATGGGAACATGTTGAGTGAAAAGTGTGTTGTGTTTTCTTTCCTTCTGATGAGCACCTGTACGCTGCCGTTTCCTCTATATTCATCAAGTGTTCAATGGCCAGACCCTGGAGTGGATGCAGTACGTCACAGCACATCCCATATCTCACTTTCTTGAGATCTTGTAAAGCTACAGCTTTCAGTATTTCATCCCATACAACCTTCTGTACTGAAATATACTTTGTCTCTGTATTATCATTTTTCTCCACCTGATTGTCAATGCTACAAGTGCTACCAAGGATAGGTCTATCTTGTAGTTTTACAAGAAAGTCCTTAACATATCCTTCTCTTCTAACCCAAAGTTGAAGCTTGTCTTCAGGTGGATCTGCTTGACACCTCAGAGGCACACAGTGTCTGAAAGCATCCATCAAATATGATGCTATGAATGTATTTGTTTTTATCATAAATTCCCCAACAAGACGACGAGCATCAGTATCCCTATTTTCGTTTTCAATACCAATACATTTCGTATCTTCAAGAGAAGCTTCAAATCTTGAGTTCTTCAATCGTTGTTTCCGTAAGTGCCGTGCCAGTATGTGAAGGGTTAGAACACTACTTTTTAGTGTCAGTGTCTCTGTTTCGTGAACCCGCAGGGTCGTCAATAATTGCCTGAACTTCTTGATATGAGAACATTCGACATGATCTGATGAACCTCCTTTTTACATCAGGATTTCCAAGTTGCTTCCCCTCCTTGTCAAACAGAAAGAAAACAGAGATAACAAATCTACCCGAGTTCGGGAGCAGGCTCAAAATGTTTTGGCTCAGAGGTTCTGGCATCATATGGTTGCCTCTCCTTTCTGAAGCCAAGTAACTTGTGGCTCTTTTCTCCGCCTCTTTGTCAACTGCACTTCCTTTCGTCACCACTGATGTGACGTCTGTTATATGGACGCCAACCAGCAAGACGTCAACTCCTTCCCTTTCCGTCTTCCAGACACTCAGAGCATCATCCAATACCCTTGAATCGGCACTATCAATTGTAAAGACCGTCATGTGGCGTATATCTTCTTCATCGGTTGGTGTCCGAATAGCAGGACTTCCTGTCAACTCAGAGACATGTGACACCGTTTTCTTTCCATAGTAACGAGGCACTTGGAAATGCGTGTTCAGAACATCAAGGCAACCTTGAAAGTTTTTTTTACAGTCAAGCACTTGAACAACAGCACCCTGAGGGTAAGTGCATTCAGGACGCCATAACAAATACACAACAAGAAAAAGGTAACGTCTTCGTTTCTCAGGGACAATTTCAAAATGGTTACTAAAAAAAAGTCGTCCATCATCTCCTACTTTGTACACATCAATATTATACTTCTTCTCCTTTTCCCTGGAAAAATGCCGCCAGACACTAATTTTAGGTACACTGTTGCATATTGGATTCATTAAATGTACTTCCTTGCTGTTGGAAGTGCAAGCCATTACAGTGAAGTCAGTTTCTTTAAACTTGCTATACAAAATACCTGCAACTCGGCCGTACATTTTATCATTGTCTACCTCTTTATCATCTTTCCCATTTGATCCCCTTTGTAAAATTTCAACCACAACTTCATCTCCATTGAATGTCCTCCCACATTTTCCTCTGCCGTGAATCTCAATTTCCTCATGAGTATGTCTCTCTTCGAGGACTTTACAAATAGCCAAGTGTGGTCCTTCAAGCTTTATCTGGCATCTCTTGTACTTGCCAGGTTGGTTCTTTAACAGTTCCTGAAGCTCTTCTATACTACTTTCCTCCTTTACAGAACTCACTGACTCGTTCGGTCTGTATATGATATCAAGGCTTTCTCCAACAATGATATCAGTTATGTCCTCATTATTCTCATATCTCTCCTTACTTGCATCAAACCAGGAAACAGGTGAAGTATCGTTCTCTTCTTCCATATCAGATGGGTCTGATCCATCACCTGCGCTATCAACCTCTGTATCCTCAACGCCATATGTATCCCAAAATGATGGATGTTCTTCAGCATCTTTTGTCTTCGCTTTAGGATGTCTCTCAAGATTTTCATATAACCTACCCCAAAAAGAATTGTCCAGATCAAATGCTGGTTTAAATTTGATCTTCTTTGATTTTTTCTTTTTCCTCTTTAGGTTTGTCGTCTTATGTTCTTCTGGTACCGATTCATCAGCTATGTGTAAAAAGTGGAAAAACGTAATAAGAAATTTGACATGCCAATCTAATGTTTGAAATTGCTTAACAGTATATAGAAAACAGATTCACCAAACCAATCAATAATGAATCTGGAAAAGTAAAAGTAATTGACTTTTGCAAAGTAATTGACTGACTGGCTGCCCCACAATTTTACACGTGTCACCAAGTGCAGCATGCCACATTCAAGATATTTGTACTGAAGGTTTCAAATATTGGTAAAATAGTTCATTTCAAGTTAATGCATTCAGTTAATGACTGGTTACTTTCATTATCCAACCAAAGATTGAACAATCATGTAATTAATGACTGATCATTTCCTTCATGGCATCCTCCGTCAACTTTGACCATCTGGACTACGTGCATTATCGCTTATAGCTTCAAAGCGGGAGTAAACGACGTGAAAGGTACTGTATTCATCTGGTGTGTGTGTCAAGTGTTGGAAAAACAATAATAACTGACAGGTAGATAAAAGATGAAAGTAAATTGAGTTTAATGTTGCTTTTAATGGTATTCCTGTTGTAATGATGATGAAATTATCTCAGATTTTACCACTAAGGTGAAACCTACAAAACCATCATAGGACAAACTAGAATTGTAACCCCAGGCTTCCGGCAGGTCAAAGGGATGCAGCTCTGCTTAATCAATGAGACACGAATGCCCATTGATACATAGGGACAGGTTATGCAGAACAACCCACGTCAAGGTTTTCCAGTGAAATCACTCCAGATTTTGAAACTTTCCCACATGTTGAGGTCAAAATATATTCCAGATCTCTGGCAGAATGTCAATCAACATGTCATGTTCTTTTTTACCTTGTTTGAGAGTAGGGTCATAAAATCTATATTGTTAATTTTATCATGAAAATGTTTAAAACACTGCACATGATTCCATGTCTTTGGATTGGCTAATCAAACATTTTCCTTTGCATCCATGTCTCTATAAACTGGAAATAAACTATCAGGTCCCATGTTTCCCAATTGGGCCTATGCTGATACACCTGGGTCTGGCTTTGCAAAAGACAAAGAGTGAGTAAGTATCGTTGGACACCACTTTTAGCAATATGGTAACAGCGGGGGACACCAGAAAGAGGCTTCACACAGTGTACCCATGTGGGGAATGGAACCCGGGCCTTTAGTGTGAAGAGCCAAAGCTTAAACCTCTAAGTTACCCCTTCGCTCCTTGCTGTATGCTAGGAGATCGGAAAATATCCATACGATGAACATACATTCATACAGCTAATGATTCTCCTGGAATAGTCTCTAGTTATATTACTGTTCTCTCGTTTTAACGTGGACACATAGTATTCTCGTTGCCATTACCTATTGCTGAAGCTTGCCCTGGTTCCTCCGACTCTTCTGTAGAACAGTTTCTGCTGCTTGTACCTACGGCTCGCTCCATCCTGCTAGCCACTCTCTCATACCCTACAGAACAAATACATAAAGGAGTCACACTATAAACTAGACTGATTTGGCAAGTGTAGATTGGCTCAGCTCAAGCCTGAAATAAAAACATTGCTCATTGCTCCTTTTGGAGTTTATGGTATGTTAAATGAGAAAAGTATATTCCCGGGACTAGATGTCAGCCTATCATCGTGTCAGCCTATCATCTTTCTTCAGAATCTGTCTGGAAAACCAAATTCCAAATAATGACAATAATGACAGCGGTACAAGAAACTGTCTCTAAAACGTTGCACTTCATTACTTCCCAACTCTTTAAAAGGCCACTCAAATTCCAAATGGCTCTCTCTTTCCTGATGTCATAGACCGCCTTCGTGGTGTAGTGGCTAGAGCGTCCGACCGGAGAGCGAAAGGTTCGGGTTCAATCCCCGGCCGCGCCATACCAAATAAAACGTTAAAATATGGTACTTGTTGGTCCCTTCCTGGCGCTCGGTACAAGGAGTGGTCGGCTCGGAGTCAGTATAATGTGTCTGAGTGGGGTATTCATGCTTAGGGATCGCCAGGCAGGGACCAACAAGTACCATATTTTAATGTCTTTGGTGTGACGCGGCCGGGGATCGACCATCGCGACCATCGGCTCTCCAGGCCACTACACCACGGAGTCGGACCTTTATCTCTTAGGTTATCTATGAGGATGGAAAATGAAACCGGAAACAACTGCAACTACAAACTTTAACCAACATCAAAGGTAGAATGAAACTGACATTAGAATGAACATTATTGGTTACATGTTAGCACAAGAAAGCAAAAACAGCTTTTAGGTCTGTTAAGACACGACGCAATAAAGTCAGATAAATAGTTTTAGAAATATATGTGTTGTCTATTGATGGCAATTTTGCTTTGAAACCCTTCATCTACAGGGTTATAGATTTTTTGGGTCAGCTTCATTTGCTTTTTCATATTATGATACCTTAATACCTAGCCTCCATTCATGGGATTATATGCAAGGTGATAATATTTGATTAAACAATGATCTTAAATAAGATGAAAACAGTCAGTGACTTTACCAAGTGATAACATTAAATTGTTCAAAATATTTTGCTATGAGGTTCAGCGTAGTAGACTCAAACTAAATGACATCGATATGAAACATCGTCATCTGAATCTATACAATTATTGGAATCGATGGATAGGTTTAACACGGGGTGGTACGGGGTGATGTGAGCTGCTCCTTTGAGGTTGATTAAAGCCGTTGTGATATAAAAATATATTTATTAAGATAATTTGATAAAATGATTGTGATAAATGTCTTTGTGTTGTGATATAGAGTTGACTGTATAATAATAAAGTATGGTTGATATACGCAATGTTAGTAAAAATCAATAGATATAATGGTCATTACTCATTAGTGTGAAGACGTTTCGGAAACTCCATAGGCTTAACATACGGGGTAATGTGAGGTGCTATGCTACTAACGCATCCCAAATGTATGGATCAATGCTCATGATGTTGATCACTGGATTATCTGGTCCCGACTTTTTTATTTACAGAACACCGCCATATATATGAAATATTGCTATGTGTGCGTTAAAGAAACAAACACACACACACACACGCACGCACGCACGCGCGCGCGCACACACAGACAAACACACGCGCGCGCGTCACGCTTGTAGTATCACCACACTGGAGACTTATGTCATGTCTGTGTATGTGTGGTAACAGATATGCCACAGTGACGCATCTTATCAGGGAACGTATAACTTCATAATGACAATGTGTTGCACGGTATGGGTTGAGCGTCTCAATAAATATACATGTTCTTGGCTAGATATTGGAAGTGAAGGACTCCTTCAAGGTGAGTAGTTGCAAAACACCACTATGAAGCATAAATGTGATATCCTACCTGATGACCAAGTTCTGATCCACAAGCGTTCGTAACGTTACATAGGTTTACGAATGTCCTAGAGCTACGAACGTTGCAATCAGGATGTGAGAGGATGAAAATCAACTGAACATTGTACAGAGGATTATTGATCATCATTGATGGACCATTTCGAAACCCATTGTTGCATGCCTATTAGTATAGCACATTTTGATCCCCGCCTATATCATGCCTAAGCATGCTCAAAGCGAACAGCTACTATCTGATTATTATTACCACGGAAAAGCTGCCTATGAGGAGCTAGAAGATTAATAGTCACCACCGGGTACCCATTTTCTGCTGGTCGAACAGAGGCAATTTTGAACAAATTCACTTGTCTACGGTGAGACCATATATATCACATGTGCTTCGTTGTGGGGAAGGTCTGAAGTTCTTGAGTTAAGGATCAAGCTGTGAAACACGGACCACCACCCAAGGACTCTCCACGTCCAACGTTAACTTCACCTGATGAGTGGCCTGGGCTCTATGCATAGGACCACACACAACCACGCTGTTAACTCTCTCCATTCCAAGGACTAGATATTACGTCCGAAGAGTCACAAACTTCAATACGAGTCTATATTTAGCAACGTGATACGAGGGACGTGATGTCACGTCTCCATGGTTCCAACGGAGAAAAAATTAGGTCGTCTTTAGCACAAAAACATTTGAAATACAGTTTAATTTCTAAAAGGAGAAACATAACTGAACTAACACAGCATTGTGATAATTTCATTCAATCCAGTGACCTACACCGCGGTGGAAGAACAACCACCATTTAGTAGATTTTAATAGAGTCAAAACATCCAGAGCAGATATTTGTGTTCGTCAAATTCATATCATCAATGTCATTTGAACCAAATAATCCCATACAAAATAGGTCAGAGTCCAAATGTCAAATCTGACTGGAGTTATCTCAGTGTACCTGTGTGCATGGTTCTGTGTTGTGTCAAGAAAATAGAGGTCATAAAGGCATTGGCATCGTTTCAGCCATGTAGCGTCTACAGATCATTACTGGAGTTATGTCAGCGTACCTGTGTGCATGGTTCTGTGTTGTGTCAAGAAAATAGAGGTCATAAAGGCATTGGCATCGTTTCAGCCATGTAGCGTCTACAGATCATTACTGGAGTTATGTCAGCGTACCTGTGTGCATGGTTCTGTGTTGTGTCAAGAAAATAGAGGTCATAAAGGCATTGGCATCGTTTCAGCCATGTAGCGTCTACAGATCATTACTGGAGTTGTCAGTGTACCTGTGTGCATGGTTCTGTGTTGTGTCAAGAAAATAGAGATCATAAAGGCATTGGCATCGTTTCAGCCATGTAGCGTCTACAGATCATTACTGGAGTTATGTCAGTGTACCTGTGTGCATGGTTCTGTGTTGTGTCAAGAAAATAGAGATCATAAAGGCATTGGCATCGTTTCAGCCATGTAGCGTCTACAGATCATTACAAGTGTTTTGGGTGACTGGAAATGTAGCGAAATAGCACCTCCTGGCCATTCCTTGACACTTCAAATCTAAGGGTATACACGGCTATGATTACAACCACTTTGGGGGACAAAGATTACATTCAAAAGTGCATTTTACATTTTGCAATGAAGTTGTTTGTGTTCATAGAATTTATATGTGCATTTCATGACAGTAACTCATCACTGTTCACAGTAACTGATAATGGCAGGCAGTATGGTGGGAAGATTAGGAAAAGTCTCTCACATATCTGACATTGGCGGTAGAATTATATTGCGATTTGTACCTATGGTTCTGACAGCTAAATACTGTACACAATATACCGGTAGTGAATTAACGAACCCTGGGGCGAAATTGAAAGTCTTTAGTAATTTCTTTAAACAACATATACTGGTATCTTGCAGCAGTCGATTCTCAATAAATGATTTAAAAAAATGTTATTACTAAATTAAATACTTAAAAACTCAAAGACAGTCACTTAAACAAGAGCCTGCCAAACTTAGAGCAGGCGGCAAAGCTGTATTTCCAAATATTTCTGTTTTTAAAAAGTGTAATAGGACTTTAAAGAAAGGAAAACTGACACTAAGATGACGAAATGTGTTGTATGTTTATAGTTTTTGTAAATCTCAACGTGTGACCATTTTAGATATATTTTTTGTGCTCATTCAAACAAAAAGAAGTATTTTACTTTAGGTACTTGCAGAATTCAGCAAGTACAGTTGACAACTAATAACATTCAGACCTGGGCACAATAATTTCGTCGGACAAAGGTATAGGGGAAATAATCACATTGCAACTACAGACACATCTCTCTTTCAGTGTGATTCAAGAAACTCTGAAAAATTACTTTTTGTGAGGGAGGGAGGGAGCAAAATGTTTCGCTTTTGGTAAGTTTGACATTTTGCATTATCTTTCGTAAGGGTGACAATGCGACAATGTCCTGTCTAGACTTCCGTAGGAAACCGCCTCGACAAATCTGTCACTCAACTGCATGCATGATTTATAAAGCATTCAGTACACCGATCGCCCACGATAACCTCTACCTTCCAATGACTATACACAAAGAAACAAACATGCAGAAGCACATACAACACAAGCCACCACATAGTCAGCTCACAGTGGACATGTTTTACTACGCGTATCTGTGAGCCACATCAAACATTCTCAAACATTCTGGCGTTTCTATACAGGGAAGCATTTCACAAAGTGATCGTAGTGGGATTGCCTAAAGGCCACATATACGACAGTGATAGTATATAGTAATGGATTATTATGACTTGTGGCTAGGTGTGTATGTGTGCTTGTGTGTGTGCGTGCGTGCGTGCGTGCGTGTGTGTGTGTGCGTGTGCGTGTGTGTGTGTGTGTTCTACATATATATGTAGATGTAGATATATGTGTAGATTATATGGCTATCAGTGAACGAGTGTTGGACCAAGGACGTATCATTTTCAGCAATACAAGCCCCTGCTGGCAAAGACATGTATATGTAGATGGCTATCTGTGAATGTGTATTCGACGAAGGACGTATGGGTTTCAGCAATACAAGCCCCTGTGTTTTCTCAAGGTGATATGTTTTTTTTCACGGGATCTGAACCGGAAGATTAATTGCGTACTGTGTAACGAGGATACCTATCGTCGTGGTGATTTGTCGTTGGCAGGCCAGGAAAGGGTAACACAATCACGACCCGTCTCAAATAACACTAGAATGAGCTTGTTAAAACAACCCATTGCATACAGAAGCATTTCATCTATAAAAAGCAACCAAAATCTTTACATCTGCCATATTCTTTTAGAAATAAGCTCTTTGTGGGACCACGTGGTTAAGTCAGTTCCGGATCACCATAATATAGGGAGTAGACATTACTTCGTTTCTTTGATAACATGACAGATATATGGGGAAAAACTCACATACATAAACAGTTCAAACAACTCTTAATTAGCATGTATTAGTATTATTTAGAGTTAACAATGAGGTTTAATGTTGCTTTGATTAGTTTCGTTAGCTAACAAGATATGTGTATCCACTTCACTTTCAGTGACTGATGGTGTGAAGAGTTTTACATGTTTCATAATGACTGAATAAAGGGGTTAAGTTTCCGAAAAAATGTTTTTTTTTGTCTTGATAAATGTAATTTACAGGTTAAAGTCGCATCTCGATGACTCGTGAATATATCAAAATAGTACATTCGATTCACAAACAGCACGACCCTGTAGTAAGATTCAACTTCTGAATATGATTGAATTTCGATACTAAAGCGGTCAGCACCTTAAAGCACGTATGTATAAACCCCAAGAAAATGATACCTGGAATCCTGATAATGGAATATGTATGTGTTGTATTGAGCACCAAGAGTTAAAACTATCTACCACCTAGAAGACGCTGATATCAACTGCAATGTTCGTTATTCGTAATAGACACATCATAAAACAATATTTTTTACGCATCTGTTCAATTAAACACGTGTTACTGTAAGACACGCCCCTTGTTGTCCAAACCGTACATTAATTACCAAACACTGCCTCGTTTTGTCACGTGATCCGGAACAAATTATTCGCATCAGCCCTAATGGCGAGTGTTTCTTTTGCCAGTTTTCTATAACAAATCAAAATCCTATCGATTTCATATTCTGGTGTGAGTAACATAAAACATTGCTAAGACAGAAATTGTCCTTCGGCGTTTGAGACATCTTTTCGCGTCTACGCAGATGCTTGCAGTCGTTGTTTCGTTAGTGATCCGGAACTGCCTTATGCATAGCCTAATGACAGCCTCGTGATCAGCTAGCTCACCACCCACCTAAACACCAGATTTGGGGCGTGTTCTATTTTCGTTTTTAAAACACTCGACAACAATATATTTCGTACATATTACTGGGGTTAGTAACGTCTTCAATCATTGGCGGCTTACCTCGAATTTTAATCCTTTAGCTGCATGTCCGGTTATTATAAAACATGGGGCATGTCGCTCGGCGACAAGCTGCAAACTGCGCTACGCAACCCGCTCTCTCACATGTACATGCATGCAAGGTTGACGCATGACTAACAAGCCACGGTGGTTTCTATTGCGGAAGTTCATATCTAATCGCATACTGTCATGCACTACAGGGATATCCTTTTCGCGCCCAACACAAAAGATATTTATGAGGCCCGTTTTATGTCTCTTCTGATATCTATAATTTATCATCTGGGCATGTTTATTCACAACTAATTCGATTTTTATAAATACACATGGGAATTAATTACGCAACACCGAGGGGTTTTTTTTCTCAGACTGAACAACTTTAATGAAATGATGCATTAAATGTGTTAAAGAGTTCCATTCCATATCAATTTTGTAGTGAAAAGAAAGAGTTGAGGAGTAACAGCCAGGGATTACCATGAAATAATTTGGTTATTTGTAGATTCTATAATTTTGGAAAAAGACGTCCTTTCATGTCTGTTAAAACATTACGAATTTATCGTAATTTATGAAGGTATTGAAAATCAAAATGAAATTGTAGCTATGGTCAGGTAGATATGGTTTCGTCTTGAAAAAGTTGGGGCTAAGCTACCCCTGTTCCTACGCCCCTGCATACAGACGATAGATGACTTCCTGGCACACTTTATCACAAGAGTTTGTGAGTTCAGATTTACGCCGCACTAAGCAATATTCCAGATATATGGCGACGGTCTGTAAATATTCGTGTGTGGACCAGACAATCCAGTGGTCAACAGCGTGAGCATCGACCTGTGTAACTGGGAACCGATGACATGTGTCAACCAAGCCAGCCGGACCACCCGATCCCGTTAGTCACAAGAAGCGAAGTAACCTGACAGGGAGAAAATGCTGCGTCATGGTGCGTCATGGGGGTCATTCGCGCTCACCCAGCCCTATGTTACTTAATCCTATCTATTAGAGACTAGGATTAGCTTGGCCAGCCAAGGTGTAGAGGTAGTAAGTAAGACAAATTAAAACAGTTAACTATGAATATACTGTTTGTAAGAATTCATACTTAAGTATCTATATGAAAGCCTGTAAAACTGTAGCAGGTGAGATTATTGATAACAGTACAATTAATGAACAGCAATTAGTTTTGATAGGTGAACACTTAATCATCTTTGTGTGACTGCTTTCTTATATTGAGTATCAGTTCACGTAAATCATAAATCACTTTGTTTATTTAACAACAAATGAGAAAGAAACAGTATATAGATAATATCAAAAGAAGTACATGTCACTTAATCATGGCGAATGTTCAGATTGCAAACAGAACTCGTTTCATTCCAAATAGAAGAGGAGGACAATATTTGATTCACATGGGATACAGGTTTAGTATGATGCGTGACATGTGTGCTTCTAGTGTTTCTTGTTATGATTGGTCCTCAGGCTGTTTACCATTTTGTCAGTTGTAAAACATAATAACTTACGATATTAACATTACATGTCTATTTTCCAAATAAGAATTTGCCTTTAGCAGAATGTCCTTATATTGTATTCCTGAAAAATGTAGTCTTCAACAACTATTCCAAACACACGCCATTTAGGCATTCGTCACCACTCGTCCCGTTCTGTTACCTCCAAGAAGACCCGTCCCTTCTCGATGCTTGTTATGCGCGAAAATACGACAAACCAATCAGAACGCGCGTAATGGTTGCGGTGCTTTGATAAAAATAATTCTGAGTACTTAAATCGTTTATGGCATGTGATTGTTTTATCATGAAAAATATATCGTCATATTGAAAGAACAAAGAATATAGCTAACAGAATTTTGTTGCCAAATGTGAAGTTTTTAATACTATAATGCCATGGACGGTGAGAGATTGAAATACACGCACGTACGTTTGTTTAGATAACGGCTCTCTCATGGGTCGAATTGAGTGTATTTCTGACGATCTATCGGGCTTGTTTTGGAGATTTTACGTGCGCTTACAAACATTTTTAAGAAATATGATTAAAAATCGCTACGAGTTTCAAAACAATAATATATATTTCACATCTCTGGGGATCTTTTATTTTGTCTTTTTAGGGATCATTAATAGTGAATGTCTTCAACACACGAATTTAAAATATATTCTCTCGAGCACGGTGACAAAATCCTCAGGAGGGTTAGGTAAAGTGTTAAGAAAAGAACTAACTTAGAAAGAGCCAATGTCTTAACAACAGTAAGAGTTCATTAATAGTGAATATCTTCAATGTTTTCATTGGATAAAGCCGATGATATTGTCATAACACACACTAAAGAAATATTACAGACACTGACAATTCAACACTATTCAACACATAAACTCTTTTTAGATACGTTTTGAGAGTCGTGTTTCATATGTCAAAAGGTCGAATAAAGTGATCTGCTGAAAGTTAATAATATTATTTTTTACAATTGTATATATAATTTCATTCCTTCGTATTAATTACTTTTAGTTTTGGGGAAAATGTTTCTTGATTTTGATTGGTCTCATTGCAATACATTTCACTTAAAAGAATCCACACCTGTGACAAATATATGCACATATTCAATATATATTATAACTACAATATGACATTTAATTATGTAATAAACTTAGAAAACCGTTAACACATAAAATTTAGTAAAATTTAGTACCAAATGGATTTGTATGAGAATGCGATGCTTTGTACGCGTGGTTCACTGTATTCTTTGCAGATAACAGTAGTGACAGGTAATATACTTACTTTCAATCGACCAATCAATACCGTTAATAACGTCATGCTTTTCAGATTTTTTTCTTGCCATGTCCTTTTAGTATTGGTTACATCAGAGTTTTAACTGTCTCTCAAAAACATTTAATATCCCTTCTATTTTACTTAATGAAATAGTCGATATGCAAAATACTGGATGCAATTAGGTTCGGCCCACCATTACGTGGTTTTTCTTTTGTATCATAATATGTGTTGTTTCCTTATATCACTATCGACCCGTGAAGAACCGGATTAGAATGAACCTTCAGTAACCCAATCTTGTCGCTGGCTTGGTTGACACATGTCATCGGTTCCCAATTGCATAGATCGATGCTCAAGCTGTTGTCTGGTCCAGACTCGATTATTTACAGACCGCCGCCATATAGCTGGAATATTGCTGAGTGCGGGGTAAACCATTCTCTTCCCACAGAGGTTACTCCTGTCATATCTTCCTACGTAACCTCTGTTCTAGTCTGTCTCACAGTCCCTGAACCACATTATTTTCCATACTGCCAAGCCCTCTCTGCAGTGCTAAAGCCCTAAATAAAGCAAGTCTAGATTTCCTCAGGTTCAGGGTCTGTTAACATCTGCAAGAAAACTAACTCACTTTGGGGGTCGGGTTACAAAGTAAACATATCTAACTGCCATGGCTGGCCGGACCAACATCCTCACCAGTGGTCTGGAATCTTGCCTCACATTTTCATCTGTCAACTCTTAATTAACAAGCACATTGGGTGACATGAAGCTATAGTGGAGGCCTTGTGTACAGTTTCTGGTCTTAAAGAGACAAATCAAGCAAAATCTTGGGGAAAGGTTCCTCCTGAATGTTATGCTGTAAAAAGTATTGTTTCATTGTCTGACTTGGGTCCACACATAGCAGCCCAATTGTAAATGCGGTTAAGGTTTTAATTGTAATTAAAACAAGGGTTATTTTTCTTATTCCTGATATAAGATTATTGAGTGAAACACTGGTGTGTTTAGAGTATCTCTTTTTATTTAATTGCTTAACAGTAAAACATATGGCAGGGACCTAGCATTCATGAAGAGTGAGTGAGTGAGTGAGTTTGGGTTTACACCGCATTCAGTAATATTCCATATAGGGCGGCGGTCTGTAAATAAGTCGAATCTGGCCAGACAATCCAGTGGTCAACCGCATGAGCATCGAAGAATCAAATTCAAAAGGCACAGTGCAATTGGGATACGATGACATGTGTCAGCCAAGTCAGCAAGCCTGACCACCCGACCCCGTTAGTCGCCTTCTCACGAAGAATCAAATTCAAAAGGCACAGCATCTCGGAATTAAATCTGTGTACCTTCGTGATGTGATTGAGGCATGTAAGGTGAAATCTAGTGGGGATGATCTAGTATTTAGAAATACCCAGAACATCTTCAAGCGTAAGACAGACGCTGGCCTTTTCACTTCCATTGAACAGTTTGTTTAAAAAACCACCGTGTCTTGTTAAAAGAAACTCACCACTCACTCCACTTACCCATGTACATACTGTACAATGGGGAGCAGTATGTGAGACCAAAGAACAGTGAATATAGTTTAGCTTTTAAAGATGTCATAATGTCATAGTGTCTAGAATCTCTCTCTCTCTCTCTACAGAAATACAAAGTGGTTCCGGACATTCTAAAATTGCCACTGAGGTCTCTCTCATATTCCATATAATGGCATATGAGAGAAATCCTAAGAAATTCATACACATGCCTGTGTATCCTCATGTGTATCCTCATGCGAGTGAGTGAGTTTACGCCGCTTTTAGCAATATTCATAAAATCATATCATAATATCACTCTCCTCTCTCTCCCCCTCTTTCTCTCTCTCCCCTCCCTCTATCTCTCCCCTCTCCCTCTCTCTCTCTCCCTTCTCTCTCTCTCTCATGTTCCATTAATATGGAACGTGACAAGCGATTTGCACCCTGGTAGATCCGGATTAAATTGGTCTTTACCCGACCACGCAATCCCGTTAGTCTCCTCGAACGACAGGCATGAATATCATAATACATAAAACAAGCTATCATATGAGACCCTGTACTTCTTCTTTCTCGGCCTCATAACACCATTTACATTCAACTGAATAATTCTTGCCTCTACATAGGCCTGTTCTCTCTGCAAAATAGACAACTGACTGAGTTTGGTTTTACGCCGCTTCTAGCAATATTCCAGCAACATCACGGCGGGGGACACCAGAAATGGGCTTCACACACTGTACCCATGTGGGGATTCGAACCCGGGTCTTCGGCGTGACGTGCCAACGCTTTAACCACTAGGCTTCCCCACCGCCCCGCAAAATAGACAAAAGTTTGTACAAATTAGGGTTGGGATGGCCAACAATCTTATTCAACCTACTGTGCCACCCTTCAACGTGGTTTGTGGTGCGTGGACCCACAGTCTCGTAATGGTTCCACGCCTCTCTCGACAACTGACCCTCCACCCACTGCTCAGTTACATAGTCAGCAAATCTTCTGACAGAGTCTATATGTGTTGGTGCGTCGTTCTGGGATTCAAACCAAACGTCTTCAACTAAATCGGTCGGAACAAGCGGCAGAGCTACAGTTATCTTGACGAACCTGTGGACATCGGCGTTATTCTGGTAAGTCGTCTGTAAGGAATGAGTGAATATCTGGAGTCTGGCAGTCTGACTGGTGGCTATGTGCACCTGCAAACTTGACGGGGATGTCCTTCTTGGTGTTCAAATTGGCAGGCCGGCCGCTTGTATGTTCTTTACGTCTCCAGTATATCGTCTCCTTGTAACTGTTCTTCTTGGTGTACTCATAACCAGCATGGAGTAATATACGTCCACCTTTAGGATGAGGTACACACTTGACAAGGGTGCCGTTGTACAAAACAACCTCAGCGCTAAGGCTACCTTAAGTCTATGTTAAAGTATGAGTTACGGTCACCTTAGCTCTAAGATCGCTTTGTACAACGGCACCCTGAACGTTAGCATTAGCCATGGTGAATGATGTCCCAAACACTTAATACTGACCTTTATATCTACATAAAAAAACAGAGAACACAATTCATCAAATCACACAGTTAAAACAAGAGTTAAAAACATTTCAGAACTTAGTGAACAAAATTCGTATTTACCTGGTGAACACAGTTCAGTTATTTGAGTTATAATCACCCAGCCCTAATCCCTTTGAATTTCAGTTTTGAGCTAGCTGGGAACACCCGACACGTGTCATCGTATTCCGCAGATCGATTCTCAAAATCTTGATCACTGGATTGTCTGGTTCAAACTCGATTATTTACAGACTGCCACCATATAGCAGGAATATTGCTGAGTGCGGCGTTAAACTAAGAACAAACACACATACACACGAGAGGCTTATAGTATCATCACACTGGAGATTCATCTCACGTCTATGTATGTGTGGTATAAACAAACATGCCACATCGATGCATCTTTGTCGATCTTTATTATTCCTGGCATTTTATTCGTTATATTCTCCCTATAGTACTTACACATATATCCATAGTTTTGTCAAATGTAATCATTTCAAACTTGTACACATGAAAACATACATCCTTGTCATTTATCTATATGACATGTCACGACACGTGTTTACCAATACGATTGGCAGTGTTGATAAAATACAAGTATAATCGATCATTTCAACTGAAGAATTTATGATACTTTTATTGTACATATCATATTACACACACTACACTATATTTTGACACTTGCCGTAACGCACGTGTACATGCAGTGAGTTAAACACGAGTAACAGTACTTTAGTTGCATTCGTCGGTCGTGGAACGAATGACCCTTTGAAGTGATGCAGACTTTATTCGAATAAAGTGATATAAACATATTTTATTCATGAAATATAAACATGACATGAATATGGATTGGCACAACAAGCCAACGGCTTATGTGGAGTGCCGCTCCATAAAATATATTAATGAGCTACAATCAATAATTAATTTCAAACAGAGTACAGAAGCAATTATTTCCACAAACGCATGAAATGCATAATAACAGGAAAAAGTCTACAAAATTCCATTAAATGAATCGCTAGTGACAATTTAGAATAATTTGAATCTATTTGAAAGTAGCATGTATTTGTGAACAGAGTTAAGAATGAGCTGATTTATTATGTTGCTTGAAGTTTGACTACCATGGAGAAATGAATTTAAGTCAAAACCATTAGTGTAGAAATATTTATCTGATCTTATTAAGTCATAACAAGGTCAAGAAAAGACGTAATAGAGAGAATCTTCCCATGGATACCCACATGCACAATTCGGATTATTTGAAATATGTCTATCAAAACAATGAGCGTTCAAGTCACTACAACCCAACATGAGGCGAGCATGGATTATTTGACAAAATCTAGAGCCAAAGTTTTTATCAAAGAGATTATTTCTTTGTTTGGCTTGTAATCGTGTTTTGAACGAATTAACTGATTGTGAGTTATTTCTTTCGGTTGGTAAATTGTTCCATAAACGTATGGTGTCTGGTGAAAAGGAGCGTGCATACGACTCTGTATGGCAACGAATTGTGCGAATGCTATCAGTATTTCTCAGATTGTAAGAACTTAAAACTGAAACGTGTTCTGGAATTAAATCAGATAAGTAGTTTGGAGTAAGGTTATTATTTATTTTGTAGAATAAAGTAAGTTTGTTCATTTCTCTACGCTTAACTAATGGTTTGAAATGACTTGTTCCTTTGACGGCTCCACAAATCGTTCTTCGAGCGTCTAATTGTAAATTTTCAAGAGTCATAGACTGTTCTTTCGTACAGTTGTCCCACAAGTCACAACAATAATCGATATGTGGAAGTATATAATAGGTATACATACATTCTAATGTATGTCTAGTTAATCTATATTTAAAGCTTTTTAAACAGTTTACCATAGGACTTACAACCTTTACTATTTCTTCAATTTGTTTTTTCCAGTAACAATGTTTTTGAAGATATACACCTAAATGTTTATGGAAATGTACTTCATTACTTGAGTTCCTTTCATGTCTATGGGTGAACATACAGAGGGGTTTACTTTGCGGGAGAATAAAATCGTTTCAGTTTTGTTGGGTTAAAATATACTTGCCACATATCGGCACAATCAGAAATACGATTTAAGTCATTATTCAAAATTCTTGCAGCTTTGTCTGGGTCGTCTACATCTACTAGTATATACACTGATGTGTCATCAGCAAAAAGACGAATATTGCTGTTGATGCCATTGACAATATTCGAATAAAGTTTAGCTGATCCAGCCACACCGGTTGCAAACACATTCAAAAACAGGGCAATTATTCCCTTTAATAAGCCACAGAAGCATTATGGAACAAAGACATGCAGTGATGACAATTCTCTCATTTGCTAAATATAAAAGACATCTTGTCCACCAAATACAAGCACTTGTACCATTATCCGGTTCCACCTCCAAAGTGTGATATATGTAATATAATATATTTGGAAATATGTTTTGGCTTAGAGCATTATAGTTACTCAGAGAACATGTTGACATATCGACACCAATACATTATATCTTTGCGGAAATATGTTAAATCTCCGTGGCATATAATTTAAAACAATTGCAAATTACTTGAATATTTAACATTCTTTACGAGAAATGGGTGTGGTTTAAAAAATATACAGTATAGACACATATAGCTGTCAACCCAAATCATGAAACTTTGTCCAAAAAGTGAGAGGCATTGAAGCCGAGAAAACCTCGTCTTTCTCTGTTTCTATGGTATTTTTGATTGTATTTTGGAAGCTTAATTCTGCTGGCGAGTTTATGCAAATTGCTTGTATCCGGGCTTAGGTGTTAGCTCCAAGAAATCGGACACGTTCGTTATTCGAGGTGAAAACATCATATAGCGATATTTAGAAAGCGCTTTTACGAAAAAATGCGAGATGTAGTATACTTGCCGTGGGAACGTGATTTTCATTAAAAGAACGCGATACTCACGGCAAAAACGTGACAGTTTACAGGTTTGGAGACATGCTACCTGTCTGATTTCTCCAAATGTCTAAATAAGTGTTACATGAGGCGTACTGGAAACCCATTTATAATTTTCCGCCTTAAATTCTTAGCAGCAAACACACGCCACATGAATAATTAATGAGAAACACATAACCGAGATATATAATAATATAAATATCGTAGAATAGAAGGTGCTATACCCTTGTGTATAATATGCATGGTTTTGGGGAATTCCTTCTAAAGAGAGCACGTGATATATAATTAATAGTACATATACAAACGACAAGTATATATGAATGATAGTGATGGACTATAGGATAGTGATGCACTGACCAAATAATTGTAGTTACCGTGACTCTCGATATGTTTTTCGTGGTATTATGCAAAGCATCGATAGAGTTATGTCCCTTAGACCCGGTTTTGCCAGAGGCGTTTGTGAGTACACACAGTCGCATTTACCGATATAGTCCCTTTCAGCCTACGTCTAATCGTGTTTTTTTCTCGATACAAAGTATACGGTGAGTACTCACATAACCTGTCATTAGTATTTCACATTCTGTAACGTAAATTTTCTGAATGACTAAGTCCAGAGATACAGTGTAAATCTAAAAGTAAATCGTGCCTAATCCTGATTTAAGAAACCTGTTGTTACGGTTACTTTCATTATGTTTATATTACGGGTCTCTTTCATACGCTACGTGCCTCCATCATCAGCCCTATAGATGCTTGGTTTTTCAATGCTGAATACGATGATCGTCAAAAGAGACGAATTAATACCTTTTCCCCTCTTTTAACCAGTGTTATGTATATGACCCTCATCTTCAACCCTCACTTTTTATTAGAATAAAATTAAAAATATGTAACCACAGGTAACACAAACAAATACACTTTACGATTGTGAATTCAGTGAGAATTTTTCTGGATACCCATTACCATTTACTAGCATTTTAGGCGAAGCATAAGTGTTCAAAGCACTCTGAGTAGATCGTAAATGTTGCTTTTTTGACACATTATGAAATAGATTCATGACGTTATTTGGTGTATGTTTTTAAATGTAAAAATGCCTGATAGTTACTCAGAAGATTGAATTTCTAAAAATAGTGATTATATATTTGTGATCAGTGATATCTGTTTTGCAATAAATCACTAATGGTAATTCTAAAACATGGCCAATAAACCCAGTATCGGTTGGGATGTTTTGGAAACTATACATACATGGAAGTAAGCTTTCTGCCATACTGGTTAGGGTTGAAAAAATCATGTGTCATCAAAGTTTAGTCCTGAGATGTTTTATACCTCACAAATATTTCACACTCAAGTGCAACAAGTACATCACTGAATTCCTCATACATTTTAGAATAGAGTAACAAATGTTTGGTTGCACTGATAAACGCAGAAACAAATAACAACACACAGATAGTCAGATTGTTTCTGATTACTAATATCACATATTAATGTACAACGATTCTTGAATAAGGGAACATCCCTTGCAAACTCCTGCATACAGAGGTTAGCGATTTTCTACATTTAGCCTTGTCATGGACATATGCATGGACATATGCAATATGTTTTTTATCCTTTGAAAGTTTGATGAAAAATATTGCTAAAAATTAACACAATAAGTACACCATGTATCTAACCTGTGTTAGAATACACAAGTGTTTGAAGATGAAACGTGATTTTAACTGCAGCATGTATCTGTGTCCAATTAAGATACATGGTAAAAATATCTAATTGTATATATATTCAAGATATTATTTATGAGATAAAAGCAGTCATTTTATGTTCTGTCGAATCAGTGTGAAATTCTGGCATGCAAACTAAGATTATTTTTGTTTTATGAACGGAAAAAAATAAGGATATTTATCAAACAACATAACAGTGACATCTTTCTCCTAAATCACAATGACGTCAAATGTAATCATGTCATTTTTAGTAATTTCATCACCTTTGAAGTTTTACTCTATTAATAACTGAGTCAAAATACTCCTATCCAAGCAATATAGTATGAGAATCTAAGAACAATTCTACATATTTTATAGGGCCATCTATTTCTGTATTATTTTTTTCTCATGTAGTTCAATTTCACCACTTCTTATAATTTGAGATTCTACCGAAACATATCCTTTTACAATGTGCATCAAGAGAAAAAAATATGGCATCTAGAGGGTTAAATACTGATTTAAATCTTAATTATCATTTACATTATTACAAAAGTCAACAACTTGAAGGGCCAGTATATCATCTGTCTGCATGGCAGCAAACAATAGCCCATCACCCAGAGCCTGCTGAGCTCTGCACACTAATAGATTTCTGTTCCTAAGACCACACTGCAGCTGTAGATGTATCATGTTTTCAAAATTTCTCAAAGACACCTATTCAAAAGGAAGAAACAGCTGGCCTAGAACAAGCCTTTTGGTGTGCTCCGCTGACTGTAAAATCATTATATAGATATGCCACTGAAACTGTGGCTGTGATTTAACACCAAGCTTTCCACATTACTGTAAGGCTCACAATGTGATTGTTTCAGTGATGGCACAAGGTGGATAAATATGCAAAATGAAATATTTGTTCATGTCTCAGGACAGGTTCTCAATGAAAGTAAAACATTTCATGACATGTGTATCTAAATGGATAGACTTGTAAAACATGCAAAATGTGTGCAATATTGTGAATTAACCGTGAACATGATGTAAGATGTGATGATGTGTCAGAAGTACTAGGATGGCCCCAAGGAAATCTGGATAATGATCGCCATCATCCAAATGAGGCATATATATTGTAATCTATGCTTTGAGAAACACTGGCTTCTCATCCAATCAATCTGCAGTTTGTCAGTGTCTGCTCTAGCTTAGATTTACCAGGGCCACTTGGACCCCTTTGCCATAACATCAGGCATCCATCCAAGAACTGAGGGCTTTGTTTAATAGCACTATAATGTAACAAAGATAATGTAAAACAATGGGTGTGAAAATGAGAAACAAAAACAAACTGGTAAAGTTCGAAAGTGTTTGAGAAAGGTTAACGAGAGACATATATCCTTCTTTCATGACAAACGTGGATGACATTTTCCTAAACTAACTGGAAATGTGATAACATCATTCTTCCGATAACAGTGTCAACACAGTGTCAGTTGTTAAGACACTTTCATGAGACTGTATGTGTTCCAAGTAATGTTTGTGCATCTAAAATGCAAACAATGGGCCAACACTGCTCAGTACTTTGTAACTCACCTGTATATGCTGTAAGAAAAGCATTCCAACTTCATCTTCAAATTGCCTCTGTTAAAAACTGGGCTTGGGGGTAGCCTAGACTAAGGCTTAGTCTCTGAATATATATATAATTTTGATAGTAACAAACAAGCCCATTTATATTGAAAAGGAGCCCTAGGGAGACCAGAGATTCAGAACCTGAACCTGAGGAAATCTAGACTTGCTTTATTTAGGGCTTTAGCACTGCATAGAAGGCTTGGCAGTAGGGAAAATAATGTGGTTCAGGGACTGTGAGACAGACTAGGGTAGCCTTGTGTAAAGTGTTCGCTCATCATGCTGAAAAACCAGGTTCGATTCCCCACATGGTACAATGTGTGAAGCCTATTTCGGGTGTCCCCCGCTGTGATATTGCTGAAATATTGCTAAAAGTGGTGTAAAACTAAACTCACTCACTCACTCACTGTTATTAAATTACATTTGTGACGTCATTCTATTGTCTGCTCGCTCTATTACTTTTCAGGAATGGAGCGATGTGTACCAGTTTCAAATTAAAGCCTTCATTTTGTCATTTTGACATTTAATTTTGATAACAGAAATATTCCCAATACTTTGAATGTAATATCCTCGTAACTCTCCATTCCTTAAAAATAATGTGACGCGGCTCCATTATTTTCAAGGAATGGAGAGTTACTTGGACATTACTCTCTAGAAAACTTGACTGAAACCCAGTTAGTTGGACTGGGTTTGTATTGTTATCCCCCGCAACGCGTTTTGCGGGGGGTATTAAAATGGACTCCGTCCGTCCATGTACATTTGTCTTTTCCGGAGCAGAACTCTAAAACCGTTCACTATTTCTTCACCAAACTTGGCACATAGATAGATCTGGTGGTGTACTGGTGCCTTTTGGTAGTTTTGGAATTCTGAATAAAATATTTTTGGCATTTTCATGGCAACAAGTTTATATTAATGCCACTCCATAATACATGTGAAGGTTCACATTTGTGCATAATACATATTTATAGTGGTTATAACAAGTTATCTCTGAATAATAACAATCATTAATATCAACAATTTATCTTGGTTTTGTTTCGTGGCAAGTTGATACAAATAAAAATAAGAGAAGCTACAAAACTTTATGAATCAAAACGTTTTGATGTAATAATGAATTGATGGACTGACCGTAGAATATCCATATTCGTCTGATGAGATACTGAGTTATTGCCATTTAGCACATCCCGCAGGGTGAAACCTTTCACATAGAAATACGATTCGTATCGAATGGTATTATATTTAGGACACATGAAAAAATAGTGGAATACATCCACATAATCTTGTGAGCAGGAACAAGAAGCATTATCAGAAATGAAACGATTATACTTATCACTGTTTAAGTCACTGCCTCCCAGTCTAAGGCGGCAGTGTATTATTTAACAAAATCGACTACCAAAATTTAGATCGAACATTGTGTTGGTATTAACTTGTGGTGCGATTGAATTCTTAAACTGTCCAACAGAGGAAGCGTTTGTAGCATTTGTAGGTAGGTCATTCCACAGTTTAATTGTATCGGGCAAAACGATTTGGCATAATTAGTAGATTTGCAACTTTTAGTCTGATAATTTTCATTATTCCTAAGATTGTAGTTACTGTTATCAGAAACCTTCTCTGGAGCAAGATCACAAAGATAGTCAGGAACCATATGGTTTACCATTTTGTCAAATAATGTTAATTTAGAAGCTTCTCTCCGTTTCAATAAGGAAGTCAGGTTTGTCTCATGATATAGTTTCGCATGGCTTGTACCTCTAACTGCACCGCATATTGTGCGTAAGGCATCTAAGTGAAGGTTTTCTAGTGACAAGGACTGTTCGTTTGTACAATTGTCCCAGAGATGACAGCAATAGTCAAATAAAGGTATGATAAAGGATTTATACATTATTTCGAGAGTTTTGCGTGATAGTCTATATTTAAAACTACGAAGGCAATTTCATTAATGTGGGAATGCCAGAGGAGGTTTTCCTGAAAAATAATGCCTAGGTGTTTATGAATCTGCACTTCATTTATAGGTGTACCATTCATCGAGAGGGGAGGTTTCGTAGAAGGTTTCGTTTTGTGTGAAAACTGGATAGTTTCAGTTTTGTTTGGATTAAATATTACTTGCCAGGTTTCCGCCCATTTAGATATTCTGTCTAAATCTGAGTTAAGAATAAATGCACTCGTATGGGGATCGTCGATTATTACGTAGAGTGATGTGTCATCTGCGAAAAGGCGTATATTACTTTCGATTCCATCAACTATGTCGTTTATGTATATTAAGAATAAAAGAGGTCCAAGGACTGATCCTTGGGGCACTCCGGCTATTATCGGTTTTAATTCTGATTTGTAACCTTGGATAACTACTCTTTGCATTCTATTTTGCAAATAACTTCCAAACCATTTCAGTAACTTCCCATCTACATGGGAACATGATTTTAGTTTATGGATAATCCCTTTGTGCCAAACTTTATCAAATGCCTTGTTTATATCGCAGAATACTGCTCTTACTTCTTTTCCGTTGTCTATAGCTTTAGCAATAAAGTTATACAAATGCGTGAGTTGGTAAGCTGTTGAATGTCCTTGCATGAATCCAGATTGAAAATTTGAGAGGCAATTGTTATCTCTCATGAAGTTAAAGACATATTTTAATATACATTTTTCAAAGACCTTGGATAAACAAGATGTTAAGGCAACAGGTCTATAGTTCGAACAGTCGTTAATATTACCTTTCTTGTGGATTGGTATAACTGATGATTCTTTCCATATGTCTGGGAAAACTGATGTTTGAAGTGACTTGTTAAAGAGGTTAGTTAATGCTAGTGACAAGGAGGGGGATACCAAACGTATGAAGTGGTTTCCATTACCATCTGGTCCACTCGCTTTCAACATCCTGCTTTGTAAGATATAAATTCCTCATATATTTACTATTATTGTTTAAGGTCATATTTGGAAGATCCTTATTAGGGTCTGCGATTGTTGCCTGGTCAATAAAGTATTTAAAATGTTTGCTAATGATCCTGGTTCTTGATAGACTTCGTTATTGTGGGTAATAGGAGGAAAGGAGGTACTTTCAGATTTTCTGTTCATATACTTTTTAACTAAACTTTTTTTCGCTATTTTATGTTGTCGATTTCGTTTTCGCATGAGTTTGCGAATGTTATTATTCATCCAGGGAGTATCTTTACATCTTATTGTAACAATTTTGTTTGGTATATTGGAATCGCAGATGTGAGATAAGGTTTTCACAAATGCACCTGTGCTCACATTTATGTCAGGTGATGACAGTACGTTTTCCCAATCAGTATTATCAACGTGGATTCAGATATCGTCTTTGTTTACCAATGTGTAATCGTAAACTTTTCTCAGATATATTTTCATTGACTTCATACATTCTTTTATTGTTACGGATACTGGACAATGATCGCTACAAAAAGGTTCTAAAACATTTGACTCTTTCACCATATCGAGACGAGAAACAAATATCAAATCAATAAGGGTTCTACTGTTTTGGGTGACTCTGGTTGGTGAGTTTATAAGTTAATGCAAACCGTAAGCCACCATAAGATTGTTTATTTTAGCGTCTAATTTGTTGTAAATATCAATGTTAAAATCTCCAACAATGATTGTATCTAAATCCATATCCATTGCATCCCAAATCGATTGATCTAACAAGTTCCAATACTGCTCACTTTTGTCTGCTCTATAGAATAAACCCACTAGATACTTCCTGCTTTTGTAGCGGAGCTCTATCCATAGTGCTTCCAGACCAATCTTATCTAAGGTTTCTACTCGTTTGGCGATGAATGTGTTCTTAATGTAGACAGCGACCCCACCACCCTGTGTAAGTCTATCTTTTCTAAAGGGACACTGAAAGCTTGGAATAAAAATATTACTATCTAAAATACCTTCATGGAGCCAGGTTTCTGTCAAACAGATAACGTCATATTCGTTCAGTTCTAGACCTATGAGTTCAATTTTATCTTTAACACTACAGGCATTTAAATGGATAATTTTAAGATCAGTATAACACCTTGGACCTGGGTTGGAATGGATATCACCACAGAGTAATAGCAATAAGGTTAGGAGTAGAGATATTCTAGCATCGTAAAGGCACGTCATCATTACTACAAACTTTCGAAAGTTTAATAAATGTGTTTTTTCAGAAGAGATTTTTAGAGAGAACAAACCCACTGATTGCCTGTATTGAGAAATGTTAACTGGCATTATCGGTCGTTATGAGATCAAATGAATGGCGACAATGTTGGGGATACAAACTAGAACTGGTATAAACTGACCACGAAACATGAATTAAGTCACGTCTGCAGTAATTGTTGTAAAGAAAGGTAAAAAGTTACATTAAAGAAGGCAGATTATAACCATGATCTGCCGGTTAGAGAGGGGAAAAGGACATTCATGGAGTTTACAAGAAAACGACTCTTAAATTTAGAAACACCAACTGTGAAAAGAAATTGTAAACCCATTACGAGATGTAAACCTGCATACTAAAACACATGCAATAAAAAAAAAGACATATATATTTGTCGTATAATGTTGATTACCTTCAATAACATGAAAGTGAAGGGGAAAAACACACACAAGAGACCAACAGAAAGTCCCCAATACAATCAAGCTAACATAATGAAAAAGAAACTTACAGTACACGTGGAATCACGTTGCGCCATGTCAATATCGCATGCTTTTCTTGTGCATATCTGTTTTCATGCCATTTCATATCATGTCGAGCATGATTAAAGTGTGCATCAAGCAGGATTAACTGTTTCTACAAGTTTATAAGCGTTATGGCTGATTTCCCGTAATACCGAGATGCATTGCATAATATTGTGATGTAACTCGGTTTGCACAGTTTAAACACATTAGGAATATATCTACAACGGGATATTAAGAAATATGATAGGATTGCAACATTGAATGAAGTAAATTTAACCACAGTATCATCAATGCACTCTTCTCCCAGGCGGTATGCCGTTTTCATGCTAGTTCAAACCGTGACATACATGATTAAGTGGGGAAACAAGATTTACTCATTTGCAAAACATCACTGAGATGACTCGTAAATACAGAAACACATAATGTTTGTATTCTCCGTTATGTAATAACATTATTAAGGTAATAAGTCATTCAGAGTGAGTGCATACTAAAACACATGCAATCAAAGAAGACATATATATTTGTCGTATAATGTTGGTTAACTTCAATAACATTAGCATGTTGTAAGTGCTCTAAGCACGTGAATAAACTGACTCAGTACTTCCTTTTGAAACTTGGACGATACAATTTAATACATTTAAGTCAGAGAATGAGTTGAATTTTTGTAAATAAACATGATAAACATGTAAACGAAAGTAAAGATACAATAGTAGGATAGAAACTTTGATCTTTTCAGATATATCATGTTGCTTGGTATACCAAAATTTCAAAATTACAACATATGTACTTTTGATGGTAAAATGTTTTCAGTAACACTTAAAACTGTTCTTGGATCAATAAAAAAAATGTAAGCCAAGCTGTTGAAAAATGTAAGCTAAATTTGATTTATTTATTTCGTCATGGAGACATCTAAACAGACATGACAATACGAACAATATCGTGTCAGTCTTGATGGGATAAACCATTGAGATGGGGAAGGTTCGTGGTTAATTATGGATGTTGGCACCTGGGTTGGGAATTAACTAGTTATTCAGTGTACATAACGCTTTTCAGTAGTGACCAACGACAGAGAAACAGGCAGGACAGCTCTTGCAACATTCCTGGACTTGTTCCTCAGTTGTCCACCTTCAGTTGCAAACTTTTCTCATTTGGTGAGTTTTACATTCTCCACATTCAGTTGCAGGTGTTTCTAAACCTTCAACATCAAACATTTCTCATTTGCTGTGTTTACAAGTTTGGGTGTGAGTAAGTTGAAAATGCCTTTGGTCACAGTTAACATGGATGTCTATCAATTTGTTGATATAACATATCATGGAAAATATTTGCTTGTATACAGGAAATACTGGAATGTTCAATAAGCATTTATGGAATCTACTGAATTAGGAGATAAACCTACTGTGTGGGAAAATCAGAGGTATATAACAAAATTATAATAGCTCTAAATTTGATTTGAAACCGAACACTTATTTACTGAAGTCATGGTAGAATGTGATATTTGTAAGGTGATGGGTCCAAGCTCTTCAGACAATGATTAAAACTATCATTTGATTTGCTATTTTTAGCAATTGCTATAAGAGTGTTCATCAATCAGTGTGTTTGTTTGAACAATGTCGAATATTTTGTACTCAGAATTTGGAATGTTAATCACATTAAATAAAATTCTAACCCACATATTTATGCCCCCCGCCATATATGGCAGGGGGCATATAGGGTTACCCTCCATGTCCGTACGTCCGTACGAAACAGGGAATGTACTCTATCCACTTCTCCACAAAAAACGCTCTGTGGAATTCAATGAACTTATACATGGGCTTTCTTGGGACTCTAATGGTATGCATCTCATATTTTGTTTTTGTATTTTATTGTTTTTCTGTAAGTTTAGAGACATTTGAACTTAGGTACATTTTGCTGAATTTCTCTATGATGATAGTGTAATAGGGGATGAAGTCTATCCACTTCTCCACAAAAACTGCTCAACAGAATTGAATGATCTTCCACATGTCTTTCGTAGGGACTCTAAAGGTGTGCATTTTATAATTTTTGGTGCAATTTCTTAATTTTGTCACTTTTACAGATGTTTGAACTTCGTTGAATTTTGTTCTATTCAGCCTGTTCGTTCCATCTAACAGGGGGGTGTACGTTATCCACTTCTCCTCAAAAACTGCTTTATGGAATTCATTTAGATTACACATGTGCTTTATAGGGACTCTAAAGGCGTGCATCTCATATTTTGATTTTGTATTTTATGTATTTTTCCAATTTTAATGCCGTTTGAACTTACATAAATTTTGTTGAATTTCTAGCTGAATATAGTGTTATAGGGGATGAAGTCTATCCACTTCTCCACAAAGCTGCTCAACAGAATTGATTGAGCTTCTACGTGTGTTTCATTGGGACTCTAAAGGTGTGCATCTCATACCTTGTTCATCCAATTTCTTAATTTTGGCACTTCTACAGATGTTTGAACTTAGTTGAATTTGGTTCTATTCATCCTGTTCGTCCCATACGACAGGGGGTGTACTTTATTCACTTCTCCTCAAAAAACACTGCACAAAACTCATTTAGCTTACATATGTCTTTTATAGAGACTCTAAAGGTGTGCATATCATATTTTGTTTTGTATTTTATAGTTTTTTGTATGTTAAGAGACATTTGAACTTAGATAAATTTTGTTGATGATAGTGAAATAGGGGGATTAAGTCTGTCCACTTCTCCACAAAAACTGCTCAACAGAATTGATTAAGCTTATACATGTATTCCATTGGGACTCGAAAGGTGTGCATCTCATAGTTGCGTAGATGTTTATTGAACTTGTTCGTGAATTTTGTTTAATTATTGATCTTTATATGTCTTATGAATGTCAGCGGGGGCATCCGTGTCGCTGGACACAATTTTTCTTGTTTAATAGCTTGTTTTCCCAGAATTATGTCTTCACTTGCTGGGTATTTTTGAGGAATTGCAATTTGTAATGACTATAAAATCGGTTTTCATGTGTTTACAAATAACTTCTATAAACACAAGATGAGTAGATGTATTGTTAAACCACACTGCCACCAGGATAATATATTCTTCTTGTTGGTCAATGGGACCAAAGAATAAAAATAACATAATCAATATGATATTATCATTTTATTGGAATAATATACAAATTCAATGATTATATAAATTCTAATAAATACTGATTATTTAAATAAATTTATAATTTTATTTACAAGACTCTATTTGCAATAAGCTCCCAGTTTATTAGTAATTATTGTGTAACTAACATGTCTGAATTTTCGGAGTGTTCTCATTTTGCCTGCAAGTATTGTTTAGGGATTGAAAAAGTGGAGACGCGGTACTAATCCATGTAACATCAAGAACAATGGGGATTAGTGGACTACAGTCAACTTTAACCATTAATATAAATGTAAGTTTGCCAGCAAATAAGGAGAAGCTGTACAGTTTATCACATTTTGTTTATTGCATATGAACTGTGTTCAGAGTTGTCAGTGAGTGAACTTGGTGGTTAGTGAATTCGGTCTCCACTTACTCGAACAGACTATAAGTGTGCAAGATGTGGACTGTTAATCCTAACCCGCTTATAGCCAATCAAAGTGCAGGCAGAAAGAGAATACACCAACTTTCCATGTGTATATTACAGATATTTGCAGGAAAAAGCTGCACCCAAAGGCAGTGTTGGAAACTATTTTACAGCTCATTGGACTTTATGACCAGTAACTTTCAAATCAGCTGGTCCGAACAAGAATCAGTGGCCCTGTCAATATTCATCATGTCGTAACAATGAAGAAGTTATCAGTATACAGTTGATTAGTGGTGGTCTGATTAATTGAAATAATTGAAGATTGGTCACAATGACTAAACAACCAAGCAATCGATCATGTTTTCTCATAATCAAGCACAAATGATTTTGGAACAATTGTTTTCATTGACAATATTTTTCACAAGGTTGGTTTTCTCTGTTACATTTAATTAGCACTACAACTACAAGCTTGTTCCAAGTCATGATTGAAATTATCTTTAAGACTACAGGACATTTATGTTCCTGACAAACTAGTCATCCTTTAAAGATGTGAAATTTGCAAATGCATTTTGTGCGAATTGCAAAAAAACCCGAAAGAACTACATGATTTTTCTGTATTTTTTTGTGCATTAACAAACATAACCAGGAATATTTGATAAATGATGCTAACCAATTATTTTCGATGATTGATCGGTTGTAATGAACCAATCATTGATTAAGATTTTTTAACCAATTCCCAAAACTACAGTTGACATAATCTGATAATCAACACAAACATTGCATTATTATAATGAAGAAGCTGTTTTCTGTACATACTGTGAATAATGTGGACCAAAGTTATAATTATTGGTAACTGCCAGTTGTCTGTGTTTGCCGCGATTAGGACCCCTTCGCGGGGGATCGACTTATGCACGAAACATACCATTTTGACACTGATTTTAAGGGTCAAGTTTGGGGTTGTCTTATCCATGGGGTCGTCTTATAGACGGTAATATACGGTAATTGTGTTCAGTTCAATGATCGGAGAGTGTGTATAGTTTTCTGTAATGCACAATTTGTATTTTTGTCAAGTTTTAGTTTTTAATTAACCTCGCAAGTTGTCATCTGACATAAACCTGATTTCTGTTTATATGTGACAATGACCTTGTATCATTTTCTTAATTCAAATTCACAGGCCTCCGAGTGGAATGGCGGCAATTTCAAACTCTGCACAAAGGGTATATAGTTGCCTTGTAACTATTATTGAAAAAGGTTTAGTTTCATTTTATAACATTTAATTCATTGTGTATGGTTCTTACAGGCTTACCCCTTGATAGCTAAGATATATTTGAAGACATCTGGTGCTAAAATGGGCATCAAATCAGTCCTTAAACATGTTTAAGGATGGTGCTATGAATGAGCTGTCACATTACATTGACTCACTCTGAGCATCATGCTGGAGGGAATGACCCCATCATCCATCTCTCTGTAGTTCCCAGGGTAAATCAGACATGCTGTCGCCCTGATGTACTGTGGTATAATTCTCAATCAACAATCACAACCAGATCGCTCAGCATGCTCAGTGTTGCAAGACTTGTTGCCCTAGTCCTGGTTATAAGTCAACATTAACATTCTTTCTTTGTCATGGATCTATGAACACAATGTTCTTATAGTCATCCTGATGGTTGTAAGCCCATGTTAAAGTATAGGAGCTTTGATCACCTCAGGGCAACGATTGCTCTGATTTCAGGCAATAGTTTAAGGACCTGGCCCCGATTTCTTGAAACAAACAAACAAACGAAAGTCTGAATTTTGACTTAAGTTACAGTTTTTACTCAAATTTGAGAAAACGCAGGAAATGGCAATCCCATAATATACTGAAATCGATGTTTAACTCAAACTTAGTAGACAATTTGGGTTTGGTAGATAGGTTACATGAGTTGTTTTGTCTTTTAGGTTTTAGAAATGCGACTGAATTAGAAACTCATCTGTTTCAAATTGTCAAACTCAGTTTTAAATTTGAGTAAAAACTTAAGTTTATTTCAAGAAATCAGGGCCAGATGTCCGTTGTTCCAAAATAGGGATTTTTTCGAACCTATTACAAAGCAGATTTATCTTGACATTAACAATAATGGGAAAAAAGCACTAAATGTCCTTTTCTTTATATAAGGGAAAAACAGTTCTCATCATCAAACCTTTAATATTATCATGATTATGAATAATCATGACCTTGTGGGTATTTGCTAATTCCAACTTCAGAATCTTTAGCAGTATTTGATGTAACCATGATGTTGAATGAGTAGGACAATTACCTTATGAAATAACCAGTAAATTCACCTTTATCTGGCATTGGGATTGCTCACCACTGTAGACTGCCTATTGAACAAGTAAGAATCATTTAGTCAGAACTGTTAAATCTTTCTCTGCCTGTCTGGAAATATTAACAACGCCCTTGAAAACCTTATGCTATCTGCCAAGACATCATGTACAGGATAAGAAGTTTTACGACCATGAGCTATTGGACCACATGTCTCTGTGTAGAGTTGTCTCCCTTAGGTGTAAGGGGTGCAACTGTAATTTGAATCTGAGAATAACCGAATTATGATTCTTGATTTGTCAGGAACGTGCTAATGGATTCCACTAAGGAACACCATCATTGCTCCAACACTGGCAGAAAGTCATGTACCTGAAATGCTTTTCAGGCCCACTAAACCCAACCAGCCCACTGACTACAACAACAAAAGTGTATGCAGTGTGTTGATTGATTCCTTCCTGTCCAGACAGCCAGACCTGTTACAGGTCATATTGTTGAACTGGCACAGACTTTCACTCATCACCTTCATCACGCGGACACTGGCTGGATGCAGCATAGCTCTCAAAACAAAAATATTAACAATATGGGTGGGATTACACATAAATATAGCTATTATTGATACGCAATAATTAACTTTCAGCCCTTCAAGAACTGCAGTCATAGTCTATTGACACCAACAATGAATCGTATCGATAGAGGAGACAAGGATCTATACTGCTGTCACTGAGAGTTACAAGTTGAGGCTGTCTTCAAGAATCACGTGACTTCAGATCCAGCATGATGGACAACTGGGTGCCTAACCCCAGGGCCAAGCCCTATGTCCCTCGTGGTCGCCCCCAGAGGGGCAATGTGTATGGTCAGCATATTCGCAGTTACAGCAGCAGACGATGCATATCCAAAGTATTGCAGGTAAGATTATTGTGCTTGATGGTTTCAGGGTTGAGGATTTCTTTACTCAGAGCTTATATTTTGTTGTACATACAGCTTACACAAATATTTCAAATCCCTGGCTAACTTTCAGTGTGTTTTATATATAAAACAAAACATTGAATACTGATCATGATATTACTAAAATGATATTTTCCAGCGGTGTAATTTGTTTGTTTGAATGTGTTTTTTTTTCAGATACTGTTTATTGAATGGTCTGGTACAGAATGATTTCATTGTAACATGTTTTGAAATGGTTAATTTCTTGATGGCTGTTTCACAGTATTGAAACATTGTCACACAAAGGTTCATACTGTGATGGACTGGTCGAGATCTTTGATTATGATGTTGCCTAATGGTGTTTTTTTTGGTATAGTAGCAAACAGAGGGGATGTTTTATAGGTAGGTTGACTTAAGAATTTACTCTAAGTTTGTTCGTACTAAATTGTAGAACAGAATCAGTTTTGTCAATAGAATGTTATTGTAATGTCATACCGTGGCTTGTTGAAGAGGTGCTGCATTAGGAAGTTGACTGTAATGTTACACAATGGTTGGTTTCATGGTATACTAGTTTAGAGATGTAATGTTACACAATGGTTGGTTTCATGGTATACTAGTTTAGAGATGTAATGTTACACAATGGTTGGTTTCAGGGTGTACTGGTTTAGAGATGTAATGTTACACAGTGGTTGGTTTCAGGGTGTACTGGTTTAGAGATGTAATGTTACACAGTGGTTGGTTTCAGGGTGTACTGGTTTAGAGATGTAATGTTACACTGGTTGGTTTCATGGTGTACTGGTTTAGAGATGTAATGTTACACAGTGGTTGGTTTCAGGGTGTACTGGTTTAGAGATGTAATGTTACACAGTGGTTGGTTTCAGGGTGTACTGGTTTAGAGATGTAATGTTACACAGTGGTTGGTTTCAGGGTGTACTGGTTTATAGATGTAATGTTACACAGTGGACTGGTTTCATGGTGTACTGGTTTAGAAGATGTAATGTTACACAGTGGTTGGTTTCATGGTGTACTGGTTTAGAGATGTAATGTTACACAGTGGTTGGTTTCATGGTGTACTGGTTTAGGGATGTAATGTTACACAGTGGTTGGTTTCATGGTGTACTGGTTAGAGATGTAATGTTACACAGTGGTTGGTTTCATGGTGGACTGGTTTAGAGATGTAATGTTACACAGTGGTTGGTTTCATGGTGGACTGGTTTAGAGATGTAATGTTACACAGTGGTTGGTTTCATGGTGGACTGGTTTAGAGATGTAATGTTACACAGTGGTTGGTTTCATGGTGTACTGGTTTAGAGAGGTGCTGTTATAGGAAGTTGACTGTAATGTTACCCAATGGCTGTTTTCAGGGTGGACTGGTTTAGAGTTTAGAGAGGTGCTGTTATAGGAAGTTGACTGTAATGTTACCCAATGGTTGGTTTCAGGGTGGACTGGTTTAGTTTAGAGAGGTGCTGTTTAGGAAGTTGACTATAGTCATGTTACCCAATGGTTGTTTTCTGGGTGGACTGGTTTAGAGAGGTGCTGCTGTTAGGAAGTTGACTATATTGTTACACAATGGTTGTTTTCAGGGTGGACTGGTTTAGAGAGGTGCTGTTTTAGGAAGTTGACTGTAATGTTACACAATGGTTGTTTTCAGGGTGGACTGGTTTTAGAGAGGTGCTGTTTTAGGAAGTTGACTATATTGTTACACAATGGTTGTTTTGCAGGGTGGACTGGTTTAGAGAGGGCTGTTTTAGGAAGTTGACTATATTGTTACACAATGGTTGTTTTCAGGGTGGACTGGTTTAGAGAGGTGCTGTTTTAGGAAGTTGACTGTAATGTTACACAATGGTTGTTTTCAGGGTGGACTGGTTTTTCAGGGTTACACAATGTTTTCAGGGTGGACTGGTTTAGAGAGGGGCTGTTTTAGGAAGTTGACTATAATGTTACACAATGGTTGTTTTCAGGGTGGACTGGGGTAGCCTAATGGTTAAAGCTTTAGGAAGTTGACTAATCCCCACATGGGCACAATGTGTGAAGCCCATTTCTGGTGTCCCCACTGGTTTAGAGTTGCTGAATTTTAGGAAGTTGACTGCGTAAATGTCAGTCAGTCAGTCAGTTTTCAGGGGGGACCGGTTTAGAGAGGTGCTGTTTTAGGAAGTTGACTGTAATGTTACCCAATGGTTGTTTTCATAGTGGACTGGTTTAGGGTTTAGAGAGGTGCTGTTATTAGAAGTTGACTATAATGTTACACAATGGTTGGTTGCAGGGTGGACTGGTGCTGGTTTTGTTGGTGACAGTGTTCATCAATATCACCTTTATTCTGGACACAAGCAAGAAACTGCGACACAAACCAAGTTCAGGTGAGAGATACAAGCACATCCTAATCCAGATTTATTAAGCTTGCCACAAGTATTATAAGCCTTGTTGGTCTATGAGATATGTTTTTAATCCTTTCATTTAAACATGATAAACCTGAAAGTGAGAATTAGACTTGGTTCATTTGAATAGTGTCAAGTCTGGTGCTTGTGAGTGAGTGAGTGAGTGAGTTTTATGCTCTATTATAGTATTCCAGTAATATCACTGCAAGGGACACCAGAAAAGGGCTACATACATTGTACCCATGTAGGGAATCGAACCCAAGTCTTCAGTGTGACGAGAGTACTAGTAGTGTTCGCTCGACACAAGAAGGCCTGGTTTAATTCCCTGCTGTGACATTTCTGAATTATGTATTAAAGTGACATAAAACCACATTCACTGACACAAGGCATGCATGTGGTATGTGGTATGTGGTATGTGGTATTTCATATTGCATAACCTGGACACGGTCAAAGCAGCTGTTTACAGGTATAGGTATCGGCCATTAAAAATATAATCAATATTCATCAACTTAATGAGATAAGTGAATATTTCATTTAATAAGTGACAATATATATATGAAGTTCAGAATGCCATGTTTGAGGCTTTTGAGTTTTAGTCCTTTCACATACTCATCAACCCTTCTTGCATGGTTTGTTAAGCCATGTTGACAGTGGTAAGTCAGCTATGTGAATACAAGGCCTACTGTTTCAAGATGAAACTGGAGTGGGGGAGTGTCCTAGTGGTTAAAGCGTTTGCTCATCACGCTGAAGATCCGGGTTCGATTCCCAACATGGGAACAATGCATAAAGCCCATTTCTGGCGTCCTCCACTGCTAAAATCAGCGTAATTATACTCATTCACTCACTCAAAATGAAACTTTATATGTCAGCGAAATCCAGATGTTGCAAACTTGTGTAACTTTTAAGATCATGGCATTTATGTTTTGCATCTGGAAAATGCAGCCTATGTGTTATTTGGACTTAGACTGATAGCACTAAAACTGGTTATTGTTGTGTGTTAATGGAGGATTACTGTTTCTCCGGGTCACCCAGGTTTGGGATGCATATTAGAAGCATCCACATTGAAGATAATCATTATTTTCGTATTATAAGGCTGTCTCAAAAGATCGATAATCGGAAATATCGTCGATGGGAAGAATTATTGATGATTATCAATATGAAAATTGTGTCATCGATATTATCCGTACATAAACTGTTGCAATGAAATATAGCACTAATTTACCGACACAATACACCAAGCTACACCCTTATTTCTGGACTGCTTCTAAATTATGTTCAGAACACTGTTTTGTTCGCAAATCCATACATAAGCATGTCACTACTCACCAGTGATGTGATTTTGTCTAGACGTTTTAGCCATTTTTGTCCAAAGTTAATTTTACGATAATTATCGATAATCGATTGATATTTAGTTAATGATTATCGAAGTCTTTGATCTATATCGATAGCAGGCCCTACATTCTTACATCATGTACTTGTTCTTTCATATTTTCACCTGAGGCAATCAGTGACATAAATATTTTTTACACCAATAGCGTCATGAATTCTTCATGAGAAATGGATAGAGAAGGATTATATATCATTGTTCAGGTGCTAATGGATTGTTTCAGCTTTGGAAATCAATAGTAATCTATTCTTTGTGATCAATCGTGCATATGGAACGATTGTCCCATTGACAGGTATTGTTTGGGGGAAATTCTCTGATGTCCACGGGTGAAACTCAGAAATTATGGGTAGAAAATGTGATTCTGCATTCTGCTGTGAATTCTATTTCCTATATTATATTGACTTTATATCCTAATTTGATACAGGTACATCAAATTGTAACTAATTATGAAAGTGAAGGTGTCATTGTTAGGCTGTGTTTTGACCACACAATTCTGCTAAAGTTATCTCAATAAAGGCACGATGTCACACATTTTCGACAATATTTTGGCCTATATTATACATATTAGGGCATATGCACTCACTTTAGCTTCCTATTGATGCAATACTATACTTATTGTCCCTTACGACTTCCCTGAACTTCGAGGCGGACAGCTTCCAAACAGGGAACACTTGCCATATATGGAACTTAAACAATTGCTTCATACATCGAAAACTGTCACACACGGTGTTGTCAGTGTTTGCCAAACTGGTTTCAATCACAAGTTGTGTGTAGGATATTCGTAAAGAGCGCTCTATAACTCTATAACTCTTGAAATAGTGTTCGGCTGGTAGTGGGGTGAGATTCAATTTAATGCAACATTGAATTAATTCATTTGAACTTTATAATTCAGTATTGTCATCTACATAGGTAATTCTGGGGAGAATAAATCATATGGAAGCGTCCCTGTGGGCTGAACGTTAGTATTATTGAGAGAAATGCATTATTATCATTTTAGAGAAGTGTGGTGTCACCTTGTGCCTTAAAGGACAATTGATCTTGCTTGTGAGTTTCATTCAATAAGCCAGCAACATTTCACTGGACTTTCCTCTGTACTCACTCACTCACTCACACTTAAACAAAACTTTACTAATGTTAAAAGTGGTGCTAAATTCATATCACTTTATTTAGCATTTTATATTCAAATCAAAGTCAAAACAAACCACGACAGCAAATGAAACCAAGGTAGTTTTCTTCTTGAATCATTGCTGTGGCTGTATCTATAAATATTTCTTAGTAGTTGCATATGGAAGATGGGGATAACAAACAGCCATTGTAGTGGAAAGATTGAAGCAGGTTCTTTTTCTTTTTTACATTACAAACAGGGATGAAAGAATTGTAGGAACCATGGGATAGTGTTAGACTGATTCGAGTACTACTTTTGTGTTAAGTCCCATCCGGGATTCAAGCCCACACTCTCTGAGATAAGAACCTACTTGCCAGCACACAAAGTCAGTGATCTAACCCTCTCTGCTATCGCACATAAAACTGGAAGTGTGACAACTTGTAATCTAATCATGTACTTTTTGTAGCCCTCTGACAAGGGTTATTGGTAATTAAGAGTGTGGCTTCAAATTCCAGATGGATTCAACTAAAAAAGTTCTAAAATCCGTACTTTACTGAGAAAGTGTAATCCAAAATATGCGCTAGGTTACAGAAAGACAGGTTTTAACTTCAGATTTGATTCATTAACTTGTGTTTAGCTCATTGTCAGACACTGGGATAGATGTACCCATACAAGATTACATCACACGATGTGAAACACATTGAACTTTCATTCTCTGGGACTTGGCAGAGACTCTTACAAGACTGTACATCAGTATCGATTGTTGTCCTTAATCATTTCGATTCATGGTTAATTAATGTCATAATTGTATTCATTGAGTCATGCATTGAAATGCAACAGTTACGCTGTACATTATCATGATAATTGCTTTAAACATGTTAAAGATATCGATGTTATCAATACTAGTCAAATAATCATGATAATTGCTTCTCTCCCTGTTCAGGTTTGTTTTGTCTCCTAGAATCAATGTGTCTACTGAAAGAGATGCAGATTTCTATATGGTGTTACTGTACGGAGGCTTTGATTGATTTTATCATTGTTCTTTCATCCTAAGGGAAAAGGCTTTTTGTACATGCTTTATCTTACTAATGAAGTATACAGTGTCATGACAAGACATGTGCAGATATCTTTGGTTGTGTTTTGTATGCTTGCCCTTGTCACCACTCCAGGTGTCTTCAGTGCTATTCAGTAGTTTGTTCAGATGGATGTCATTCCAGTGCAGTCTCCATTTGTAGATAATTACAGTGTGACCAGAAATTATTCAGCATTTTAGGAATATGTTTAATTGGATTTCTAGTGTAAACAACCATGACCAGCTATCAAGTGCTTGGTTTCATTCAAGAGAGACAACTCCGTTAAGCCTTTTTCATTAGTTTGTGAAGAGTTATCCCCCCTTTGTTTATTTGCTAGCAGACGACATTTTAAGTGATCCTCAGTATGGATGATTTAGAGAAGAGGAAGTTGATTTTAGAGTATTATAACAAGGACATCAGATCAGCTAAAGTGATTTCAAGTAGAACAGGCATCCCTTTGTCCACTGTTTATCGTGTTTTGAAAAATATTGCAAATGGATATGGCATTGAGCACCAGGGAGGCGCAGGTAGGCCCAGAAAATTGACTGTCGGTGACAGGAGGCGGCTTGGTATTCTTGTTTCTAAAAACAAACGGAGTTTAGAAAACTTAAGGTTGGATATGATTGATAGAGGAACTGTGTCTGTCTGTAAGGAGACAATTAGAACTGAGCTGCATGCAATGGGTTGGCAGAAAAGTCGAGGAATTCCATCACCAATCATGAAACCTGAACAAAACGAGCGAAGGTTGAACTGGTGCTTACAGCATAGAAATTTTAACTGGGACAATGTGATTTTCTAGGATGAAAGTTCTGTGTAGGTGTTTCCTAATACACTGAAATTCTGGACCAAACAAACTGAAAAACATTTGTATCAGCACCCAAAGTACAGTCCGAAATTTAACATGTGGGGTGGCATATCTGTGTTAGGGGCAACGCCCCTCTGTGTATTTGAAGGGAATATGAACAGTGAGCGGTACACAGATATTCTCGAGGGACATTGACTTCCATCTGCTCACGTGTTCTATGGAATTTTTTTGATTTTCCAGCAGGACAACGACCCAAAACATCGTTCAAAGCATTCACAGGCCTGGTTTCGGACCCAAAATATGTCATTATTAGATTGGCCAAGCTATAGCCCTGACCTAAATCCAATAGAAAATGTTTGGGGACTTATGAAGGAAAGTGTCAATAAGAAAAATATGACAACTATTGCTGAAATGAAAGAAGAGGTGGTCCGATATTGGGACAGCATGGACCACGAGTTTCTAACTTCTTTGATCAGTAGTATGCCCCGCCGCATTGAATCCTGCATTGCTGCCCATGGTTACTTGACAAAAAACTATCTGTTCACGTGTCTTTGAATCTGGAGTTATGTTCTGCTAATATTCACATTTAATACGTGAGTAATGAGTGAAAAA